ATAATATATAGTAGGATAGCCTACTTTATAGCATTAATTTCCTAAATAACTGTAACCTACTTATAATTACTTAGTTGTACTGCCTTAGGCTAATAACGTCTCTTTAAGCTAGTAACAACTATTTAAGATGTTATCTAGCCTATTATAAAGCTAGCTTTATTAAAGTTAAAGGTATCCTTGTCTAAGATCCTATAGGTAGCCTGCGTACGCTGTACAAGCTCAAACCAGGTCTGTATTATCCTAGGATCCTTGCATAGAGCTTGCTGCTAGTTGTATAGTTAATTAAAACACATAGTAAGGCTATTTATACGCTTAACAAAGTTTAGCAGCTAGTTCTTTCCTACTAGCTAAGCACTACATGCAGTAAGCAGATTATTAGCCATAACTTGCACAGCGTTTAGGCTAGGCAAGAATCCTTGTAAATTAAGGTTAAGTATATGTCTAATAATTAACTCCTTTTTTAGCTTAGTAAGCTTCTTTAAGTTAGGCTAGCAATTGCGTTGTGCAGGTTAACTAGCGCGTTAGTTATTTAGAGTTAATTAGGGCACATTAAACGTGGCTGCAGCACAATTTACGCTTTTAATTTGCGCGTAATTAAGGGCTTAGATAGTAAGAACAATACCTGCTTTATTTAAATGTAATTAAGAAGTAGTTAGTTAAGCTATAGTAGTTAATAGTTAACGCGTTGCGCAAAGTTGGTGAGGCTACTGACTTGCTTATGTTACCGACTCGCTTGTGTTCTATGTTACTATTTTTTACATTTTTTTACATTCTTAATGTAGTTAACTACTTGCATTAGATTTTACTATCCTTTAAAAACTACAGCTTATTTAATAGCCTTAGAGATACTATCTCTCTCTTAGACTTTTACCTTCTAATAGTTTATTAGACAGTTAGGGGATTTATAGTTAACTTTACATCTCTAGTAAAGTTATTTATTTAGCCTGTTATGTATTTCTTTAAGTGTTAAGCCTTTATTAGTAAATATAGCTTTTATAGCTAACTTATTATCTTTATTCTCTAGTTTCTTAGAGTTTAGTGTAAGGCCGGATGTCCCAGAACGGGCCAGTATGGCCTCACCTGACCTGTTTGGAGGTCGTATGACCTGTGCTTCGTATATAAGCATGAATCCTGACAAGCGAAGCTTGGCAGCGATTCGTCTCTCTTACAATACACTCCTATCTTTCTCCGAAAGCTTGCTCTCAGTGCTATCCGTGCTACTTACCATCCCATCTTTACATTTAGGTAATTTTAGTAAAAATAACCTACTTTTTTATAGTTAAGGCATGCCTTCTTTTTAAGCTATTTTTTCTATTCTTTATTAAGAGGCAGCCTTATGCTTTTAAAGGAACTGCTTTTTTTTTTAAAGAAGCTACACATATGTTTAGCGTAACTAAGGTCTATAAGTTTACTATTAAACTATAGGGTCTTTTTCTTCTTTTAGAACTAGTTAGGTTTTAAAGTTATAACACCTAATTTTTTCTTTTTATAATACTTAGCATGTCTTTTATTATAAGTAAGTGCCTTTTTAACATATTTTTTAAAGCTCTTAGGCTTTTTTATGTAAGTAAATTTATTCTTCATTGCTTCTAAAAGCTTGTTATAAAATATTTATTCTATTACTCTCTAATCTATCTATCTATAAATAGCTTGTTGTTCTCTAAAGCAGGCTGCACATTATTAAATAGTGCTCTTTTCTTATTATAAAGAGTTTATTTTATTAACTGCCTGTTTTTCTTAGTTAACTAACCTATAAATAGCTGTTAGAGCTAATTTAAAAAAGTTAATGTCTTTAAAGACTTTTTATATTTCTAGTAGTAAAAGTTCTCTATTTACTTAATAGTTTATTTAATTATTAGTGTAGAGTTAAAACTATACAGCAGGTAATCCTTCTAAATGTAGACCTATTTATAAAATTATTTCTTTATTAGTTTTAAAAGCGCCTTTGTTGTATTACATATAAAGGTGGCACTTTATAAAGAAAGGTTTTAGGTTTTTAGCTAAGCTATTAAATGCCTTAGAGAGGGCTAGGCGTAGGGTCTTCTTTAACTTAATGCTAGTTTTTTCTTATGTTATGTTTTAGAGATTAGCTACTTCTAGCTAAAGGGCTTGTAACTGTTAAATATTTAAGAGCCCTTATTATGCCTGTTGCTAGAGGTAGTGCCTAAGCTGTTCTAGCTTATTGCAGAGATATAGTATTTGCTAATTCTGCGCTTCCTTAGTAGCTGTAGAGGTCTAGCTAGTGCTAGCAGCTAAAGCGCCTGTTATGCTAATGTCTAAGGTTAAGGTAGCTATACTTTATAGGTGATAGTAATTACTATTACAATCTTTACTCTATTAAAATAGTATTTTTAGAAGCACTACAGCCTAGAGTAGATTTTAGCAGGAAGGGGAAGAACTTAGCTAGATCAGGTGTATAGTCCGTCTAGCAGAGTATAGGTAGGGCGAAGGTAAGGAAGGCAGGTTGTAGTTTAACCTAGCAGCTGTATAGAAAGCTAGTAAACTAATCTAGAAAGGATAGAATAGAAGGTATATATAGTGCAAGATATATAAGGCAGCAATGTCCTCTTTATAAAGGTATTAATGCCTTTTAGTCTATTATTATGTAAAGACTAAACAGTAATTATAGCCTTCTAACTATAGTTGTAATTAAGACTATATACATAGAGTTGCATGCCTGCATGCTCTTCGCCTGCATTGCCTGCAAAGCCTGCAGGCCTGCAATGCTTGTGGTCCTATTAGACTACACATTCCTCAATGCATCTGTCTAAAAGCTAAAGCTTTTAATAAGTTATTAGTAGTCTTTAGGTTTCTACTTTAGCACACTTTTTATAACTTTTTTAAAGATAATTTTAATTATAAAAGATAAAAAGTTTTAAACTTAAAAGCTTTAGTTAATAAAAAGTTTTTAAAATTTTATTTATAATAACTAAATAATTTAATGTAATAGTGTGTAAAAACTATAACTTAAACTAAATTAAACGCTTTTTAGAGTTAGATGTAGTTAAATAAATAATTAATATAATATTATTAATAAAGCTATTACTAGTAAAAGTAAGTTTTCTAATATAATGTAACAGCATAGGCAAAACAATAGGTCTAAATGTAGTAGAAATCTACTTAGAGGCATATAAGAGTGTATAGGGACTCTAAACCTAGGAATGCTATTAACACCTATAGGCCTTGTACAAAAGGATATTAGAAAACTACTAAGCTAGCTATACAGGCAAGGTGCAACTAAATACATAAGGGAATAGAGGTAACTGCAAGGGACTAGGTTAAGTTATAGTTAGGGCTGATACAGGGACCTTTTAGATAGGATCTAAGCGACCTAAGATGGAACGATTTGTAGAATTATTACACTAATTAGCTTAGTCTAAACTAGTTAAAGCACTTTAACGCATATATAAAGAAGTGTACTATTAGTAGCTACTGTCTACTAGTTATTAATAGCTATAAAAGCTATAACTTACTTTATTTTTAGTAATACTATAGAAATAATAAGATTATTACTATTTATATACTTTTTTACTTATTACACTTTTTATAGCTATATAATATAAGTTGTTTTACTTTTTTTTAAAAAAAGTGTATAAGCGCTAAGCTAAAAACTTTATACTTAACTAAATTATTTATATTATAAAAATAAAGTTTCTACTATGCTTTAAAGCAGCTTATAATACTATAATTACTTTTAGTAATATTTAAAAAAAGTTCTAAAGCACTAAATTAGTTCTTTTTAACCTATAATAAGTTATAATAGGCCTTAATATAAAGTTATGCACTTTATTACTACTACTACTTATACATAATAAGCTTTAGTAGTTGTAAACTTTAAGTAATACTTTAAAACTTAAGTTATAATTAATACTTATAAAAATAAAAATTTAAAAGCATATAACGTATTCCACCACCGAACCCGCCAAACCACTGAACCTAACAAAATCTCTTGGCATTGCAAACACTACGTACAAGACGCGATGTCTAAACAACACAAGACTATACTAACTTAGCAAGAAGGCAGAATTGTCCTTGCGCTCTAGGCCTACTGCTTATGCTAATTTAAACGCGTATAATAAGCTATAGTAGCTTTTAACATGCCTTATTAGCAGCTTACTGCTTAGCTTAACAGAATTATATTTTAACTTACTATATAACTAAATTGCTAGAAACTTACTGCAACTAAAAAGTAAATAATTATATAATATATTCTTAACCTTAATTTGCAAGGATTCACGCCTTAGCTGTGTAAGGTAGTAGATATAGTAAACAGACTATTAGCTGCATGTAGTAGGACACTAGTAGAGATAAACTAGCCTACACAGTTTATGTCTTATACAGAGGAGCTTAAAATAGCGTTTAATTAAGTAAAGAACTACTAAAGAATACTTTAAAAAGACCTAAAGTTAATTATAAAGTAGTTTAAGCTTATATAAGACATAATAGCAAAATATAGTGTTTATAATAATAATATTTACAACTTTAACAAGACTAGCTTCTAGATAGGCATAATTAGCACTATAAAGGTTGTTATAGGTTTAAAAAGATGTATAAGGCTTATCCTTACATAGCTAGGTAACTAGGAATAGGTTACTATAATCTAGAGCATCTGCGCTGCTAGCTACGCTACCCTACTATTTATTATCTATAAAGGACACATCTACATCTCTACCTAGTATAAAGAGATGTTAATACTGTGTAATTAGAAGCTATTAGTTTTTAAGAATAGCTAAACAAATAACACACTTAGTCTTAAGTAGTTAAAGCACTTTAATAAGTATACAAAAACATGTTAGGTAGAAGTATATAGGCTGCTTATACTAGATAGCTATAAGAGCTACCTAAACTAAGATTTTAAAGATTATTACTTTATACAAAAAATTCTTACACTTTATATGCCTACACATTTATTGCATATCCTCTAGCTACTTAATGTAGTGTGCTTCTTACTGTTAAAGCTTAAGTACTCTTAGCATGTACAAGACTTAGCACGCTAATGTGTGCAGCATATTAATAAAGAACGCTTTTTTTTAGCCTTTAAAGACATATTTTTAGACATTTTTACATATAATAACTATAAAAAGGCTTTTAAAGCATTTAGACTAGTTCCTATTAACGCGCAAGTAGTCCTTAATTGTCTTAACATGCAGCTATGTACTCTACTACTAGGACCTCTACTAGAAACGCTATAGCAATTAAAGACTCTAAGTAATTTATATAAATTTAAATTATAATTAAAGCTTATATATAATTCCTTTATATAATTACTAATAACAGCATAAGAAAGCTTTTTACAGCTTATAAAAAAAGCTAAAAAGATGCTATATAAAAATATACTTATAAAAGCGCGTGTATAAGAGCTTAAAAAGCAATTAGCAGACATAACTAAGCATAAGGGGCGTAAAAGAAAGCGGATCTAGCAAGGTAGCATAATAGAGTATAGGACTGTAGCAGCGCAGGTAGCTGCTAAGGCGTCTGTAGTAGCTTAGCAGTTAAAGAAGGCTTGTAGTGGTAGTAATTAAGAAAGAGCCTAACTAGCTCTGCAGCGCTGTAGGAACTGTGGGGAGACTAGGCACAACGCTTGTACGTGTAAAAAGGATAAAGAAGAAGCACTAGAATTAGATGTAGGCACGTTGTACATAGGTTCTTTATTTAGTTGTAAATAAAATTAGAGTTTTGTACGTAGTATTTGCAATGCCAAGAGATTTTGTCGGGTTCAGTGGTTTAGCGGGTTTGGTGGTGGAATACGTTAAATAGTTTACTAACTTTTATAGTTAAAATATTAAAAAAAGTTTTAAAAAAGGCAGTAATAATTATATATAAGCTAGTGTTAGTATAGTAAGAAATTAGTAAGCTTTAAAAAGCTAATAAAGCTGCTATATAACATAAATTATATAAAAGAAAGTAAATTAAAGTAAAAAAAGACTTTAATAATTTAAAAAAGCCTATGCTTAATAGCTTTAAAGAAGTTTAAAATGCATAGTAATAGAAAGAAAGTAAAAAAGCAAGTATAAGCTAAAGTAAGTAAGCTATTTTAAAGGTGCTATAAATAGTGTAGTTAGACTAGGCATAACATATAAACATGTAAGTGTCACGGTATCCTCCCCGGATCCCAGACATAACTGTATTAGACGCGTACTAGAGTATTATTAGTGCATGTCTGACACAAACACAACATAACACAGACATAAACTTAAGCATAAACTGCCTTAACACTAACTAAACCTAAAATAGGCTTAATTTATACTTAAAGCGCTTAGACTTTTAAGCTAAGTATTTAATTACTAATTTTCTTTTAAACTTTTTTATTTCTTACATAATGTCTTGTACTTACTATAATACTTTATGTAGTAATTAAACTAGACTTCTATAAAGCTTTATAACCTTACTTATGCATAATTATAACATTATGTTGTGTTAAAACTCTAGCTAAGAATAGCCTCTAAATTTAATTTAATAAGCTTAGTACTTATATAACTCTAAGCTATTAAAGTAAGCTAAAAAGCCTTTTAAAAAGCGCTTACTTTATAAAAAAGCTACTACATTATAAGCTTTAAAGCTTTTTAAAAGGACTTTAAAGAACAGCTTTATGTTATTAAGTAGTCTATTTCTGCCTTAACTTTTATTATAGTAGTAAGAATTAAGAACTTACTAGCCTTAAAGCTTACCTAGAAGTTTAAAGATAGCTTAACTTTTTTCTACCTAACACTACTTACAACCTATAACTTTTCTAACTTAGTAATAAAATCTAACTAACTTCTTAATCCTCTACTATTTAATAAAAAATAAAAAAACCTACTTTTCTTTCTACATAAGCTCTAATATAAACTTAAAGAAAACATAGACTAATTCCCCTCTAAACACTTCTAGTTACTATATACCTACTTTTAACTTAACTATAACATAATAGCCTTAATTAACTTACTAATAAATAAAAATATTATTAACCTAAACTAATTTATAGTGTTTTTATAAGTAACTTATAAAGACTTAAATAAAAAGTTAACAGCTCTAAGTTACTTAAACACTTTATAATAATAAAAAAAAGCTTTACTTTACACTTTACTAAGTTTTACTAACTTGCATTTAATATAGGCCTAAATAAAATAAGTCTAATTATAGCCTTATATAACTCCCTCTTAACTAAACTATAATGTGCTATAGTAAGAGAACCCCTTTTAAACAACCTTAATGCGTATGTAAACCTAATTACTACCTATAATAATAACATAAGGTTCCTTTCTATATAAGCTTTAATACGCCTCTAAACTAGCGCAGTTATAAATAAGAACCTTAACATAATAAAAATTAATTTAAATTATGCTTTAGTTAGTTTTAGAAAGTGTAAAAATTATAAAAAAAAAAGTTAATACTTTAAGTGTAGTAAGCATAGTTATATTTTTTAAAACTACTTTATTTCCTTTTCTTAAGTCTATATAAGTAGTGCTGCTAGTACTTATTAAAAAATTTTACTATTTTATTTTTATTTTTATAAAGGCTTTAACTTATATTTAAGCTTTAATCTTTTTTACTACTCTTAACATAGCTGCAGCTATAGCAGTAGGAGCCTATAAAAAGGCTTGTCCTAGGGCTAAGTTACCTTTTAGGACTAATTTAACACTAGATCTCTACTAACTTATAGGCTAAGTCCTTTACTAATAACTAAAAGTACTAAGTTAATATTCTTATATGTTTATAATAAAAAACTATATTAGCTTTAATATAAGCTTTTATTAACTTAAGAGTAAATAGCATAGGTTACATTAATAAAAAACTAGCATATAAACTAAATCTTTAATTAATACTACTTACTTAAATAATTTACTTAACTAAATTTAATAAAAAATAACTTAAAAAAAGTTTTATTTTTTATACTATAACTATTATAATTACCTACTAACACTATAAGAAGTAGATTAAGCTCTATGTAATAAACATAAGATGTTATAACCTAATCTTAGAACAACTATAGCTATATTAGTATAAAGTTGCCTTTAATTACTAAAAGTAAGTTTTAAACTTTAACTTTTTTTAATGCTAAAATATATACTTACGCTTACACCTAAATAATACCTAAGTAGCACTTAATATAGAAAGTCTCTAAACTTACTTTTTAATAACTTAGAAAAAAACTACTTAAGTAAGGCTAATAAGCTAGGCCTTTTACTAAAATAGGCTATATAAAATAATTTAATAACTACTTAAACTTAAAAAAAAAGCCTTTAAGAAATTTTTACTTACTTAATTTAGACATAAACTAGGACTTAAATAGTAGATAAACATCTGCTATATAAGACCTGCTTTATTTATAACCTTAGCTTAATAACTAGATTATAAAATCTATGTAGTTATAATTTCTAATATAGACTAAGCTTTAGCTCTCTAAAAACACACTAACTTAAAGATAATAGTCTCTTAAGACTACTATAACCTATTATATGTTTTTTTAAGACAAGTTTAATAAGCTTTTAATATAATATCTGTATAATTACTAAATAACCTTTAAGCCTAGTAAACAACCTAGTTATAGGCTACTATATAGAATATTACTAAATAAATTAAAAGTGCTTTAAAAATACCTTAATAAAAACTTAAAAAAAGAGTTTATTTAAGCTAGCTTCTTACTAGTAGTGTTACTTATACTATTTATAAAGAAACTTAGAAGTAGGCTTTAATTTTATATTAACTACTAAAAACTAAATACTATTACTATTAAAAACTAATACTTAATTCTTTTTTTATAGAAAACTCTAAGCTAACTAAGTAAAGTAAAGTATTTTATAAAATTAAATATTATTACTGCCTTTAATAAGCTAAAAATAGTAAAAGGTAATAAGTAGCTAACAGCATTTTAGACTTAATATAGACTATTTAAGTACCTAGTAATGCCCTTTAGCTTAGCTAACACACTTAGTACTTTTTAACATTTTATAAATAACTTACTCTAACCCTACCTAAACATGTTCTACACTATGTATATTAATAATATTCTAATCTATAGTAATAGCCTTTTAGAGTATAAATAGCATGTACGCCTAGTGCTAAAGGCTATAGAAGAAATAAGTCTATAACTTAATATAAATAAATATAAGTTCTACTAATTAAAGGTTACATATTTAAAATATATAATCTTTATAGATAGCATCTAAATAGACTTTATTAAGGTTTAAACTGTGCTAGATTAGTAATACTTAAAAGACATAAAAGATATTTAAGCCTTTATAAAATTTACTAACTTTTACTAATAATTTATTAACAACTTTTTATAGTAAGTAAGCTTTATAATTATACTTACTAAAAAAAAAATTTAATTTAACTTTAACTTAAATTACTAATAGTTTTTTAACTAGCTAAAGAAAGCCTTTACTAAAGCTTTAATACTCTACTACTTTAACTTTAAACTACTAATACTTGTAAAAGCTAATGCTTTAGACTACATAGTAGCAGGAGTTTTTTTCTAGACTAAGCTAGACAGGACTATTAAGCCTATTATATACTTCTTAAAAAGAATAAGTTTTGTAGAAAGTAATTATAAAATTTATAATAAAAAATTACTTGCTATAGTACACTGCTTTAAATAATAGCAACTTAAACTAGAAGGTGCAGCGCATCTAATACAAGTCTTATCTAACTATAAGAACTTATAGTACTTTGTAACTATAAAATAACTTAGCTACTAATAAGCTTATTAGTTTAAATACTTATCTTATTTTAATTTTAAGATTACTTATTATTCTAGTTAAAATAGAGAGAAACTAGATGCTTTTATAAAGTAATTTTAAAATATCCCTGCTTAAAAAGAAGTGTAAAAGGCTTAACACTAAACTTTACTTTAACTTAAGCTATTTTTAGACTTTAACTTAAATAAAATAAATTAGATAATTAATTAAATTATTACTAATAAGTATTTAAATAATAAATTTATTTAAAAAACTTTAGACTTACTCTAAAACAGCGCTAGTTAGTTAAAAAAGGTAACACTAGCTAACTATAAAAACTAAAATAGTAAGCTATATTACTATAACTAACTTATAATTCTTAATTTTAATAAACTAAGAATTAAACTACTTTAAATTATATATAACTTGCCTATTAAAAAATACCTAGGCAGAGAAAAGACTCTTAACCTACTATAAAGAGAGTACTACTAGCCCTGCATGTTCTATACTGTACACTAATACATATTATATTGCTATACTTGCTGTAAAGTAAAGGCCTTTTAAAAAAGGTATAATAGCTTACTTAAACTACTTCTAATCTTTAAATAAGCTTAAAAAGATATATTAATTAATTTTATTATAAACTTACTTCTATTTAAAGAGTACATAAATATTATAGTAGTTGTTAATTACTTAACTAAGTATTAACACTTAATACTATATTCCTTTATAACTGCCCCTAATATAGCCTAGTTATTCTACTAATATGTATAAGTTTACTATAGCCTGCCTAATATAATTATATTAGACAGAGGTACGCAGTTTGTCTTAGCCTTCTAGAACAAACTTTATAAATAGCTCTAAATTATTCTCTATCTATCTACAGCTTTTTACTTAGAGACTAACAGCTAGACTAAGAATGTAAACACTATAATAAAATAAGTTTTATAAGTGTATATAAACTACTAGTAAAATAACTAGGTAAAATAGTTAGCTATAGCATAGTTTAAAGCTAATAACATAATATCTAAATTAACATAAGTATCTTTATTTTTAGTAAACTATAAATACTACTTTTAAATAAAATTTAAACTACTTTTAAATACCCCTTAACTAACTTATTAATTTATATAAGTAATAAACATAAATAAACTTATTAATAAAATTTAAAATATATCTAAATATGTTTATAAAAAGCTTATATAAGCTTAAGCTTTTTAATAAGAGTATGTAAACTAATCTTAAACCTTTGCCCTTGTGTATGCAGCTAGCAAGAAGGTCTAGCTAGACACTAGAAATATTTAAATAAACTAATAATTAAAGAAACTTAATTAGAAGAACTTTAGCTCTTTTATAGTAGCTTATATAGTTTTATTACATGCTTACTAATTAATCCTACCTAACAGCATAAAGATACACCCTGTGTTCTACATATTATTGCTGCGCTAAGTAGCCTCTAAATCTAACTATTTACCTAAATAGCTAAACCTGCTACTTAAACCTATTATTATAAATAATAAACTAGAATATGTTATAAAAGATGTTAAATAAATCTAGTTTAATAAAAAAAAATATATCTATAAATACTTTATAAAATAGACTAGATATAATAAACTATTATAAAAACTTGTAAAAGCCCTATAAAAAAACTCTATAGTAACTTAATTCTACGCCTAATACCTATCTAAACTAAACCTGTACCCTAACAAAGACAACCTAATGCTAGAACTACTAATATAAAGGATTCCCTTTCTAATAAGGGGGGGAGTACTGTCACAGTATCCTCTCTAGATCCTAGACATAACTATATTAGACGTGTACTAGAGTATTATTAGTGCATGTCTAACATAAATATAACATAACATAGATATAAACTTAAGCATAAACTGCTTTAACACTAACTAAACTTAAAACAGGCTTAATTTATACTTAAAGCGCTTAGACTTCTAAGCTAAGTATTTAATTACTAATTTTCTTTTAAACCTTTCTATTCCTCACACAACGTCTTGTACCTACTATGATACCTCACGTAGTAATTGAACTAGACCTCTGTGAAGCTCTATAACCTTACTCGTGCACAATCGTGACAGTAAGTAAGAAGTAAAAGTAGTATCTAAATAATATTCTAGGCTGTACTATACTATATAGTTGTTAGATTGAAGCACTGTTTCTAGGCTTCCTGAGATGAATGATGGGTTTGGATATGATGTATGGGATGATGATTGATTTTCTTGATTTATCGATCCTTTTTCTGCTCTACTCGTGTTGCTCGGCTTTTGTTTTTCCGATCCGAGTCCCTCGCGCACTAGCCCTATGCGCGACCAGCTTGCAACAATGCTGCAAAATGCTGCAAAATGCTGCAACATGCAGCAATTTGCAGCAACATACTGTTCGAGCTTATTGCTCGTACTATGTAGCAGCTTTCGTCAAACGTTCCTCCTGTCTTGACAGTAGGTGCGCATATCTGACAATAGTGCTAGAGCAGGTTGTTATAGGCTATAATAGAGTTTGTTAGGGTGGGGTCTTGGCAAAAGTAAGCAACTTAGGCGTGTAAGCAACTCGCCTGTGAAGTACGTTACTAGTTTTAGGCTAGTTATATATAACGTACTTCACAGGCGAGTTACTTACACACCTAAGTTGCTTACTTTTACTAAGACCTTACTAAACTACTTTTTTTACACTAATGTATTCTTAATAACACTACTTAGACGCGCTAAAAGAACATTAAATATAGCTTATACTTTAAGCTTTTAAATAAAACATAAAACTTTTAAAGAAACATGCTATAGCTATATATAAAGTTTTTTAAAAGATAATAAATAACTATAGCACTAAATAACCTTTATAAGCTAATTCTATAGCTAACTTATAAAGACTAAGTAATAAGAAGAAGTAGGTAATTATTAAGACTATACTTAAGCTATATACATAAAGATTTTCTCTTTAAATAGCATTTATAGCTAATATAGCTAATTTATTACACGCTAAGTATAATCTAGGCTATATTAGCATAAACTAGCCTAGTATGTTTATAAAGTGTTATTTAAAGCTTAAAGTAAAGTTTTAAGTATAAGTATAGTTAATAAATATTTAGCTTATAATAAAGCTTATTTTACTAAAGTTATACATGTTATTATCTTAAATGCTATACTTAGCTTTAATATTTTTTATAAGGCTAAACCTACTTTAAATTACTTTAAAACTTTTATAAAAAGCTTTTTTATAGTTATACTACACTTAAATATTACTATAAAGTTTAGATAACACTTTCTAAACATACTAAGCTAGTTTATGCTAATATAGCCTAGATTACACTTAGTGTGTAAAGAATTAGCTATATTAGCTATAAATGCTATTTAAAAGAAAAATCTTTATATATATAGCTTAAGTATAGTTTTAATAATTACCTACTTCTTTTTATTACTTAGCTTTTATAAGTTAGCTATAGAATTAGCTTGTAAAGGTTATTTAGTGCTATAGTTATTTATTATCTTTTAAAAGACTTTGTACATAGCTATAGCATGTTTTTTTAAAAGTTTTATATTTTATTTAAAAGCTTAGAGCGTAAGCTGTATCTAATATTCTTTTAGTATGTTTAAGTAGTGTTGTTAGGAATGCATTAGTGTAAGAAGAGTAGTTTAGTAGAGTTTTAGTAAAAGTAAGTAACTTAGGTGTGTGAGCAACTTGCCTGTGAAGTATGTTACTTACTTTTACTTATTATTAACAGTAGGCTATGCAGGGAGCCTGCCAAGTAGATTAATAGTAGAAGGAGTGGAGGAAAGAAGGGAGAGAGGCTATTAGTAGACGTATATTAGAAGCTGGCCTGTGCGCTAAGCAAGACGTCTGATTAGGTCATCCAAGTTTCCGAAAGGAAAGCTAATCAACACATTGGCCCACAGTCACATCTCTCCAAACTGCACCTCTGTCTAGCGAGACTTGCGACTCTTCTTTCTCTTATTTGGCCAAAACCACTTTAAATCGGGCTTCCATTATCCGATTCAACATCCATGCTGCCGGAATGGAAGATACTCGGCCTCAGTGGACCCCAGCCGCATCAGTCCGAAAGAAAACAGCATGCGCAGAATGCAGACAACAAAAGGTCTGACGGACAGCGCCCTGTCTTTTGCTGCTACTAAATTCATGTAAATTAACAACGTCAGAACAGATGCGATGCGAAGGCGATCCAAGCACCGTAGATCCTCCAGTTTGCTTACGCTGCCGCCGGTTAAGGATTCCATGCGTCTTTTCGGTGCCGTTCAAGAGGACACATAAACGGAAGTATGTCTGTCGTTATTGAACCGCCCCTATTCCTGTCACCGCTAATTATTCGTGTATCGTAGGCGGTTGCAGGAGCTTGAGGAAGAGACTACTGCTTTAAAACGCCGGCTATTGTCAGGTTCTCCAGCAGCACCTGGCAATCCTCTGCGAAGAGATACATCACCCTCACGTCAGGAAGAGGATAACGATGTCTCGCGGATTCCTACTACCACGATAATACGTCGTAATGAACCGTCTGCTGACAACGACCCGACTCTGTCGAGGGCTATCGACGGACTGGAGCTTACCCCTAGCAGTATTGATGATTGCTTTGAACTGTAAGTTTGCTCTCTTCTCGATGAACCAGCATTTGATCCTACACAGATACTTCAAAGACTATCATTCCATGCTCCCAATTCTCGATCCTAGCGCAACACCGAACACATTCTACCAACATGCTCCATTTCTGTTCTGGGTCGTTGTTTCTATCGGATCTCGAAGATACACTCGACTACCTACTCTGACTCAAGCCTTAGCTCTACCTGTGACTCAGCTTGCTTTGCAATCGATAATCGTCCGAACGAAACCGATCGAGCGCATGAAAGGACTAATCCTTCTTCTCAATTGGCCATTTCCTTCCGGCCCATTTTACCATGATTCATCTTTTCTTCTTGCTGGTACTCTGCTTCATATGGCGATGCAGTATGGTCTTCATGCACCTACTTTTAGTCAGGAATTTTCAAAAACATATATTAATTTACTTGAACAGGAGCCCGTACGTAGAGCTGAGATGTGGGCGTATGTTGTCATTACATACCAAAGGTATACCCTCCTGAACTTAACCCACCCTACCACTGCTAATCGTAATCATCAGGACGTGCTCTAGTAGTGGGCAAGCAAACCTAGTCTCATTCGAAATCTATAACGAGCAGATACAATTCAAAACCTTACTAGAGAAGCTACCTGTGACATTACAAATCCAAATTCAAATCAGCAACATCGTCACTCGCGCGCATAAAACCTTACTCGATCTCGGGCTTCTCTCAATGACTACGCAGCAGGAGCGTACAATGGACGCTCTTTTGAAGGGATTTATTACCGAGTTGGACAGCTTAGAGAATCTCGCTTCGTCAAGTAGGGGCCAAATACAGAATGTGATTCCATATGCTGATTTTCGCTCAGGTTGGGACCGCCTCTACATAGCTTCTGCTCGTCAAGATCTTGTTGCAATGCACTTTTATAAGTCCGCAACAACTCTAGACTTGCAATCCTGTATGCTGATATTCAACGCCACATCAAGTGTCCTCGAACAGGTCCAAGACCTTGACAAAGACTATGGCCTACATCGTATATGCACACGGTTTCTTTTAATGGTTATACTGTTTAGCTTGGCCAGTATGGCTCGCATCCTCAAAGGTCCATTCGCAGGATGTCTTGACCAAATTCGCGGATATAATCTCTTTGACAATGGCGTTCGTTTCTCACGGTCCTGCTCCGTCCAGAAAGCAGACTTTGGGGAGAGAGGTGCGGCGTTTGCGGAGCAGATCTGGAAGAGTAAGAAGGTGTTTCGCAACCCCGATGGATCAATTAATATTACTCTCCGTGTGAGGAACCGTCTTTCGGGTGGTCCATTGCATGATGCAATTAGATGCTGGAAGGATGAATTCTTTGATCCCAAGTACATGCATTCTGCACCTAGCACGGATATTGGTACGCTCTTTGCCGACCTTTTCGTGCTTTCTAGCAAGTATATAGCGGCTAATGGTGGAGTAGAAACCGGTATACCCTCGAGTGCTACCGCTGGACTCGATGCTACGCTTGCTCCGAGGTTAGTCCCCAATGGCGCTCTGTCTAGTTTCTCCGCAGTACCAGAAATTTTGCTGAATGATGAGATTTGGGGAGATTTGGGACTAGGGCTGGGTGGCAATTGGGATGGGGCTGAGTCGAGTTTAAGCTGGATGGCTTGAATGGTACAGATGATTCTTTAATTGTTACTTGTGTTTGGAACTCTGTTCTGGTTACAACGGCGACTCTAAGTTTAGCATTCGCGCCTATTTATTCGATACCAAGAGTCTGTATATCCACTGAACCCCTTAAGTCCTCATCGTTGCTCATTCCAATTACGACATCTGTTCTTCTTTCTGTGCCTTTTCCCTCTCTTCCCTCTGCCGCCTCTTCTCCCTCCAACCCATTCCCCATTGATACTCTACCCAAAGCAAAGACGTCGCAAGAACGAAAATTAGCCCCAAGAAAATATAACACCACCCCCACCCCATCCCATCTAGCATGTAGGCAATAACAGCCGTCCCCGCGCCCGCAACCCAACACCGCACTAAACTACTCGCTGCCGTCACAGTCGACGGTTTCTCTGGGAACAAATCTACCAACAGCGAACTCAAACTATTACTACAAGACACTTGGGAGTACGCCATTATGAACTCCAGTATCAGCGGCACGGAGATGTTAACACGTTTCTGCAGTACCCAGCCGAATGGGATATAGGTTGCTGCGACAAGCGGTGCGAATATGAAGACGGGCTGCAAACGCACTTTTTCAATGGGGAAGTTGCGCAGGTCGGTGCTGCGTTTCTTTTCGAGTGGGAGGTTAAGCATTTTGGCCCAGCGGCGGTAGTTCCAGTCCATCAGCTTGCCGTTGAGGAAGGCAGCGAAGATTGCGGCGCCGCCAACGGGTCTGAGAAGATAAGTTAGTAAAGATTTTACTTGGACGCGGATTGTGGGGCTTACAGGTAGCAGAGGCCGACTTTGAAGGTGTTAAAACCGTACACCTCACCGAACAAGGTGGGCAAACTTGCCAATTGGGCCATCAGAACAAACATGCCCAACGCAATGAAACAAATGACGATGCAGGCATCCTTCTCGCATAGTATCACGACCGAACTCAGCGGGTTCGGAAACTGGAATTTGCGCTTCTTCGCTAGATCCCGTGCCTTCTTCTCCTTCTCATCGATTTCGCTACCCCGTCCTTCACGAATCGCCCTCTTCTTCTCCCGCTGTGCATTCCAGTGCTGAAATGGACTCATCACCCACCAATCCGACGGCGGAATACTCCCATCTCCTACAACCTTCCTCGACGTCTCGGGCATGAAGAGCACATACACGACCAAGTAGCTCCCGCTAATGATGACTAGGAACCAGAAAATCGACCTCCACCCCAGATACTGCGCCAACAACCCCCCAATCGTCGGCCCAATAGCGGGCGCTAGCATTATGCCTGCAGCAGCTGGGCCAAGATACTTCCCTCGCTCCGCGGGCGTCACGATGTCAGACATTACACCGTACCCTAGCGCGATAGTGCCGCTGCTGCCCGCGCTCTGAAGGCAGCGCAACACCAGCAACGCGACGTAGGATTTCTGCGTCGCGAGCCCAATGTTGGCGGCGAGGTAGATGGCGAACGTAAGGATGTATGCAGGACGTCGGCCAGTGGTGTCGCCGAATGTGCCAATAATCGTGGGCGCTAAGCCTTGCAAGATCATGTATGTTGTTATTGTCAAGTTGATGCGCCCCGTGGTGGTGTGGTAATCGTTTGCGATATCGGGGATAGCGGGGAAGTAGATTTGGCCGCTGAGTGGGGAGAAGAATGAGCCGAGGGTGATCATTATTATTATGAAGGTACGTTGGGGGCGGGTGAAAACTGTGTGTAGGGGTGCGGATGGTGTCTTTGTGGGGGTTTCGGGGTCGTCCGAGGTTGTGGTATTAGGGGAGCCATTGACTGCCGTGGTGTGAATTTCCAAATCTGTGGGTTTTTGGTGGCTGTTTTTCAAATTGGTGGTACCTGTTCCAGATTTACTGCTTGATGTGTGGGATTTGTGGCTATCTGCCGGAGCAGTGACCCTTTTACCCTTTCTCTTTTCTGGTTCCATCGTGGTGGAATGTATAAACGTCCGATCCTCCAATTCCTCGCTCTTCCAGGGCGAACAGATCGAATGCAATGAATCTTTGGTATCCGTGCCGAAAGAAGTTCATGGGAACTTGGTGTGGAACATTCCTCTAAAATACTGGTCAAATCTGAGAGAAAAATCGTTCTTTAGTAGTGGTGACTTTCACGGTTTGCATCTTTGTGATTGGTCTACCGGCTCGAAACCGGCACCGGACCCGGCGAGTTCGGGCGATTTATTTCCTAGTACATGCCGTGTCACTGTCATTCAATTATTTTTACGTCTCTTTACTGTCCCCTTCCTTATTACTCTTTCAATCTACTTGTACGGATCACAAAAGCCCTCAGAGTGGCCCAATTCTTCAGTTGAACTCCTCCCCAAGGTATCCGACTCGCCTGAAGCTTGCCTAACTAGCAATCCTCCCATCTTTAACCATCTCCCTGATAACCTCGATAGACGACTCTACAGCCTTCTTTGACATCTAAACCATAGGAGAACAGCTTAGCATACGGTCATCACTATGATAACTACTTGAGTAGAAGGGAGGGAAATCGGAATCACGTACCCCTTTCAATCTCGCAAGCTCCTTTTCAACAGCCGCGGTATCACTTTCCGCGATATCCGGAAGACGGAATTCGAACACATACGTCATATGCAGATCCTTGAGACTGCCGCCGGGGCCGTCGGAGACGATGTTGCGGATGTGGGAGCCGTCATCTTGTTGGAAGTCAACCTATACGGAAGGTATCGTTAGAAATCATTATTCAAATCCCCCCAATACAACCCCATGGGTCTCCAAATATTTGTTTTTAAACATAAACCCAAGACCACCCACCCAAATGTAGTGGAGACAATACACTTAGTGTTAACGTACCCAAGCTGGATAATAACTTCTAACAACCTCCCTTGCCTCATCCATGGGCCCCTGCCCCTTCTTGAACTTGACCTGCCGAGTAACAACACCATCTTTATCTTCCAACACCTCGCAGCTCTCGATAACAGGAACGAATTCATGCGCGAACCGGATTTTGCGTTGTAGGCCTTGCCAAATTTGTGGGATGGTGAGAACGGGAGATACGCCCTCTGGGTTGATCTTGGAGGTATATGCCAGATTGAGGTCCACCATTTTTGCTCGTTAACGTGATGCTTGTTATTTGGGTAGTATTGTCGATGTTGATTTTGATGGCGGATGGAGGCCGAAGTGGGTTTGAGGTATAAAGTTATAATAGAATGACGAGCTCCACGTAATTGATCCAAAAGCGGGGGATTGAGTTCTTACACTAGATCCACAGTTGTGCTAATATAATGGTAAGCTCAGCTCTATTTCCAACGAACCACGCTCTCTATATCTGTAACCCTTCTCTCCCTTGAGGATGCGATTCGATTTGGAAAGTGTCGTAGTTGTTGGGGTTGGCTCGGTGATGCGTCCACGTCACGGTCCGGTTCTCCACTGTGTCCGGTCCAGCGTGCATGGATTGCGGCGTTGGTGGTGCCACTCGCACTTATTCCCAGCGCGAGGCGTCCGAAGCTGAAAACTACATCAGAACCTCGAATTTGCCATCACTGCCACCAGAAGGCTGGGGTCGCCGATACGTTTTTAGATAAAGGGCCCTACGAAGCTCGCGCGAATGGGCGTTCGCTTTCCGATTACAGAAGGAATGCTATTGACGGCAATAGACTGTATATTGCAAATGTACGAAGTATATCTATCATCCGCAAGAATGGCCTAATGAGGGTGCTAATGAAAAAACCGTCTTATTGGTTTGCGACGGGCATTAATTTTGAATAGTGATGAGGAAACAACAATTTGTATTGACAGTTAACCTGGTTGTGAGCAAGATCAATTCACATAACTGAAAAACTACGAAATTCATATAGAGAACACCCTTTTCCTAAATATAGAGCCAATTCCCCATGTCGGATCCTAATCAGTTAAGACATCTTGCCTCGTTATTTCCTCTAGCTCCTCTCTCGACCGCATGGCAAGCAGATTTAACGCACTCCCTGCAAGAATAAAGCCACATTGATCCTCACTTAGCGTGTGCTTCGTATTTACCACCTTTTCTCCCCCGTCCTTCTTGATTACCAACTCAATCTTACCCTTTCCGCCACTCCTCAGCGTATCCAACAATCCCCTCGTGGAAACCTCGTCACAAGCATTGAAAAGCTCGTAATCCGCTTCGTTAGCAAAAGTCAAGGGGACGATACCTTGTTTCTTAAGATTCGTTTCATGGATTCGAGCAAAGGACTTTGCGAGAATGAGACGTCCGCCGAGGTACCGGGGTTGGAGGGCTGCGTGTTCGCGGGCTGAGCCTTCGCCGTAGTTGTGTTCGGCCACTACTAACCACTCTTGGCCCTTGTCTCTCCATCTCTTTCCAAGCTCTGGAATGCCTGATTGTGTGCCATCCAGGTCGTAGGCCACATTAACTTCATCCGTAGCAGCATTAACAGCACCAATGAAGGTGTTTTCTGAGATGTTCGGTAGATGTCCTTTGTACTTCAACCAGGGTCCAGCGGCAGATATTGTGTCTGTTGTACATTGGCCTTTCACTTTGTACAGGACTCGAAGGGACGTAAGCTCTGAGTTTGGAAAAGCGGGGAAAGGATCTAGTTTCGCTAAACGTGTAGACTTCGGATCAATGGAGACTTCAACAGATGGTTCAGGGAAGCCTGGAGTAGGGAAGAAATCCGGGTTTCCTTCGGAAAAACCAGCAGAAGGGAGATCGGAACCCTTTGGCGGTGAGAATTTGAAAGGGGTACCGGAGGCTGTTGGGATCGAGTCAGTGATTGGATTGAAGGTCGTGGAACCCGAATAGGACATTGCAGTAATGAGTTCCGGGGACGCAAGAAAGTTCATAGTTGCACGGTTGCCATCGTTGCGACCCGGGAAATTGCGGTTGTAGGAGGTGAAGATGGCGTTGGACTCGCCCTTTTTAATTCCATCTGTACGGGTCCATTGCCCAATGCAAGGACCACAAGCATTTGCGAGAACGGTACCACCTGCAGAGGAAAAGGTAGAGAGGGTATCATCACGATCCAGAGTAGCGCGGATCTGTTCACTGCCTGGAGTTATAAAAAAATCAACCTTGGGTTTCAGACCAGCAGCGGAGGCTTGCTTTACAAGTTCCTCGGAGCGGGTCATATCCTGGTAAGAACTGTTCGTGCAGCTTCCAATGAGGCCAGCGTTAAACTTCTTGGGCCAGTCCTGCTCCTCGACTAATGATTTGAATCTCGAGAGTGGGGTTGAAAGATCGGGTGTGAAGGGGCCATTAATATGGGGCTCGAGGGCGGAGAGATTGATGGTAACCACTTTGTCATACACGGCCTCAGGGTCAGCACGCAGTAAGTTCATGGCCATAGGTGCTGAAGCAATGTTAGAAGCAGCCTTAGCGATCGGCCCACGGTGAGTTGCTTCTAGATATGGAACGTGCGCGGGAGAGAATGGGAACAGAGAACTTGTCGCGCCGACTTCAGCGCCCATGTTGCATATCGTCGCCATGCCGGTGCAGCTCAGAGATTGTACACCAGGACCGAAGTACTCGAGGATGAATCCTGTTCCGCCCTGGAAGCCTGTTAGAATAATACCTGGCTGGATTCGAGAATATTCCCTACCCGGACAGTAAGCTGGCCAGCAAGACTCAGAATGACGTCTTTCGGAGAAGCCCAGCCTGTCAATTCACCCTCAAGCCTAACTCCTAATATCCTGGGTGCTTTAAGTTCCCAAGGCGCGTCGACTAGGGCATCAACGGCGTCCGCACCACCAACACCAATGGCGATAGCGCCCAGACCACCCGCATTTGGGGTATGGCTATCTGTCCCAAGCATCATCAACCCAGGTGCAGAGTAGTTCTCCAGAACGGACTGGTGGATGATACCAGCCCCAGGAGGCCAGAATTCAATACCGTATTTCTTCGCAGCGGATTCGAGAAATTCGAAGACCTCTTTGTTACCGGCTATCGAATTAGGCAAATCTGCATCCGCACCCTTTTCTCCCACAATCATATGGTCGCAGTGTATGCTTGCTGGAACAGCAGTCGACGCAAGACCACAGGACATGAATTGGAGCAAAGCCATTTGGGCCGAGGCATCTTGCATAGCAACCCGGTCAGGCTTGAGCTTGAGATTTGCATTTCCTCTGATTTCTTTGCAATTATTTGTATTTGAAAGCAGCGACTCTTCGACGTGATCCAAATGCGAATAAAGGATCTTCTCTGCTAGTGTCAACTTCCGCGAATCTCCCAATACCCTTCGTACTTCATGGAGCTTTGTAATGAGTCTGTGGTATGGCGGCGTTCGCGACACAATATCTACTTCGGGCTGAGGAGACACGGAGTTTTTGGTGGCCAGCCATCGCCTTGCTGGGCATGAGACCGAGATAGGCTGAGAAAATTAGCATTGAGAAAGGGTCATACAGAGTTCAAAGACCTGGTACAAGATACAATTCGACTTACCCTCCAATTGATAGCCTGGGTAGCCCGCAATGGTTTCGCCCGCATCCTGGAGGAATTTGTCGTGAGAGGGCCGAAATTCTCCAATTGCGAAGTCGGCCACGCTATCAGTCGATACGATCGCCAAGCTCTAGGGAAATCATCGGCCAATCACATGCGGCTTCAAGTAATCATAGCAACAACAGGCAATCGAACCAATAACACGAAGGATTTCATTGAAGCAATAGCTACAAAAGCGAGCAAGCCCTCTGGGGTGGTATTATCGAACACTATGCGCAAACCTTGCGTTGGCTGACAATCAAAGAGGAGAGCCTTGGCTTTGGGAGTTCAAATTGGTGCATATACCTACGAAAGGCACTATCAAGGGTTTTAAGGTTGACTAGCAGAGACTCAGTCGTCCAATGCCTTGCTCAGGGCAATGCTGCCAACATCTCTTGTCTTGGTCAATCATTTTTAGATCGACCTCAAGTCGGAAGATGAACTGTTCTCTTGAGATGTATAGCCCCGGGAAGACTACTTACAAGCCCGGAGGTGGTGGTACCTGCGGGGAATTAGTCTGAGGAAGTGGTAGAAAACGAAGGTAGCTCACTGAGTGGTACGATCCAGGAGGTGATCCCGCTGGCAGCGGCGGCGGAGGCGCAGCACCAGGAGGAGGAGGCGGAGGAGGCGCTGTATCAGACGGTGGTGGTGGGGGAGGAGGGGGGGCAACCGTCGTTCCAGGTGGCGGAGATTGCTGAGAGGCTGCCTGACCACCATAGTACTGATTGTACATAGCCATATATGCGTCATACCCACCATATGCCGCATAGGGGTCCTGCCCGTTTTGGTAGTATTGTTGAGCGTATTGAGTCCAATAAGCTGCAGTATAGTCTTGACTACCCTGGACTGGGGTGGCGACGGTAGGTGCAGCGGGTGGCGCATCATTTCGGCCACCATAACCACCACTGTAGCCAACCCCGTACCCATAGCTCTGGCTTCGCTCGCGGTCGCCGCGATCTCCATATCCTGGGCGTCCATCTCCGCCATAACGATGTTGAGGGGGGCGTTCTTTGAATTTCTCATACTCCCTCTTTACGTTGGTGAGAAGCTCATAGCACAAGTCTTTAGCTGTTTGTACCATGGCAGGGTCTGGCCCTCTGTCTCCTGTTAGCGAATGAAGTCCTGGGAGAACTAGAAGACTGACGCGACGTGGAGGTACATGGGCTCGTCACTCTCTTGACCAGATTGGGGCTCCATGAATCCAGAACCACGGCCCTTGATCTGTACCTTGCAACGGGTTTCTTGCTGGATGTACTTGACATTTTGCCCTCCTTGGCCGACAACTTGTGCCCGCAAGTTGAAACCACTGATTGGTTCAAGATCGACTGGGATCTTCTCCTCCGGCCATTTGCGCTGCGATTTATCAGCATTTCTCAAAATGTATATAGAAACAGTTAGTATATACTCGACCAAATTCATCCCGCTCGATGTTGTCAGGTTCGCGACCGCGACGGAATCTACGTTCATCAACGAGGTTTGGCAAATCCTGTTTCATTAATTCCTCAATCTTAGCAACCGCCTTCTCTAGACCTTCTTTTGAAGTGCTAGTGATGTGAAGATAGAGCGGGGGTGCCTGAGTATGTTAGACAGAATACTATTCAGGCCCAAAGGATGTACCTACCGCAGCAGTTGCCATGCTCTTATCGGGGTAGTACTCTCCTCGGGTTGTGACATCTTGTAATCGCATAAGCAGGGCATTCTAAACAGGTTCAGTAGTAATAGGTGGTGTAGCGTACCGGCACCAGTATCTTCCTTGATCTAGATGTCACACGTTTAATGTCAGCAGGTGCAAAATGGAGTGAGCGCTAGACAGCTAGACGACGGGGTAAGCTTCCACTCCCTAAACAAGAGGGAGTAAGAGATGCAAACGCAAGGAATTCTGACCCTACGGCTACGGAGAAGCTACGGATAGCGTTCCTCGCCGCAACAGGGGAGGAGTGAAGAAATTGGTCCTGAGAGAATCAGTCGGACGACAGGAGTGAATTACCGTTTTTTGTGTAGCTCCTTTGGTCAGTGTATAGCGATTGCGCAGATCATTGACTTCAATGTCCTTGATGTAGTCGCCGTCCTGTTGGTAGATCTCGCCACTAACAGCAGCGCCTTTACTCGGAGGGGATTTCGTACTCGTAGGAGTAAGGCTCTGTATGCAACGTGAGTTAAAGGTTCCAGAGACAGCAAAAGGGCAAGGGCACATACAGATCGAATAGGCGGGACATCAACTGTCTGAATGCTCTTCTTAGCCTGGATGGACGCAGCAATCCTGGCAGCAGCTGCTGCTGCTGCCGCTGCTGCTGCACCGGGTGGACCAGCCGGACCGGAGTTTCTGCCCGCGGTTGAAGGACTGTCGGTGGAGTCGCGAGCAATCGGGCTTCGGCTGCGCACCACAGAGTCGGACGCGCGCGTCGAGGGCGAGCGGGAACGTCGATCGAAGCGTGAGCGTGAGGATAGCTCAGGCTCACCTCTATCAAAGCGCGAGCGCGGTCGCGGGTTGTCAGACATGTTGTGCGTCTGTTCTAGTGCATGCGGTTGCTAGCGGGGCGGAGGAGCTCAGGGCTGGAGTCGATGTGAAAAGTCGTGAAGGCTCAAGCGAAGCATGCGAGGACTCTGCCTAAGCCTGTTTTAGGTTAGTGTCTTGGCGGGGCTTCACTTCCCGAGCCACAAGCATTCGCGCGGGAGGTTGCCGAAACCGGGGACGAAATTGTGCTCTGATTCATCTATCCTCCACCTCTTTGTGCGTCCACAACCGCACTGAATACTCTACCAACTGCTCAATTGGTCGCGCTGAACTTGCTCCTCCCGTCATGGCGTCACGGCGGGCTCTCCATGCCTTGCCTCTCCACACTCTTCTCCGTCCTCAGTGCTCCAGAAGCTTGCTGCAGTCGGAACGGTTCTCCAGCTCTTCGTCCACCCAAGCGTTAGCATACAAAGCGCTCCACCGCCGCATTGCCCCCCTCCCGACCGATGACCGTCCTCCCGCGTGGTCTGCACAGGCCGCTGTCAGCAGCATTCTCTATGAAACCCCGCTCCCCTCTCAAGCCCCGCCGAAACGTCATATCCTGAACTGCTTGGTGCAGAATGAGCCCGGTGTGCTGTCTCGTGTGTCTGGTATTCTTGCCGCCCGCGGTTTCAACATTGACAGCTTGGTTGTTTGCAATACCGAGGTGGACGACCTCTCCCGTATGACAATTGTGCTCCAAGGTCAGGACGGAGTAGTCGAGCAAGCCCGCCGTCAGCTGGAGGATCTTGTTCCGGTATGGGCGGTACTGGACTACACAGCAGCCCCCCTCGTACAGCGGGAACTTCTCCTTGCGAAGATATCAATACTTGGTCCAGAGTACTTTGAAGAGTTACTTGCCCACCATCGGGAGATGGCACACATGCCAGATGAGATCGAGGGGGTTTATGAACCAGCGGAACTATCAGATGCGGAGCGCGAAGCCTTTGCTGATGCAGCGGCTCGCGAATCTCTAAGAAAGAATTTTCATCCAAGCAACCTAGCCGTTAGTCAAGCGCTGAGACACAAACACGAGCATCTTCGGGCCATCACCTTCCTGACACATCAGTTTGGTGGCAAAGTGCTTGATATCAGCACTAATAACTGCATTGTAGAGGTGTCTGCAAAGTCGACTAGGATTGATTCTTTCATGAAATTGATTGCTCCCTTTGGAATCCTCGAGTCGGCGAGGACAGGTTAGTTACCCCTACAGAACGTCCTGGTTTTTGGAAACACTGACTAATTTTGCTGTAGGCCTCATGGCTTTGCCACGTTCTCCGCTCCACGGACCAAACGAGGTTGAAGAGAAGGAAGCCCAGGATGTTGTGGACCAGAGCACACTTCCCCCAGGTTAAGTCTATCTTCCACCCTTTGCTTGGATTTTTTGGAGTCATCTGAGTTTGGCGGAAAGGCGTTCTCTCGACCCCTTGTACATACCTCCACGATGGCCTGATATCCTAGTGCAGATATAAAACAGTTTCTCCAAGTGATGCCAGGCCATATCAAGCCGTATCACTAAAATGTGTCATTTCAAGGGACAGCATGATCTGCCCATAGTCAGCTCTCGTCCTCTTCAGCTTCGCCTCCGAGTATGTTTGCCTCAAGAGGTCCGGTAGAATTGATATCCGGATGAGACAAGGTCCACCCAGCCTAACGGCGACAAGAAAGCACATATCACTCCACCGTTTTCCGACACCTGGGCACATCCAGTCAAATTCTTTATTCGATGCACCTGTGGTATGAATAATGTACTGTTTTGTGAGCTTCCACAAACCACGGCTTGGCTGAACCCTGCATCTGTTGAAGTATCCATGGACAACGGAATGGCTTTTGGTCCTCCGTGGAGAGCTGTCGTACCGGCCGCTGCACCTCTCATGCAGACGAGAAGAGAAATTGGGGCTTTGATGGAGCGACCTTTATGGAATTATTAATTAATGGAACAGTCGCTTGACAGGACATTGTACCAATACAACTAGGCGATTGCGCATCGTGGCCGTATGCTCAATTCTGCTAGGGGCATAAGGTTGAGTCTCTATCTCAGGAGCTTGGTGGGAGACTGTAGTACATTTAGTATCATGAGAGAAAAGGCCCTCGACTTGATGTTGTATAGGTTCTGTCGCTCGTATAGCAATATACGGGACGAGTCGGCTTTCCCACAAAAATACATCGAACTGTCTGATCTCGATGCAATTCCTCTCACCGGTGATGGTCGATAAATAATACGAGCATTTAGAGTGGAAGGATTCGTGTAGAGAGCCGCATATGGCAACCCGCTATCCGTCCCTGCAGGGGGTAACAAGTGCGAGAAATCATATGGATGCGTCACTCATGTGCAGTTGAGCAGCATTCCAACGCACGTGAGCATTTCATGTCCGGGAATTCAGCTTACATTGACAAGCGAGGTTGTATGTGAGCTGAAGGGTTTTCCAAGAGTTTTCAAGCGGTTGGTAGTCCGTCGTCAAACCCTCTGGGGCTTTACAGACACGCGATATCCCATGACGATGCTTTTCCTTGCGGCGAACGGCAGTGGCCCATCACTGCAATCGCGACGGCGAAGTCGGCAGACCGAGAACGCGCTCAGATAACAAATCGACCCAAGCGTCTTTGATTTGATGCAACACATGATAAGTCAGTCACAGGTTGCAAGGATCCCATGCCCGCCATCCATGTTCTCTTCCAGATCCCCGATCGGAGGAGCATCTCTCATGTTATCTTCACTCACTCAACACTTTCCTGCATTCACTGGCGCCCGTCACTCTTTCCCTCTTTCCCTCTTTCTCCCCGCTCTTTTCCTTTGTGAATGAGCAATTGATCATTGATTATTTGTTCTCGCGCTACGTCATACTTACACGACCTCTTCGCGATCCACAGGTACCTCATTTGGGAGGAGGCGCGACAGGAGCTCGCCTCTAAAGCGCAACAGCGCCCTGCAAACATACAAACCGCCAACCGCTCCGAGGGTACGGTCTCCTCTGTGAATTGTGATTTCCCTTGGTCAATTGCCCTCTTTTTACTTCGCATTCTATTCTTGTCCTCCTCGGTGCTGTGGTCTAGCAATACCTGTTTTCATTTTTCCTGCCGTTTAACTGTGAGCTCCCATTAGGTCCAGGACTTGTGTAACGACGTACAAAGAAGTTGCCGTATGCCAGCCAAGGAAATTTTGCAGAGTACCAGAATTCTGGGCTCCACAGGAGGATATGAAATACGGGGACACCTTGCGCCAGCGGTCAATACCGGAATGGGTTCACTGTGAGTACATCCACCGCCTGTCCTACACAGGCTAATCCGGTAGTCAACATCGACTATGATTATCTCAAGGACCTGATCAAACACCAGACCACCCCGGGCGCCGGTAAAGCTGTGTCGATCCCAGGGCAAGAGGAGCCAATGGAGAGAGCTTTTGGGGACACTTTCTTCCGAGTCTTGAAGGCGCAGCACGATCGCATCAACCTATTCATAAAGAGCAAAAGCGGGGAAATTGAGCGAAGGGTGGACCACATCAGCAAGCGATTGTTGCAACTCCAGGCACGTCAGACTGCGGACAGTCCGGGGACACGGCTGCCGGCAAGGACGGTTGAGAAGTATGCAAAAATTGATGCGGACGTTACCAAGTAAGTCTATGTGCCCGGTCAAACAGGACGCATCCGCCGTCCGTTACCACGTGTGCCACTAATAATGACAAGGGCCGGCGAAGAGATTCGATCCTTATCGAGGTTTCGGGTCGCTCAGTGCACTGGATTCCACAAAATACTGAAGAAATACAAACGATGGACAAGAGACCTGGAGCTTGAGCGTTGTTTTAGGGAGGAAATTATTGAGAGCCCAGAAAGCTTCTTTGAACTAGACCTTGGGTATCTTCTCGATCAATACATCGATGTTCTCGGTGCTCTTCGGGCACCCTTTGATAGTTCTAAGGCAAGGACTTCGTCCGGCGAAACGGGAAAGAACGCATTCCCTTCCTCCCAAAATGACGCAAACGTCCCGGCACGATTTTCCAAGGCTGTTGAAGAGGGGTCAGAGTTGGACTTTGATATTTCCTTGGCTACAATACCTCTTGGAGCTCAAGGTAGCAAAGCCACATATTGGGTACACCCGGACCACATTGTTGAAGTCGAGGTAATGCTCCTCCAGCAAATGCGCCTCTTCACTAGCATCAGCACCAAGGCGTCTAGTTCTCCGAGGGGCTCCCCATGCTCATCACCTGTCCATCGAAAATCATCGGCGACGTCCGGCAAGTATTTCGGTAATGAAGGTGAGATTGGCTCGATAATCTTGGATCATCCTGACACTTTTGCGATAAACCAGAATGCAAGCACGGTTGGTTCAAGCGAGGAGGCCACGGGCACTATCCGAGCTAGGGCGGCTGGCAACGCTCGATGGACTTCTTCTGGAGAAGCAGCAGTGGTAGTCGGACTGGAATCAAACCAGAATATCGAGGGCCCGGAGCCCATCAACGTGGCCAAATTGAAGCGCAAACATCTCGAGGCTTTCCTTGAGCCTTTCACGCTTCCACGGACTCGACGAAATTCAGCTCTGACCGAACAGGTGGAACAGTCCGAGGATGCTGCGCAAGAAAATACGGCAATGGTTCAGAAATGGCTTATCGACCATGCCAATATCAGACCGATCGCTGGCTTGTTCGCAAAACGCACCAGATTCGTTGGGCTGCGCAACGGCCCTACCGGTGGCTTATGGGCATATCTAGATCGAGACATATATATGAAATCCTCCCTTCACAAAGATCTCAAGAGCAACGAATGGGTTGCTAATGCGCGAGTTGGGTCATCTAGATTCCCTCATGCTGTTTTGGAAGTCCATCGGGAAGGGAGTCAATCACAAGAGCTTATCCAATTATTGGATCAAAGTCATTTGGTCTGTCCACCCCCTCAAATGCCCCGGGATATGTGCTAACTTTGCCAAAGCTTGAGCGCGTGCGCGGCTTTTCTCTAGAAATCCACACGGTTTGGACCTGCTGTCAGCCCGAAGCAATGTCAACCCCGCTCTGGGTATGTTACTCTACTCAAGGATGATCCAACATGACTGACTTGGTATAGATGCCCTTGCTAGATACTGACATTCGAAGAGTACCTGTCCCCGTAAAGAGGCAGTGTAGGAATGCAGGAAGTGTGTCCGATTCTGCGTCTCAGACCTCACCTCCGCATACAGGAACTTCTGCGACATCAATGACGGATGGCCGGACGAGTCCATGCGCTCTACGAAACGGAGAATCATCTGCTACGTCAGGACCAGGACTGATTCAAGCTCCGCCACTGCGGGCCTTTCGGAAGAAACCACAACGACCTTACTCAGAATATCTACCGCCGGTACAAGCTGAAGAGCAACCTCGTACTCGAGGATACTGGAATGAATACGACAACCCAGAATCAGAAGACGAAGGATACTACATATACGTTGACCCGAATGCGACTATAAAGTTTCCTGGTCAAGAGTTGATGGAAGCGTGGACACGCAAAGCCAAACGCCTCTTCTGCGTTGGCGAGGTTCCTCAGGAATCATCCTTGTTGTCTACTGCCGAGCTCGGAATCGGTGATGATGGTGATGATGATGATGAGGAGGAGGAGGAGGGGGAGGAGGAGGAGGAGACGGCTGACGAATCCGTCCTCACCAGTCTGACGAACTATGGCGCTATTGCTTCGAATCGGCGCACCCCACAACACGAGCACGATGGTTATTTCAGTGGTCTCTTCCGCTCCCTACGCAACCCGCATCGCGATGTTACCGTTCTGGACACGATGCGGTGGCATTCTGAGCGCGAACGACAGAGCTTCCTTGCCGAGATTCATACTCGACAACATGAGCGCGAGATGACAAAATTGCGATTCTACTCAACGTGTCTTGCAGCAGCTGCTATCATTGACATCATCCTCAGCTCTCTGACGATTACGAGTCGCAGGAAGGAAAGGGGCATTGTAGATGGTGTGATTTTATTTGGCACGATCAGCAACTTGTTGCTGCTTGTTATTGCAGTCCTGAGCATGAAGACGAGGCAAGAGCGTTTAGGGTGGCTACATCACGTTGTGGTATATGTTATTGCCACCGGGATTGTGGTAATGGATGTCTTGTTGTTAAGGTGGGTTTTGAGTCCCTAGGGAAGGATTTCGGGTTGAATTTTCCGATTGTTAAACTGTCTATGATCCCACATAGTTTTCGCATCTTTTCTGAATATTTTTTACAATTTTTGGATTGTGGAGCTTGGGGTTTCTTATATACATGCGACTCCGACTTATGATTTGGATTCGGAAGACACAAGGCTGTATTTAGCAATGCCGTAGATCCATGAGATAATAAGGGGGCTTGAATACGCCGCACTTTCGAAAGGAATCTTTGGAGAGCTGATGTTTTTGTGCTTCCATGTGCTCTCCGAAAGCGAGCGTGGGGGTCCAGAAGCATGTTCGCTTCGGGCTAAAGCTGGACCGAAATTCCCAGCGCGGATCTTTCGTCATCCATTGCCAATGCAACACCCAAACTCCCACTCTTCTCCCCCTGCGGCCTCATCCCCATCCAAAGTGGCCGGAAAATTTGCAACAGCTTTTATACGGCTAGGTATGTTGTCTTAGCAAACCTGCAAGGTGAGTGGGATGCAGCACGATATTCTCCGGTGCGCATTTGGCACTAACAAAAGCATGTGAAAGGCCTTGCGCCTCTGTTGGACATATATTTCTGTCCTCATTGATATCGAAGTGGGGTGGACTCGACATTCCTTTGGTCGGATATCTACAACTTGAGCAATATCATGGCTGCCAGGCGCTCAAGTCGAATTCTAAAGCCGCTGCTGTATACGGCAGGTGCTGGAGTCACCAGTGGTGCAATACTCTACACGGCATACCGACCGCGAGATATCCCTGGCCTGGAAGCCGCTGCGGTTCCGCCACCCACGTATGGAGAAGGGGGTGTCTTTAGACCTCCAAAGTTCCCCCGCATCAAGAGCCGTGATGAGCAAATTGCAGACCTCAAACGAAGCATGGGAACTGTTGTGCTCAGTATGGACAAATTGGGGAGCGGGATTAATACTTGGTTTGGCAGGAGCTCTACTCCCGCAACAGAAGACGCTGGGGATGGGCCGTATGATCTGTTGATTATCGGTGGCGGTGCTACTGGGTCTGGAATCGCGCTTGATGCGGTGACTCGAGGTCTAAAGGTTGCGCTGGTTGAGAGGGACGATTTTAGTAGTGGAACTAGTAGTAAGAGTACAAAGTTAGTCCACGGAGGTGTCCGATATCTTGAGAAAGCTGTTTGGAACCTGGACTATAGTCAGTAAGTTTTAGCGTCCTTGCAATACTGCTACATTTTGGGGCTAAGAACCACTCAAAAGGTACGCTTTGGTCGTAGAAGCGCTTCGTGAACGACGCTACTTTTTGGATACCGCTCCCCATCTTTCGTCATGGCTTCCTATCATGATTCCGATCGACAAGTGGTGGAAAGTGCCTTACTTCTGGGCCGGTACAAAGATGTATGATTTTCTAGCTGGGTCCGAGAACATCGAGAGCTCGTACTTCTTGACAAAGAGTAAAGCTCTTGATGCATTCCCCATGCTCAAAAAGAAAGGGCTCTTTGGTGCTCTTGTCTACTACGGTACGTGCTTTGACACCTCCACTCATCCGGTACTAACTTCGTAAGATGGGGCGCACAACGACTCTCGCATGAACGTGTCCCTCGCAATGACCGCAGCGTTGTATGGTGCGACCGTGGTCAATCACCTAGAAGTCATAGCGCTAGAGAGGGACGCCTCCGGGAAACTCTATGGTGCACGGGCAAAGAATTGCATTTTGGAGTTGAACGGCAAACAAGCTCAAGAGTTTACAATCAAAGCGAGGGGTATCATCAACGCCACCGGACCCTTCACAGACTCTATCCGGAAATTAGACGATCCGAGTGTAGAGGAGATTGTCGCTCCTAGCTCTGGTGTTCACGTTATTCTGCCTGGGTTCTACAGCCCTGCGAATATGGGTCTCATTGATCCTTCAACGTCAGATGGACGGGTTATCTTCTTCCTCCCATGGCAAGGGAATACGATTGCTGGTACTACAGACACACCAACTTCGATTATGAAGAACCCCGTTGCAGGAGAGGATGAGATCGAGTGGATTCTGAAGGAAATCCGGCGGTATCTTCAACCTGAGATTAATGTCAGACGTGGTGACGTTCTTGCCGCTTGGTCCGGCATCCGACCTTTGGTGAGAGATCCAAAGGCTAGCAAGACTGAAGGCCTTGTCCGAAACCATTTAGTCACCACATCTCCTTCTGGTCTCATCACATGCTCTGGTGGCAAATGGACCACATACCGACAAATGGCCGAAGAGACTGTCGACGAGGCAATCAAAGAGTTTGGTCTGACAACAGCACCATCAGTGAACGTACCACGTGTTAGCGGAACTGAAGTCGAAGACGAAGCTCCTCTTGACGGCACCTGCCAAACACACCGGGTTCGGCTTATCGGCGCACACGGTTATTCCAAGACACTCTTCATCAATCTCATCCAGCATTATGGCATCGAGACTGAAATTGCGAAGTATCTTTGCGCAGCTTATGGTGACCGGGCATGGACTGTCGCTGCACTCTCGGCTCCAACCGGAAAGCGCTTTCCCGTACGCGGAAAACGCATTTCGCCATTGTATCCGTTCATTGATGGCGAAGTCCGATATTGTGTGAGGCATGAATACGCTCAGACTGCCACCGATGTCGTCGCTCGTAGGATGAGACTAGCGTTCCTCAATGCACAGGCCTCGCTTGAGGCGCTACCTACAGTGATCGATCTCATGAGTGAGGAACTCCACTGGGATGCAAAGAGGAAGGAGCGAGAGTGGAAAGATGCGGTAGCTTTTTTGGGCAGCATGGGCTTACCCAAAGGTAAGCTCACGTTAACGAGAAAGGATGTTGAGAGTGGAAGGGTGGGGAAGTATGCGGATGAGGAGTATCAGCTTTATGCCAGACATGGTGAGTGCTAATGCGATTGATGACTTGACATGAGAGTTTGTCACTGATTAGATGTAGATAAACCAGATGAGACGCTCGAGTGCGAGCCGAAGTATCCAAAAGGCTATAATCCTGTCAGGGGACCTGGGTTAGGAGCGAACAAGTGAACTTATTTGTTGTTTCCTCCCTCCCGTCAAATGTGGATAGACGGCTGGCTTAGGAGTATTGATTCTACTAGGAACCTAAAAGAAGTGGGCTGTACATGCAAGATCGATATCGGAATACTAGTGCCCACACATTGTTTTCTTCCTGTAATGTATCTTGTCACCTAATGTGGAACATAGTATGGGCATTTCCACATATAAATTTGTATTTGTTGGCGTTCTCCCTCACGCTATTAAGAGCGTTAATTGATCAAATCCCCACTGCTCGTCTTCCACAGACTGTGTCAATCTGCTGTCACAAGCTCTGGCCATGTATTTCGTCCATGCTTGACGATTTACCTACACTGTTCGAAGTAGCCTTCCGTGCCATATATGTCTTTGCTTTCTGCTCACGACATACGAATCCCATCTTTACAGGGCTACAGATAGATTGGCCACTCGCGCTCGGACATGATTCACCGCTGCATCCACGTCTCGTGCATACATGCATGTATCCCTTCACCTACGTATGAACTCACTTGCTATGCTAAAAAAATTGTCTAGACTATTTATATACCGTAACAGCAATCTCTGCGCTGTGCTCGCGCAAAATCATCAGCGTTTCTCTCTGTATGGGCTGTTCCATCCCAGGCACCTCTCCGCTCCGCCGTCGTGATCTAAAACTCTGGCGCTTACACATCCTTGTCCCCAGCTCAGCGCTTCATTTCGAGCCTCAACGTTCTTTCCGAGGTCGTACAGACAGAAATTGCGCTGCTGCATTGCGTGCATGCATGTTCGTTTAGAAGGAGGCTAACTAGGGCAGCAGGAGCGTTTCGGATATGATAGCTTGAAATGGGTAACCCATATCGATAATGCATATACAAGACCTATGTATGTATTGCGATGGTCCATGAATGGATGGCCTTGAACAAGGCAGGGCATGGTAGGGTAGGGCAATGCAGTGGTGCGTGCAGAGCGAGTGAGCGAGCGCCAAAGCGTTCAGTTGCGATACTGGTATTGGATAACATTTGAAGATTGCGATACAATAAATGATACCCTAGATGAGTTTGTATTTGCAAATTGGGGTGTGTTTGGGTAGTTCTGGGAACGTAGATTAAACTTGTTTGGAGTTTGCGTTAGTAGAGAGATCGAGAAGGTTTTGTGGGTGTTAAAGCAGCAGTGGGTGGCTTCTGTCTGGTCTGAAGTAGAACTTTAGATTCCTCGGGATATCTCGGCCGAACTTGTGTTCCTAATGATTCTGGCACTGGGGCAGGAGGCATGGTTGGTGGATGGTGAAGTGATATTATCAATCTGTGGGTGGTGAAATTGGCGGAAAGCTACTTAGCAGAGTGGGGGGCTAGGCCTGTGTCGGCTCGCGAGAAAGCTGCCCTCTCTCATCAGAACCTCCAATGACCAACCACCTGCATTCGTCCGACAACACTGACGCATGATGGAGGCAAGAAGCTTGGAGATTGTGGAGCGTGATGATGCAGGGAATATTATGGCTTCGTATATCGAGTCCATTGAGCATGGGAAGGCGAGGGTTGATGTTATTGTTTGTCTCACTTCCACCCTCTCTCCCCTCTATCTTGAATTTGGGGTGCCACAACTGGGAGTTGGCTAATGAGAATGATGATGGCTTATAGTTTCCGAAAGGAATGAAGAGCTTTGGACAACAGCTTCTGGATGTCTTTCTTCCAGCTGGATATCCGCAAAGTGTGACGGAGGATTATATTCAGTTCGTGAGAACCTTAGGCTACCCTGTTGAACTTCCCTGGGTTGTCACACACGAGCTGATTCTCTCTCCTTGTTTCTGTTATCAACAGGTACCAGATCTACGTAAGTCTCACCTATTCCTCTGCACGTACGAAGACGGAGATATTCAAATATGAATGTCCGCCCTGATCTGATCATCTGTCACACAGGACTCCCTACAAGCCTTCTCGTCTTCAATTGCCGGCCTGTTATCCTCACGCGCAGTCCTCGAAGTTAAGTGTGACCTCTTTCATGTGTTAAGTCAAATGCACTTCTTCTTCTCCCTCCCTGTTTATGGCATGATATCTGATATGGATTTCCAATCTATCTCCCCGAATGAAGCCACAAAGATCCTGCAGACAGAGTGAAACATGTCCCGATGGACTGGGATTTTGATTAATACCTCACTCATTTCTCCGTACTTGTTTTCGCTTGCTTTCCTTCCTCGACTAAAAGTCCGGTGTCAGCAGTCATGCTATGGATGGAGAGCGACTAAGATCAAGCCACAACTTACAGACTACCGCGGGCTCCGCTGATGATGAAGGGAAACAGGAGTCGGTGTTGGTGACGCTTCCGCCTCCCCCACGGCCGCACTTCTTCTCTCTGTGCTCCAAGAATCCATGGGGCGTATCGCAACAATCCTGTTCGCGCACAAACTCGGCACATCGCTGGAGCCCGAGTGTAAAATGTATCGGTTAGCCGCCGACATCTTCAACGACACGGCCATGGTGCTTGATTGTCTATCTCCGGCATTCCCGAAACCGGCAAGAGTCATGGTGCTTGGATTTTCGAGTGTGCTACGGAGTTTATGTGGCGTATGTGCCGGGAGCTCTAAGGCGAGTTTGAGCGCGCATTTTGCGCGGAAGGGCAACCTCGGGGAATTGAATGCTGTGAGTAAAATATCGTTTCTTATGTGTTGTTTGATCGCTTTTGTGTTGGCACTTTGCTGTCCGAAATGGGTTCATCTAAATCTTTCCTCAGGAGAGGGAGAGGGGAGATATTAACAAGGACCCACCCACCTTTCATATATCGATACATGTGTGGAAAAATGTCTTAGATAAGCTAAATGCTGATCTTAATTGCAGAAAGACTCAAGCCAAGAGACTGTTATATCACTGCTTGGGATGCTGGTAAGTCTTGCCCCTGTCGAAGTCTCTCTAATGATGGGATACCACATATGATGCTTGGCAATAAGGCCCCAGCAGCGTTCAATTGGCCTTAGTTCTGATATACAAAGAATGCTGGGTTCTCAGGCTAATTGATGATCCGATATATGCAGGCAGGCAGCGTTGTAGTATCCTGGGTGACCAGTCCAATGGCAACATGGACCACGCTTATCGCCCTTCTATCAGTCCACCTAGCAATGAACTACGCTGCCGTCACGGCCGTCAGTATGCGCTCACTGAACCGCCAGCGTGCCAACATCGTGCTAAGCACGTTACTGCAAGACGGAAGAGTGCTCCAGCCAACAGAAGTGTCGAAAAGAGAACGCATTTTCGAGCGTGACGGAGTTCTGCGCTGGGCAGCGGCAGCGGGGGGCCGTGACCAGATTGTCGGACACTGCAGTATTGGAGAGCGTTTGGAAACAATTCTCGCGCGCTTGGGGCCAAGGCATGGATGTGAACGGACAGGATCGCGAGTTCTGCAAGCCATCAAATTGTCCGAGTTGCTGCGTTTGTTTGATGACCAGGCTTACATACTCTGGTTCGATCAATCTGAATCCGAAGCTCGGATTGTTTTGAAGGAAGGCGCCACGCCGATTGATAAGCTCCAGGCGTGGAGCCAGGCGCTTTTGCTGGCGCGAAGATCGAGAATTAGGTCCAGAGCGACGGCAAAAACAGCACAGGGTCAGCCTGATGAGAATGACAGGTCTGTGTCAGAAGAAGGCCAACGACTGCTGGCTGAGCTCAGACTAACCATGGAAGAGATACGGAAAACTTTCGACGTGCACACGGAAAGCCTGAGGAATGCAGGATGGGATCTGGATCTCGGTGCTTTGGAGACACGACCAGGGACACTGGCAGTGATTGCTCGCAATAAAGACATATAGTAGCCAAGGAAGTTAAATGTCCTTATGATAAAGACAAGCTTACTTTGTGAAGTTGATGTGAGATTCACAAGACCAACGGAAAAACTCCATCGCCCACAATTTCCCCAGGGGATCACGATTCCGGATGATCGACGACAGCCCTCTCTCCCTGCTCGACTAATATTCCACGGATATCGGCGTACGGAGCATGCCATTGAAATCAAGCATCTGACATTATTCTATCCTTTTTTTGCTCGCCCAGAGTGGCTGGTGTTCGTCTTTGTCTGTCAGGGTTACACACTGTTCCAGCGACAGTTCCACCTGTCAGCGTGCCACCTTGTGGTGCGTAGCCGCCTTTTCCGAAAGCGCCGTATCGGGGACTCTTTAGCTCTGTTTCCGGAGTGAATAGAAGATTGCTCGGTTCGGATACGGCGTGCGTTCTGAACGAGGAAGGCGGCTGCGTGTCCACGGCGCAGGCCACCATTCCGTTCCTGCTCCCAGGGTTCTGGTTACGGGTGTCTTGGGTTCGATGGCGTTGTGCGTTGGATGGGGTTGGAAGCACGCAGCAACACGAATGCCTTGCCTCGCCTCCATCCTCTCTCTTGTGCTTCCCGAGGGAAAATCTCTCTGCCGGAACATGCGCCGAGATTGGGGGTTAAAATGGAAGTGGCGGATGCATAGTGCCAAGTAGTCCAAACAGGCGTGGCGGGTGGAGTTGAGATCTGGGAATCATGCCAGGCCGCAGGCTAAAAAGCTCAACCTAGGAGGCGGTGAGTCGGGAGAATCGTGAATTGAGACAGTTGACATTCCGCTACGTCACATCCACTGCGATGGTAACGAAGAAGTGTCAAGGCGTTGGTGTTATTAAGGTTGATAACAGAATTTTCTTTGGCATGCTCCACTTTGAAGGGTTGTGCCGCTTACAGTCGGTTGGCACTACGATTCTTTGGCGCTTCTAGAAGCGCGTGGTGAGAGCCTCACGCCTCCACGCAGCAAACCGAGGATGCAGGCCGTCGCCAAGCAAAGGGCTTAAAAATATCACGCTACTTCAAAATCGGGCGTCGGCCGAGCGCGAAAAGGAAGTAGATTTGCGCATCGTCATGCGAGAAGGTGACGAGATGAATAAGATGATCGGCAAAAGCGCAGGTGGCCTGCCTTCCCCTTTTAGTAGAATTCTAGAATATCCGTAGAAGCCTAAGCTTATCTGCAGGCTTTGTCGGAGAGCTGGAGATGAGAGCAGCGCGAGCGAGAGAGAGACAGGGGCGACCATTTAGCTGGTGAAACGTCAGCTTCGGTGAGAACCCCTCGTTCTGCGCCTGCGTCTTCTGACCCAGCATTGAGGAGCTGAGAAAAGCCTGGTACTCGCGGTAGCGCTCGGCTCATTATTGATGGCAATCAGTGGGTAAGGAAGGTTTGACGCCGTGTTGGGTGGTAGCCCGCGGCCAGTCAACGACGGAACGCTGTCGTGTTTGCCATCGTGCTGGCGCTGGTGGGGATCTCCTGTGGATCTGCGTGTGGTGTTGAGGTGCATTTTGCAGCAAGGATAATTACCGTAAGAAATCTCTGTGCTCCTATCCACGGCGGCAGCCAACGACGGTGTCTCATGACGATAATGAGGCTTGCCGTGTACGGCATGATGCTCCACCCCAGTGATGGGGCAGGGCGAAGAAAAAGTCAAGAATTGTGGCCGTGCACCGACTTCACGGCGGCGGTTTACGAAAGGCGGCAACGAGGCATGCCCTGGAGTGTCAAATACGCCTCAGGGCCGATGCCAGCAGCAGAGCACCATTGGAGTCAGGCAATTCGCCAGCGGGTGCGTGCACTCTCCACCAACGCCGATTCTATCCAGACGCTGGTGGAGGGGAGGGATCGTCGCATCGACCTCATCGGCCTCATCAACCTGATTGGGTTCATCGACTTCTACCATCACCTATCTAGAGGAGCATTTTCTTTGTTTGCAATTGAGGGAGTGTGGTATTATTGTTGCTGTGCCTGGTGAAGCACGGACAAAGTCGACAGGGACGATGGCGAAGAGCACCCGGCCTTCTTTTCGGCTTGCGTGCTCCTCGAGCGAGGCTGAGATAAGCTCGTGACTGCTGGAGATTGCCAAGGGAGAGTCAAGGGCGTAATTTTCGAACCCTGTCAGTGCAGGCGCCGGGGTTGGAGCAGCAAACGGAATGGTAGATTATGATGATTACGCGCCTGGGACGACAGCCAGCCGACAGATGTCTGTGGTGGCACCCAGTGGCTCGGGATCTGGCTCAATCGCCGCAGCTCGAGAGTCAAATCTGCGCGATGCACACTGGTCCCAGGTCCTGAGAGGCAGGCTGCCCAGCGCTGCGACGCTGGTGGTGCACATGCTCTCGCTGGCTAGTGGCGACTGCACGCTCCTCCTTGCAGGGCCACAGTCTGGCAACGTTGGCAGTGGACAGTGGTGAGAAGCGGAGGCCAGCAGGGGCTAGCACCGACAAGCGCAGACCGTTTCAGCATGGGGGCGATTGTTCGTGGACACTAGCGGCCTCTTGGCGCTTCTTTGTGCGTTCTAGCGCTTCCACGGTCCCCTGTCGGGCCCATGCTTGTCCCGTTTGACGTATCCAATCAGCACCTGGCCATTGCTCGCTGCTTTTGCGCTGCTGTCCGCCTGCTGCACCCTCGAGCCCTCAAGCCGAGCACTCTCCGCTCTCTGCACTGCTCGATGCTCACTGACATCCCACTCACACACGACCGTCCATCGCCAAATCCACACCCGCTCTCCGCTGTGGGACCTGGCCTCTGCTGACCCAAAAGCCAACACGCCCACGCTCTCCAGGCCTGACATCCTGACTGTTCCCCCTCAAAACCTCGCTGAGCCGCACTCCACCTGCGCGCCGCTTGTCCTCCGTGTGTCTTCCTGCTCCTTCCTCACAGCCCTCGCCGCCGCGCCCTCTCTCGCTGCCGCCTGCAGCGTTTGCCTTTTCGACACTTCCTCTGGCGCTACCATCGCTCATCTACTCCTCCCTTCCGTTAATCATCGCCGCCGACTGGAGCCCACACGCCGCCTGCACCTGCACCTCCCCGCCCACCTCGTAATCCCAAGTCTTATATAGGGCGTGCGACTCTCGGCCTGCATACTCGCGCTATCGCCCGCAGAACGCTGCGTCGTCTTGTGAAGCAAACAATTTGCTCGCTTCTGCCGTGACCCTGTTCGAGAAGACGCTGCAGGACGAGCAAACTTCGGCATACCCTCGCGCGACATCCGGAAGCGGACACGCCTAGCTGCAGTTGCGCTATACCCCCTCTCGGCGCCTTAGTCACGACATTGCCCACTTCCATGTTACAGTCATAGTAACACTCGCGCTGTCCTCCACGTTATCGCCCTCGTCCGTCGCTAGGTTCTTGTAGAACCTCGTGCCACTCTCCTTCGACAAGCTGGCGCAACAATTCCGCCCCCAGCAGTTCTGTTCTTGTCCCGGCTTTGACGAACAGAGTAAGACCACCGCCCGACGGGTGTACAAGCAGTTGTGGAGAAGCATGATGAATTCACGGAAAGCAGGAGCAAACGCGTTATCAATACGAACGTCGTCTTCGACCGCCTCTTCGCCGACGACCTCGTCAGTGGAAGCAGACTTCGAGGACGAAGACACTAACATGACCATGTCCCAATCCTACTCCTCTTCACGGTCGTTGACCGTCTCAATACCGAAGAACATCACCAGCCCTCACTGCAACCGCCGACCAAACCTCTCTGAAATCCTTGCAAATACCGCACCGCCGCCATGGACGCTAAGTTCCTTCATGGCATTTCTGTCGCAGAACCATTGTCTGGAAAACCTGGAGTTCACCATGGATGCTTCTAGGTATCGAAAACACTATTCCAAGATGGTAAATCGCCATCCTGGAAGCCCCATCTCACCCCTCTCCGATGAGTGTGCATACGTGCTCATGCTATGGCGACGATTAATCGATGCTTACATTAGAGAATCAGGTCCCCGAGAGGTGAGTTTGTGACTATTGTGCACATGTGTATGTGGAGTTAACATTCCCAGGTCAATCTTCCCGCTGACGTTCGCGATACCCTTCTCAACCTGTCCGAATCATACGTTCCTCCGCACCCATCGTCGTTAGACGAAGCCGTCGCGAAGATTTATGAGTTGATGGAAGAAAGTGTGCTAGTGTCTTTCCTTAACTCCGTCTGCCCTCAAAGCGCTTTCCCTCCGTCAACTGGCTACGACAGCCATGATACAGGCCTTCAAAGATCTCAAACCCGCAGCTATGACGATCGTACCGTATATCACACTCGCAGCCAGCAACAACACCCCACGCATCAAAGAGCATCCGCACCCTCATCCCTTACATCGAATTTCATGCATCCGCGTCCCTTTTCTCACTCACGCTTCAATTCTCAACCCACAGCAACCTCGTCATCCTCATCGCCATCAGCACGTGCAACACCAGGTTATGGTAGTGGCAGCGAGGCATTGACGGACGATTCTGGAAGCGGCAGCCCAAGTGGCATAAGCGACCCATTAACACCACCCGGTACCCCACCAATGAGCGACTATCCCATGAACGACTTCCATCAAGCATATTATGAAACCGGTAGCACACATAGCGGAACGCCAAGTCCAAGGACAAGCAGGGGCGAGCACAATGGTCTTGCAGGCGCGACAAGGGATAGCTGGAAACGCGTGAGCAGTAAGCTGTGGCCTAAGAAAAGAAGCGGTGGCGCGCTTCGGGAAGAGGAACAAGGCGCCGTTGAAGGAGGACTTTTCTGAAGAGCCCGATCAATCAAATCCAGCATTGCTTCACCTCCATCACACTGACTTTCCACAAGTCTCTTCCACCGGTCCGTAGGGCGGATCCGAGGAACGACCCTTGCAACCAAATACCGGGCGACCTGGGATTAATGTGGGAATACGACGCGATGCGTTGACCGCCCCCACCTTTCATGAAAGCCCGGATCCAAATCAGAACGGAACAGCTAGACAGTCAGGCAGGACAGGCATGATTACGAACGAAACCATGTGCGAGCGCGAGTTGCGATATCAGAACGTCTCTTTTCCATGCATAATCCCCCTTTTGCATATTTCGGGCTTTGCATAAAACCTGGCGTCTTGATTCGCTCCATCTTTTCTCAAATCCTTCAATTCGTATCCACACTTTTTTTTCCCCATCAATTTCCATTCATGCAAGGCGAATTCGGCGAATTATCTATTCAAACATTCTGGAGGCGGTTGTTTTGTTGGCAATTTATACTTAGGTACTTCTTAGACACGGCGTTTTCTCTCTGTTTGCAAAATACTTTTGGGGCCTATTTGGATCTGGGTAGGATGGGATTGGCTGGAGATGGGGAATTTTGGAGTCTGGTTTTAGGAATTCAGCAAGGACACCCTGGCTGGGTCGACGACGGTGCGGTAACCCGGGAGTTGGCGTCATACGGCGGGCCTAAGATTGAGGGCCACTATTTAGTGCACAGCTCATGAGCTAAGAGGAGAGATCTGATCTTCATTCATCTTTCGCTGATATTATGACATCACTTCACATCGGAACGTACAATATCGTCATGAATCGGACAAATTTTATGGATACAGCTGGGTGGTTTACGAGAGTGTTTTTATTTTCTATCTTGGGAATCCAGGTTCTTGAGGAAGGACCTAGATGGCCTTTGCGGATTAGATGGATGATCTTGATATCACGAAAGAATGAAGGCATTTTTCTCTCCCTGTCCAGGGTTGGCTCGCCTCCCATTTCTGGGGGGTGGTTTAAGAGAACTGCAACACCAGGACTTAAGTCACTACGCTCTGGGCTTCGTTGCATGGAGATGGTAAGATCACCATGGATATGCCATTGATATGGGGCGGTTTACCTTAGTGTTAATACTTAATATTATCCTTCAATCAATACCACAAAGCCATGCATACCAAATATTTGCCTATTCTATCCCGCCGGATAGAAGGCTGAACTATAGAGAAGCGGATTCACTTTGACAAACGCGGTGCTATTCAACATGCATTGCCTGCGTACGTTCCCCAGGAAGCGCAATGCGCTAATCGATCGATCGGTGAGTGATGACTATATTTGCTTTTGCTATTCCCTCCAGCAATTCCTAATCCCAGCCGGGTTCTGAGGCGGGTGAGTGCACGGTTGCCAGTGCCGGATGTTTGTGCCTGGGTCTGGGCGAGGACATTTGGCGGTGAGGGTGTCGATTCACCGCAACTCTGCTCTCGCGGTTTGCTTTTTGGCGGAGAATGTCACAGCACCACAGGACACGAGAGATAGGAGACGCGGGACGGGAAGGCACAGAATAGATCAGATCAGCTCAACGCAGCAATAGGGGGAATTGTTTGAGTGGTTGACTTCTTCAGAAGTGCAAGCGTCAGTGCCAGGTGCTCGGGTGAGAGAGAGGTCACGGGAATATGTTGCTGTCGTTATTTCACTTGTTGTGCTTCCATCTAACCGCTGCACGAGCACACGATATCCACAGAATGCAGGGCATCTGTCTCGTATACCTCCATTCCTTCCCCCACTTCTTGGGATAGGCAGGATGCGTGCGACTAGTCCGACCGGATAAGGTAGAATTATGTGCCGTATGACTGCACTGTTAGATGAACATTGGTCAGATCCTGAGGAAATCCATTGAGCTCGTGTTGGTTCTGGGGTAGAACACGTGCGTTTAGTGCAAGTCGGTCGAGCATCCTTCTTTCACCCTAGCCCGGCCGTGGTTGTCCAGTTGGTGGATTTAGATGTGCAGGGAGTGAAGTCAGTTCAAATTTAGACGTGAATCATGGACACCCAACGCTGTGCCTCGTAGATAAGCTTAATTGTACTGCCTAGCCTTGAAAGAGTATACAGTAACAACTCTAAGAGGAAGGATCGTGGTTGAATTCGTTTGGGCTGAATGACATGGAAATGCTTACTTCATTTCCTATCTCTCTCTAGGTTGTGGGGTTGAGGACGAGAGGGATAAGAAACGGTTTATGCAGGTCTAGTCTTTCGGGAATAGGGCTTTTGAGCTGGGCAGCGTGTTTCATGACTGTTAATGTCAAACTGTATGCACGTTTTGAGTAGTGGCGGTTTTAACAAATTCCGCCCCCCGGTTGACATGTGGAGCGTTTTGGATGGCGAAACTGGAGGCGGAGTGTGGAGCGTTTCATATTAGGGACAGCCTTGCCGCGCGACGCGCGGTTGTCGAAAATGTCAAAAATTTAAAGAGGGTTGGAAGTGCCATTCTTGTCGCCGCGATAACGTCTTCGAACGACATGTGTTTGGAGACGTTGGGGAGTAAGCTTACAGAAGTGCTTCTGTGGGGTTTCAGGATTGTGTGGGTGTTGATGTGACGTGATGTGCTGGTAGGGCTGAATCCGGCACTTCTGCCTTTCATAAGAGACATGGAATTGATGGTGAGGGCTGTTGCCAGCCAACTGGTGCATTTGATGCCTCAATCCGGATAGAATATGCCACGACATGGAGACGTGCAGCATGCACTCAATCGCCCAACCTTGTATCATCGCTGCTTTTGTTCCCTTGCTTCTCGATGTGGAGTGGCCATCGGCGTTTGACGTGGAGATTGGGACCCCATCCTTGAGACACCTCTAGATTTAGCCTAGATTTCGATTTGATATCAAAGTCGGTCACGATGGCTCCCACAAGTGTTCTTGGTTGGTGGAAATGGTGATAGCACGCGAACGAGGATACGTTTACGAAAGGGTCACAATGCTGTCGGAAACGAGAAGTACCGCTGTACCCCTTATTACCGGGTAACGCTGGGATTTGTCCTCTGGTCGTACCCGGTTTTCCTCGCTCGCAAATTGACGATGCTGATTGGGAGCCCTGATTGGCTGGAGAGTATCGGAAGCTTTCTCGGCGATGGGGGCACGTGGAGACGACGATGCTGGTGGCTTAGATCTGTATTTTAGAGTTCTCATCCAACTGTGCGACTTTGGCATCTGGATTGGTGAATCTGCAGCACCCGTTGAGATCCTGTGTAACCGGTCAGCTCTGCAAGTGGCGAAGCGGAACCACACCTGAGATCTCTCGTCATCTTCTAGAATGGTTCTGCTTATTCTATGTGACACTAAAATGAGGAGATGGATGAGAGATCCTTGGTTGAGAACATGAGTGTGAGGGAGCACGACATGCTGTTCCGAAATCACAGCTGAACCTTGAACCCAGCCTTGAGGTCCTGGATAGTGAACTTTGTGCCAGGCCCCAAAATTGAGGCCAGGCAGGCGGCAAAGTGGTGCTCACCTATGCTGGCCTTGCCGAGAACTAACTCTTGACCGGATGGCAAAAGCAGCCACAACTGGTGAGATAGCGAACTACACATACCTATAAATAATAGCTCCACTATGATCTCACCAGAAGTCTGACATGTCGGATTATAAGCTCGGTTTTCCCCGGTCTCGCCACTAAATAGATTGCTGTCCCCGCTTTGCGACTACCATCCAGAGGTTGGCATTGTCGAACGCCTGCCGTTTCCACGACCAGCTGTGCAGTCCTGAGCAGTGGTGAACTATCGACCATGCTTAGGGATGGATGGTTCGAGGGTTTGCCGCGCATATCGCCGATGGTCATTCAATCTGCACCTCGGCTGCCAACATCATCACACCGATGTTACCAGGTAGCACTGCAATATTTAATCTTCCCCAACCTGGTACGGTGAGCCAGCTAATTTGATTCTTTCTTCGATCTTTAATATCCGTGATAGGAAGGTAACAGCGCCGTCTCCTCATAGCTTCGTCACCCTCAAGGCCCCTCCTCTTGTTGCGATAAGTGAATATATTGAATGCGAGACGCGCAACTAGTTCCTTGGGAAATTCGTCATGAGGAATAGTGGGCGTGTGACTTCTCGATTGGGTAAATTGAAGATTGAAATGTGCTCGTCAACGAATTTGCTTCCTCAAGAACGGGCTCTGAACCCCTAGTAGGGCTGGTGGGGTGCGCGGCCATAGGGTGGACGTTCGCATTTTGCCGGAGACGAAGTACGAATTTTCTGGGTATACCTGCCGCTAGGTACGGACTGAGCAAGTGCCGGACTGCCACGACTGTTCCACGTTTCTGGTACATTGTTGATGGCTTGGTAGATACGAGGATAGAGTCGGCATTGGTACGATCAGGTGCGATCTTGAAATGTGGATTAGATTACAGCGTGGAAAATTAACGAAGAGGTGATGTGACTTAGACGACGAGACGAACCTCGGGAGAGATGTGAGAGCTTTGAAGTTGAGGTACGAATACGGCAAGAGCGGGATGGCGTGTATATTTTTGGAGAAGGAGCATCTCTCGCCGAGATCACGGGAAGGGCCTCGGGGGTGTAGGAGCAGCAGTGAACATGGAGAGGTGCTGTACTATCCTGGACGCACGTGGAATGCTGTCCGATGACATATCCAGACATGGTGAATACTACAGAAGCGAAGTATAGCAGCATGTCCGGCAACATTGAACAGAAGATAGTGTTATCATTACAGCTTATTCAGAGTTTCTTTAGAGAATGATATTTCCAGTAATCAGACTCACCCATTTCTCTTTTTGGCAGCCTTCATCTCAGCGTAGAGAGCTGGATGTGCCTCGCGTAGTCCAACTATATCGTAGTCGCTCGACTTCCATTTTCTTTATTTGATGTGGACTCACAACTTGTTTCCAGGACAGAATATCCTATTTCAGAAGGCTGCCCAGACGAAACCGTCATGACCGAACTTGAGGACCCAGTTCGTGTGGAAGTTTAATCCAAAGATATTCTCTTAGTTATCTGAATGTTTGCTAGCTCGAGTAATGGCTCTTCAGCCTTGCGTGTTCTCAGAATACGCAAGAGACGAACAGTAGAATTCTTATGAGGTTGGCACCGTGTTGAGGTAGAGGTTGATCGCTCTGAATTCGTGGACGACGAAGGTGTTCCTCCTAGACAAGGACTGAAAGACGCGTTGTGGAGCTATCGACACTCAGCCGTAGAGCCTTGCCATCAATTGAAGGACTTTCTGTACTGACGAATTCTATTGTTTCTAGAGAGTTCCATCGACGTAAGTGCAGAGGAAGCCGTGGATTATTCTGGTAGGACGAATATTCTAATAGAGTGCGACGTGGTATTTCAGTCGAATTTTGAGCTTGGATCTAAAAGGGATGTGAGAAATTTCGGCTCCCCTCTGGTGAGTTCTGGACTTATTTCTATCGGCAGACACGTTCTGAGGGGACTCTTGTTCGGCACAGGAGGGGGTTTGGGAGGACTTAGTGGTCGGAAACGGCCTGTGGATGCTGCAGGATTGGCCAAAGGGAGGGCCGGCTTGAAGGTTTTGACTCTGAGGTTGCTTCATCTCAACCAAGAAGCTGTGGTATGAGAGGACACGCAACCACAGGCTGACTTTTCGAGTCTTTTGGGTTCGTTGAGCTGCCCAGAGGAATACTTCTGCTCAGAACTTTTGGGCTGTGAGCTACGTCCTCCAAAGAGCTGCAGGTTGGCAAAGCAAGAGTTCGTGGCAGACCATATGTACGAATTGGACTTCTCGAGCTGCTTAGGGAAGGAGGTGCTTCTAGTAATGGGCGGTGAGGCTGCGTCATCAAAATCATCCTCCTTGTCAAGACCCCTCTGCGCAGCATCCCGTAGTAGTAGAGCCGCCCCAGATGAACTACAGCTTGGTGGTGGAAGGGGATCGTATTCCCCTGGGTCTAGAGTATTCGCGAGAGGGACCAATTGAGGTCGTGACAATGAAATAATAAGTCAAACAATCGCAAAATGACTGAGGATGATGCTCGCAGCATGGTGACGGAGAGAACAGTGTGCCGGCGTCGCTACTGCACATTACCTGCGTGATGGCGCGTCTCGACTGACACCACTGCACTGAGTGGGGTCCAATGCTGATGAGCATGGATTCCTAGCGATGTTGAGCTTTTGGGCTGTGGAAAGGCTGATACCTTGAATTCAACTGCCTCCAACTGCATGTTGTCTATGGATCCGCATCAAGTCCAGGGAAAGAATGACAGAGGCAATCCACAGGACAGGCCCCCTAGCAGGTGGCACTCGCCAAGATCGGCTGTTGCTCTAGTGGGTAAGCCGTTACATGTTTACTTGAAGCTCGATCTCAACGGCCGACAGACGGCACCCCATGGGACGGCGCCGACCGCTCTGCGCCAAACAAGCGCGTGGGCGGCGAGGCCGCTGAGATGGGCGAACAGCAGGCGGATGTTGCAGAGATTCAGGCTGTTGGCGAGGCTATTCACTCCTGGGGCCCAAAAGACAAGAGCAACCGATGAGGTCGGGAGGCTGCAAGTTTGACGCTAGGCCCAAAGAGGTCTAGTAGGGTCCAGGGGCAGGTGAATCGACAGACAGACAACGAAGTCGTCTCCCTTGACATGAAGCTCTCACGCCTGCACGTCTGCGCTCCTGCTCTCCGCCGCCCAACAGACCATGAATGACCATGACTGACGGCCAGCCTCTCTGTCCCGCATCACGTATCCCGCGCCGCCCATGATGAGCAACGACACTGCTGCGCCCGTCTCGGACGACGAGGTCGTGGCCCTCGCTCGCGCCGCCATCGAGGCATCTCGCGAGGATATCAACCAGCGAGCCGTAGCCGACACGCCCGCCCCGCCCAGAGAACTGCAGCAGCAGCAGCAGCAGCAACAGCAGCCCGGCATTACCATCGACCTAGGCCACAACAACATTGCCCACTTGCCTGACGAGGTCATCGATGTCATCAGAGCAGAGATTGAACGGTGAGCATGCCCATGCCCATGCCCAATCCCGCACCACCCTGAGCACAGCCCTTCGCCAACACTCCCATATCGCACACCCGCATTGAGCTCCTCTACGTGCCGACACTGACCTGCACAGGCTCGCGCTCTCCCACAATCAATTGACGACGCTCCCACTCCGCCTGATAGAATGCAAACGCCTCCGCTACCTCAACGTGCGCTACAATGCAATGCGAGAGATCCCCGATGCCGTTCGTCTGACCTGCTCCTACAGCTGAGTGCAACGCTAACCAGAGCTAATGCCACTTAGATTCTGAGGCTGACCTCGCTCGAAATCCTCGACGTCAGCAAGAACAAGATCAAGATCATACCCAAAGCGATTGCAAACCTGACTTCTCTGAAAGTGCTGGCCATTGCGCGGAACAAGATCGAGGAGCTGCCCGTGTGCTTGGGCGACATCAACAGCCTGCAGGTCTTGAAGCTCGACGGCAACCCCCTCCGATTCCCTCCGCCGGATGTCTGCACGATTAGAGACAATGCCCCTTCCCCGGCAAGCGAGAATGAGAGAGATGCGGTTATTGCCATCCAGGTCAAGCGGTTCATGAGACAGCAGATCTCAAGGGAAAAACAGCGTGTCGACTTCGAAAGATTGCGAGTGGAATCTGGAGACGAGAGGTATGCTCCCCCGCCAATTCTAAGTTTGCAGTCTCTCTAACATGTGTCGAGCTGGAGTGAGAGCAATCCTGAGACTCCACGCCCTGCGAAACGCCCCAATGGCGGAAGATTCCCCGTGAAGCCCAGCATCAGCAACCTTGACTTCTTCGGAGAGAGCAAGCCCGATTCTCCAGGAATGCCTCCTCCCATCCCAACCCGGTCGCATTATCGCGTTCAGTCGCAGCAAAATAATGGCATGCCTCGAAGACCTCCCGTTTCTCCCTTGGTCCTAGCAAATGGCTCGAATGAGCGAAACCGAAGCCAAAGCGAGGGTGCTGGCTCGGCAAGCCTCCGCGCGAAGCGTATGGGGATATACACAAAACAAACATCAGACCTGGGTGCTGTGGATGAGTTGCAAAGGACAAGTCACTTTCGAGGATTTAGTCAAGGCTACGTCCTGCCTAGTAGTAAAGTGGCTAATGGCATGTCAGGGCCGGCAACAGCCATTGGCTACGGAGATACTGGGACGGTTCGCTCGTTGGCTAATCGTCCTCTTTCCGATGTTCGCGAGCATAAGCGCGGTTCCCGAGCACCAGATATTGTGGTTGAAGCTGCGAAAAACTTTCTCTACGCCATCTCCCAATTACATGATACCGTTTCACATATGATGCGGTCGGTCAAACGGACTGATAGGACAAAAGAAGGCATGCGCCGAAAAGAAGACTTCTACCGCCGCTTTTCCGCCACATATCTCCATGTCCGGGCTCTAAATGAACTCCTTCAGCGGTTTGAAACACTGGCAGAAGAAGATGAGGAAGAAGCCGAAAAGCTCTCCAAGGCTGTATACCAATACACCTTAAAGTGCCTCAACTTGTTCATGTATATCAACCTATCAATTGCGGAGAACCGGGTGGAGATCATCCAAAACTCAGATCCGCGATTTGTCCGGAGTTTCTTATTCCTGCAGCAAGGTACTCTGATCGAATTGAGGAACGCCTGTTCTATCCTCGGCGCAGAGTTCCGAGACACTGCCTTAGGCAGGCGCAGGCCGAGTGGTACTGACACCCTCGCTACTGTGCGGGCTGCCCGACCGCTGAAAGTTCGACGATACCAACAGACATCGCCTCCGCAGCGGAACGGACAGTACCAGATTCCACCCCCAGTGATTCTTCACAGCAACGATAATAGCCGGACGAATACCTTAACCAGCATCAGTGCAGCCACGCCTCGTTCAGGAGAATCCTTTACTACCCTTGCTACGACTATGTCGCGAACGAACACGCTGACAAGTTCTTTCGACGAGGCTGACGAAGATGCTCAATTCGATCGAATCTACGGGAAGCTCAGAGCCGCTTGTGATTCATGCCGGAACTACATGCCGCAAATTTCTCGATTACTGAAGAATAACTTTGAGGCTCTAAGGAGGGATTGGGACCCTGACGATCCAAAGATCAAAGTTCTACTCAATCTGATTGAGAAGAGTAATCACGTCGAGGAAAAGACGTTCCCATTAGCTAAGCGTCTCTCCCAGATGCAGTTGAAAGACAGCTACACAAGAAGCCAGCCGGAGTTCTGGCAACAGTGTATGGGCTTTATCAAGGTTTGTGCCGTTTATTTATCATCGTTCCCAAAGAAAACTACACTAAATATCTCGATAAACTTCTAGGCTAACTTCTGTATAGGCATGGGGCGAGCTCGCACAACTCAGCTCAGGCGAAGGCCGAAACTTAGGGCTTTTGAGCTCCGAAGTCAAGCAGCTTATGAAACCCCTACATAAAACGGTCAAGGACGCCAGTTTGGCTATCAACGATTCCCCGTGGTCGCATCTGACTTCGAACAACCTAGGCTTGATGGGACCCCCATCCCTCTCCTCCTTTACCTCACGTACACAACCGCCGAAATTCCTCAGCAAACCCACCGGAACTATGACGACCGGCGGGGGCCCTTCATTCCCCGGCCCAATCAACACATCTATCACCTCGGTAGCTTCTGCCTTCTCCCAACCATACTCGACGGCGAGTCTCGGATCTGGCTCTGGTGGCTATGTGACTCCAGTCCCAGCAACGCCACTTAGTGCAGCCCTGGGTGCAGCAGCGCAAGCAACCGTTCCAAATACCCCGAACCACATGCCACCGCAATCCATACCGTCAACTACCATCAATCTTTTCGAGCGTGCAGATAGACTGCTCAGTCAAACCGCTCGGCGCGTTTGACATGAGTTTTCTCAAGATATGATGGAGAGAGAACATGCTTGTTTGCGTGCCTAACTTCTTCGGTTTCAAAACCCTCAGGTATGTTGACAGAGGTTTAAATCTTCCCCTGCATGCCACTCTGTATCCCCTAGAAAGCCCCAGCTTTCTACTTTTTCCAATTTCCTACTTTTTGTATACTAGCTGAGCGATGGCGTCTGGAGGCCTATTGCACCAGGCATGGCTGGTCAGGTGAAATCGGTGTTTAGGCCGATTTTTTTACAATTTTTTTTAACAAAAAGGGACAGAAGTAGAGGGTTTATTGGCAGCATACTTGGTGTCGGAAGGGGCTTCTTTTAGGTTGCATTGGTGAGATCATGAGGGTGCCATAGGTCTTCTGGGCATGTTTTGCTAGGGACAGCAAATAGGAATATTTTGAGTCATTTGCTGAAGGGATGCTTAAGTGAACAGTATTCGTGACAAAAGAAATCATTTATGTATGCTAGGGCATGTTATAGGTCTCGGACCTTGTCCGCCTGCCTGCCTAAAAAGCGACTACAGACTCCATACCATCGCCCCCCCAAATTCTATCAAAGCTTGAAGCTTGAAGCTAAAAGGTTACATATTTGTACAATCCAAGACCCAAACCTACCAAGACCGGCCACACACACACACAACAATCCAACCAACCTATAACCTCACATTCGCACCAATAGCACCTCCCCTAAACCAAATATCCTGATTCCACCTCCCAATCCTAACGCTCACATCCGCATACGCACTTAATTTAAGCGTTCCCCCTAACGCCTTCTTGATAGCTTCATACCCTACACTCCCCAAACTCCAATCCACCGGTAACCTCGGTGTCATAGATAACCCCGGTGGTACTGCAAACGGCAATTCGTAGAGAATTTTTCCGGACGGGTTGCCGTCGTAGAAGGCGGTTGCATTAAGGTTGGTGATGTAGAGCGTGGTTGTGGAGAGTGGGGATGCAAGGGTGAAGACAGCGGTTGAGGAGATGAGGTGCATAGTTGCATCGCGGATGAAGTGGGGGGAATCGTCGTCGTTCGAGGGGTCGTCATTTGGATCCTTGGGGTCGTTGCCGTCGGAGGGGGGTTTCGGACCATGGAGTCTGGGCGTTGGGAGCGTGACGGGGAGGTGCGAGAGGGCGAAACCGAGGGAAGGCTGAGAGGGGATGGTGCCATTGTGGGTTTGGAGTGTTAGGGATGTGTTGTAGCCTGTGCATGTTAGGTATGCAATGTATTGTTATAAGGGAGGGGTGGGATGGGCGTACCGGATATGTATTGGGAAAGGAGTTCCTTGCCAATAAATTTCCCTGCTCTGCCGCTGTTGGTAATGGGATCGTAGACGGCGGTCACAGCCACGTTAGTATTGTTCCCGGGATGCACAAACACATTCTTTGCTGTAGCTTGCCCGAGGATAGTGTCATTGACGAGGATGTTGATGTTGAAGTAAGGAACGGTAGCCGAGTACTTTGTCGGGTTTGTGAAATTGACAAGCGCTTGCAGTGTGACGCCGGTAGGAGACGTGTCCATGATCGTCAGATTGTAGATCCTAGGAGATAGGGCGCCAAAGCCTTTGCCTCCTTTGTCGTGTCCAACCGCTGAAGGGTTAAGGTTAGCGAAGCTACTCATAGTGCGATCGAGAAAAGGACTACGAACTAGGTCACGAACGCTTGACTGGTACAACTCCTTCGGCAGGAATCTCTCGCACTGCGAACTTCCCAATAGGAGTGTTCACTTCAACATCCATTGCTGCCTTGATGTCCAGCGTGATAGGCCTTCCACCCAAAACAATACCCTTGACGACCTCGCTGAATACGTCGTCGTCAAGTATCTCAAGAGGGGCGTCCTTGATATCTGCCTCTACCAATAGTGAGGGCCCTTCTTCCCCATGTGCTTCGATCCTTGTCGAGTTGGCCGCCTGCCACCTGGTGAGATGGAGCTTGCCAAACTTCTTCCTATGGTAGAACACGTCGGCGTTGGCCCCAATGCCGGTGACATTGAGAGGGAAATTCATCTCATTGGGCAGACCTACTTCCACCTTGACGAGAGCGGAGATCTGTGGTTGAGCTTCGGGAGAATCCGGATCCGCGAACAGGTCGGGGAAAGAGAAATGCACGTCATCCAGGGAGAAATTCTTAATGAGATTGCCCATGTCGCGACCAGCAAACGGGACTGGAACGGTGATGTCCCTCAAGAGGGCCCGAGTCCAATCGGGCGTCTCCGGATCAGGGAACTTGCAGCACTTGATGTAGACGGTCGAGCCTTCCCCATGCATGTAGTTGCCTATGAAGGAGTCGAGAGGGGATTTGAGGGAATTGGGGCATTCCGCTGTCAGCTCTTCAGGCAAGCTCTCCACCTTCCCTGTGACATTGACTTGCATGTCCACTTTAGGCTCCACGTGAACTCTCTCCGTAGCGGCAGTTCCGACCATGATGTATGGATCCGAAGGGACACATCCATCGACGAGAACGTCCACAGAGACAGGGGGGATTGAGAAGTCTACAGGGTATTCATTCGTCACCAGAATGGAAAAATCAGCCCCCATGCCATGGCTCCCGTTTCTGGCTTCTCGGATGTTGAACTTTGTAATGTCGTACCGAGGGAGCGAAGGAAGGTCATGTCCTGCAGTTGGGGAACTATTAGCACAGCAACATCATCAGCGACGCCTGGATCACCTGACCAGAAAGGACTGACCTTGGAACACGAGCGACTCCTCAATGGATTGACTGCCGAGGGGTATCAGGCCGGACTTTAGCGGCACATCTGCCTTGCCCTTTATGCGAATCTGCCCCAACCGGCCATCAAGCCAATCATTTGCAATGTTACGTATGTTGTCAAAGGAGCCAGGGTCCAGATCGGCGAAGAATGAAAGATGCGTAGTATGGCGATTGCGGATATTTACCTTGATACCGGGTACTCTGGCCGTGCCGACCATGGCGGTGCCGTACTCAGGAAGATAGAGATCAACATGGGTAGCTTCGCTCTCGACCTCGCGGGCAATCCAGGCGCCGAGCCGGCCAATGTTGCGAACAGACGTCTTCCTGACCTTGGAAGCATCCATAGTGAAAAGGCCTTGCACCCGCACTCTGACACCAGTGTCGGTCAACGAGTCTAGTGATAGCTTGGTGGGGTGGAAGTCGGCAGCTTGGATGGCGTATTCCTGGACAGCCTCTGTAGTCAAGAAGCCAAGCATGATGATAACCACGACGAGGCACAGAATGATGAGGGCTAATATGCTGGGCCATCTTCGCTTCCACAGCGGCTTCAAAGGGCCTGTTTCCGAGGAGCCGCTCAGCGAGCGTAACAGCGATGTGGTCGCTGGGGTGTGCTCGGGCTCGACGTCATCAGCCTCGTCGCTTCCTTCGCTTCGGTCAGTCCTGCCTTCTCTTGCCAATAGCGGGGTCTCTTCCGTGGTCCTGCTTGAGGGCTGCGACCGCGCAGACCGTGAGGAACGGTGGGATTTCTGGGAGGCTGGGCGGGAACTGGGCGTCCTTGTCGAGGCCCACTGGCCGTCTGGAGTATCCATGAGCGTGAAGGGATAACGAGCGAAAAGCGGAGGGTTCAGTCCAGCATTCGGAAGAACGAAAGAAAGGGTGGGAATTGGCAGAGGACGGCGGCTGAGGCTGGGGGACGTGAGGTGTAGTGGTGTCGTGATGTCGTGGTGTCGCAGCGTTGTGGTGTTGTTGGCGCTGGGGATGAGATTGGATGGCCGTCATCAGCTTTCGCCGCCTGGCTGCTGGTTGCTGGCCGCTGATCCCGCGCTGCGCCAGGCCGGAAGCGACAAAGGCGACCCCAGATTTCGTGACCCATGCCCTGCAGATGCATCCCAAAAGAAAAATCTACGACCGGGTGTGACTCTTCGCCGCTAAATGCTTCGATCCATCCTATAATTTCTCAATTGCCTTTCCTTTTCCCCCCCCCCGCTGCATCAACACACTATCCATCACTATGCCGCCGTTTCGCCCCAATCCCGCCGCTGTTCCACGCTTGTTCCGAGCTCAAGCCCGCCAGTACTCGCTGTCTCCCCCCACCTCTCCACCCACCTCGCCCTTTGCGCCTCGACATTTCCTCTCCATAGCAGACCTCACTCCCCCCGAGCTGGCCACGCTCGTTCGAAATGCATACCTCCACAAGACAGCAATTAAGTCTACAGGCGAAATCCCCCTCTCGTTGCGCGCCGCACTGGCTGGCAAGACGGTGGCCATGACCTTTAGCAAGCGGAGCACTCGTACGAGGGTTTCCACGGAGGGTGCCGTCGTCGCATTGGGTGGTCATCCTATGTTCTTGGGCAAAGATGACATCCAGTTGGGGGTGCGGACACCCCTCTTCCTGCACCGGTCCATCGTTCATTCTTGCGTAGGTCAACGAGTCCCTCTATGACACTGCCCTCGTCCTGTCGAGCATGACGTCCTCCATCGTCGCCCGAGTTGGCCCTCACTCCGATGTAGCTGCCCTCGCCAAGCACTCCGCCGTCCCGGTTATCAACGCCCTCTCCGACCTGTACCATCCCCTCCAGATCATTGCCGACTTCCTCACTATTGCTGAGGTCAATATGTCCACCTCGGGCCCATCGCTAGGTCTGGAGGGAATGAAGATCGCTTGGATTGGAGACGCAAACAACGTCCTATTCGACCTGGCCATCGCTGCCACAAAGCTGGGCGTAGACATCGCCGTCGCGACACCGAAAGGTTATTCCATTCCCGAGGATATGCGTGGAATCATTGATCAGACCTGCATAAATTCCCCCCAGGCCGGCACACTGACCGAGACTACAGTGCCAGAAGAGGCCATCAAGAACGCAGACATTCTCGTCACCGATACCTGGGTGTCAATGGGCCAGGAAGGAGAGACAGCCAAACGACTAAAAGCATTCGAGGGGTTCCAGATCACCTCCGAGCTTGCCAAACGAGGTGGCGCCAAGGAGAACTGGTCTTTCATGCACTGCTTACCCCGCCACCCTGAGGAGGTCAGTGATGAAGTCTTCTACGGCCCCAGGTCTGTTGTCTTCAGAGAGGCAGAGAACAGGCTATGGGCTGCAATTGGTACGTCCTCAAGCCCCTTTTGATTTCCAGCGTTGCTGAGTACATCGCAGCTGCCTTGGAAGCGTTTGTCGTGAACAAGGGAAAGATTGTCTGATAAACTATTGCCAGGCGATTGATGTGAATAACAATGACTTCATTCAAGCGTCTAGGGATCTTTGCCGGCGTTTAAAAGCACAATTATTCCATATGGCTAAGAATAGAAATTCAATGGCCATCTTTGCAGCTCACAGCCTATTGGGCATCGTTCTTCACCTCCCCGTGAGCAAACTCACAAAGGAAAGGACACTTAGAGAAAGGGAGATATACAATACAAATTATCAACTGCTACTCCAATACATTCAATTCAAGTTCCCTCCCCTTCCGTATATGCAGTCTAACCTTCTAACTCCGACCCTCGACGGTATCAATGACGAACAAATTGCATCCCACTCTGTATCTTGGTTTGACGAACTTGATGCTCTGAGAACGTATTTTGGGTTTCAAATTCTCTACTCCCCACTTCAGTAACTCTCGGTCGTTTCTGGGGGTTATCCCGCCCACGGATCTGCACTGCTCTTTCTCAAGTTAGTAAGCGGCTACGGCCCCGCTACCCTATCCGAGCATCATTCACTTCCACTCACGGGCTTCATCCTCCATACTTGCTAAACCACACTCCTCCAGTCTGACCATACTCCTTGCGTAAGTCTAACCCCTCTCCAATATCTTGGTCCACTCTTTCGCTTCGTGAAAAAGATTCTACCTTTCCGCCATTTAAGATGACTCGTTCCACCGGCTCAGAAGCCACCCGTTATCTCGAATAGTATCTCTTGTTCCAATAGATTACAGATCAATGCTGGCGAGTGCCTCGTGGGAAGTACTCCAGGGTTCCCTGCAACTTGGGTTGACCAGAACCCCGGCTATCGCAGAGTGCTGCCTTCTATTCAATATAAAGTTCTGGAATATGGACCAACCGTGTATATTGCTCCTTTCTCGTGTGTTCGCAACCCAACTGCTTTTTTTGGCGACACACTCGGTTACGTCTATCCTGTCTGCTGAAGTCCGTAACAACCCAGTAAATTTTGTTCTGAAGGGCAAGCAAGATTGATAACCCTACATGACTGGCTAGTCCATCTCCATACAACCTCAGCTTCATCTATCCCTGACCTCCATTATGAACAAATACAACTTCTTCTGCATCCTCTACTGTTCCTTTGGCGCCTTATTCTACGGTTACGACTCCGGGTTAACCATGACTAGCTACCCGGAATTCCTAGCCTACTTCAACTTCAACGCAACCACACTGGGCGCGCTCGGGTCGGCCTACTATGCTGGAAACTTCGTTGGCAGTCTCGCGAACCTCTAGCTCCCAGATAAAGTCGGCAGACTGAGTGCTGTACGAATAGCGTCCGTCGTCTCGCTACCCAGCACGGGACTACAAACTAATACGAAGAGTTTGGGTGTGTTGTTGGGCGGGCGGGCGGACAATTTGGCGGGATAGCGTGCGGGATAGTTGTTAGTTTGTGTCTGCTATACGCAAGCAAAGTTTCGCTGCCGCATGTGAAGGGATGCGTGAGTGGGCTTTATTAGGTAAGTAAGAATAAACACTATACTCCCCTCACCCTTTCCCCTTCTTGCCCACTTTCGACTTTTCCCCCGCCATGGCAGCCACTAGTACGTAGGTCTGTTCTAGTATCTCCATCAACGTCTCCTACGCCCTAGCCGAATGGATGGGTCTCAGCTTCTCCTACATCTCCAACCACCCCGGGCAACTAAAATGGTGGCTCTTCATCAGCCTGCAACTCCTGTGCACTTCCATCATGCTTGTAGGTTCCATCTGGATGCCCGAATCCCTACGCTAGCTCATCGTGCAACACAGGCACTCGGACGCCCTAGCCGTCCTCTCAAGGCTCCACAGAACCAACGTCAACGAGAGCGAGGACAATGAATTCATACCCTTCTGCAAACGCGAGTTCCACCAGATCGAAGCGCAGATTCGCCTGAAGCAGGAGAGCCCCACTTGGGGGATTGTGGCGATTCTCAAGGGTCCGTCATATCGCAAGCGCCTCGGGATCATTTTGTTCTTTCTTTATGTTCCAACAACTCACAGCTATCATCCCATTACAGAACTACCAAGTAATCCTACGCGGTTCACTTGTCATCGAGGATAAAATCCCCCTCGTGCTCGTCGGTGTCTGGGGAACTTTAGGCGTGGTATTCCCGTGCGCGGAGGCGCACATTTCGACGATAGATTCGGACGCCGGAAGAGTTTCTTTATATCGGTGGTGGGGGTTACGGTAGGCTCGATTATGTTGGTAGTTTTCTGGGCTCGCTATGAGCAGTCAGGGAATACGGCCAAGGCAGTAGGGAGTCTTGCGTTATGGTCTATGTTTGTGTATTTAGTGGGTTGTGCTTAGATCCTAAATTCCTTTAGATATGCATATACACCCGAAATCTTAGTAAGTATTGATGGATTAGGTGAAGATTGAAGTTGCGACCGTGTCTTGAAAACCCGCCCAGCCGATGGAAATCTGCTCCGCGAGTTTGGGTTTAGGGTTTGGTATGCTGAATGGTGAGCAACCACCTCCACCCTGAGATCTCCAAGAGAGGCCTCTTGTGAACAGCTCAGATCTGCTACGGATACCACTAATTGTATGTGTTCTCTAACAGCGACTATCATAATGTTGGTACAAATAACCTCAATTGCCGTTGAAACAATAAAGTTGGTGCTACTTCTTAATTTTCATTTTTACTGATGTCATATTTGTTATTGTATTCTACTTCGTAAGAAATCTTCTATAAATATTTCCTCAGTAATCTTGCTGGCAAGATTTGAACTAGATTGGGGAGATTGAACTTCACTGACATACACCCGTGATATGACAGTACTTGCCGGAAACAACGAATATCCGACTAGAAGAAGTGGCAGCATTGTTTGGAGATAAAGTTGCAATCACGTTGCATGATTTGGTGAATACGAGTGGCAGAGCTGGGGTTGGGCAGAAGAAGGAAGCAGATATGAAGAATGTCGATCATATTGAGGAGGTGGTTTGAAAGTATGGGACTAGGATTGGGATTCGGGCTGGTGTCTGAGGGAGAATGATAGAGGGCTGGAATTTAGAGAGAAGAAGATATTCATTCATTGGATTGCTCCTGAAATAGTTCTCGAAAAGTCGTAGGGGAGACTAAGGAAACGACTGAACCGGGTTCAATAAGCTGAAGAGATTTTAAGGCGAATAAGCACTTGTCGGTTACATCAATGGATTGTAAATGGTAGAGTATACAGATTGCCGATTTTTGAGGACATGAAGAGTAAACAATAGGCAGGGCTGTTACATATCATCTAGGGTGAAGCATACGAGATATGGATATTTTATGTCACGTTTACGTTGCGAAAAATTACATTTGAAGAATTTTTTATTACATTCTTTCACTCAAAACCCTTTTCCGAAAAATTATGTGGTATTATAGCTTTAGTAAACTTCAAATAAATAAACAGCTAGCCACAGCTTCGCAGCTAAGGGTCCCTAACGGACCCCCAAAAGAGCACTCCTATTTCTTACGACTAAAACCCATCACAGGTCGTACTCGAAGCGCTTCACACTATAGTAAACCCTAGGTCTGATCCTTCGGAACAAGAACAAGTTGATGAACCCCGAACTCATGCAGCCCTTCTAGGTTACCCTTTTTTCGATGACATACGTATCGACGAGGAGACCAATCAAAGGGCAATTGTAGCCGCAAAGATACTCATTTGAAGGTGAGAAAGACGACATCCGGCATGTCTAAGAGTTTCAAAACCTATCAATAATGGAAGGAACAGAAGGAACAAAAGGAACACTAAAGGCGTCTCACAGATGATGGAACCTGCGTTGGTCTCACTATAAAGCTCGTGAGAGCCTTCAAAGCTACAGTCCAGTATGTATCAGATTTACAATCGTTTCTTGAACAGACTTTCAAGTTTCTTCTCTCCTGTAGCTTCTTAACAATATTGATCTCCCTCTTTTCTCTTTCCACATATACATTTTCATCCAATATGTCTTTCATTACCCAAAGCACCCTTACCATTCTCGTGCTCACCCTTGCAAGCACTGGGAATGCAGCAGCTATTCGGCGCCGTCAATTAGATCTAGGGATCGCCAGCTTAGTTGCAGTAGCCGTAGCATCTGCATCTCTTGCGCCCTACATCAAAGCTCCTCAGCCCGTGGAAACAATCCTGGCTATCGGGGATTCGTTCAGCGCTGGTATCGGTTCAAATGGCAGACCTGACTTCATCGAAGGCTCGTTTGACTGCCGGCGTTACACTTCAGCTTGGCCCTGCAGTCGGCAAGTAGAACAGAATGGAGCGACATTAACGGTGGCTCCTAGCCCAAGGTTATTTTTGGGGCTTGTTCAGGGGCTACGAGGAGTGATGTTGTTGGGAAGCAGTTGAACTAGGGTGACCCTAATCCGAACCTCCCGTTCACGAACATTGGGAAGCCACAAATTGCTGTGTTAACAGTGTCTGGCAATGGCGTGGAATTCACAAGGTGCGTGGTATCTTGCAGCCAAAGCCCTTTTCTGCTGACCTGAACTAGAGCCATAAATGACTGCGTTATACACACCTGGCAGCCGGAGAATTGTCATGATACCCTTGCTGATATCGATGTCAAGGTTGCTTCAACCGACTTCAAGAACACACTGATCAAGACCATGATTGATATTGTCGCAGCTGGCCGTCTAGCCGGAGGTCCGACTCCCCCCGAAGCTTTTGAGGTTTACTTGGCTGGATATGCCGGATTTTGGAACCATGATGATCCAGGCTGCAACGATATCTCTTGGCCATATGCTAGCTGGAGTACCCCACCCAAGCTCACTACTGGATTACGCCTTCATATGAACACAATTGTGACCAACCTCAATAATGCTCTTGCCGCCGTTGCCCAGGAATTGAATGCCTCAAGTGTACGCTACGTCGATGGCATAAATGCTACATTTGATACGCACCGCTTTTGCGAACCTGCGGATCCAGAATGCCTCAAGAGGCCAGTGGGAAGGAAACTTATTTCTGGCACCACGAAGCCAATGGCTACCTCGGAGGCGGCGAACAGCTAGATATTGCCTCGGCCTCGGCAGCTGCTGAAGGTTTTGACGACAGTTACGGACAACAGATCCTGGACGCTATTATTCCCGACAAAGCTGTGCAAGCATCGATCTCCACCGAGAACCCTCCTTGGAATATCAACGAACCGTTCAACAGCTTTGAGTCATGGTGACGGCTCTGGATACGGTGGGTTCGAATTGGGCCCCTTTGTCGGAGACAACCCGACGAATGTTTCATCCAAAAGGCACCGCCTTGGGCTTCTACGCAGGAAGATTTCTCGATGTCATCCACGCCAGCCGAGCTCCAGCTCCTGCGTCTCCAACTCTACTACCTTCACCGGCTCCAGCCCCACAACCCCCTGCTATTCTAGCTAAATACACGATTCACCTACACCAGAAAATGGAGCAGAAAACCAGTTCGCTCGAGCGGACATTACTCGATTCCAACGGAGAGAATGTCGCTGGTCCCGACCCTAACAAGGATATACCCGCTGCCAACAACCGCAACAAAGTAGCCATTAGCGTTGATAGTCCTACCAACAAAGATAAAACAAACATCAAATTTACCCTCAAAGCTGATGGAGGTGATGGCTGCAATCCGGAATGGAATACGGCAAGGAGTGGAGGAAGTGAGGAACCGTTCATAGCTCCCTGTCAGAAGGGGAAGGGTGAGGACTATGGATGCGGTGATGTGGATGCCACTTGGGGCTGGGCTTGAGAGAGAGTTCAACTGCTGGTTCCAGGATCTTGGATTGCCTTGAGGGAAGTCAGTCTGGTGAGGCATGTTCTTTTCTCTTCAGACTCCACTTCGAGAGTATGTCTAGGTTGTAATAGGTAGGCAGTGCCCCGTCCACCTACGTGTAGTGGCCCTAAATATAGGCCCTCCAGATTTAGGAGCTACTTTTGTGTCCGGGTTTGCCTGCTTGGGTGGGGCGGGGTTTCTAGGACAAGAAGGCGGGTTTGCGCGACCTTACTGACGACTTGGATCGCATAGCTGGGAATTTTGAAAGAGGGAAGGTGTTTGGAGGAACCTGGGAGTGAATTTGTACTCGATACACTGTGAGACAAAGGAGGGGGGAGTGTGTTGAGAGCGGGTTTGGCAACGCGAAGACGCGAGATCACGGGTGAGGTATGAGCAAGCAATGCGCCACGTCACATTAACAAAGCTGAAACGATATCAATGTGATACTTTGAGAGCTGTACCTTTTGGCAATAATACTCTTAAAGTGTCGTTTATGGCAAAGATTGTGGCTTAAATATCAGGCAAGAGCCATGCTCTGGCTCGAATATAACATGATCTCTTCGCACCTCTTCGCACCTACCACCGAAAAACAATAGGGAGCGTGGGAGCGTCCTTTTCTAAATTAAGCCCTGCCTCGTTTCGCTATATAGCAATTTTTCGAACGTCATTTTCGTGTTTTGATGGCGTTTTACCTTACACACGTAGTGGTTGAGAATAGAAGGGTGCGTTCCATTGACATTATACTTTATTCGAGCAAGAAGTTCTCATGGCTAACGGGTAGGCGCTAATATGTCGTACTTTGCAAGCACCAGAAACCAAGCACTAAGCGCTCTTCACATCCTCCACCACATCCCCACTGCCGAATTCTTCTTTCCCCTTAGCCATCCCCAGTGCTCTCCTCCTACCCCATCCTCCTACGAATCCCCCCAAACCTCCCTTCCACTTCGTGATCCAGGGCCAAGCCTGTTTCCACCTCCCCTCCCCTCTTCCCTCCACTAAAGTCGTCTCGGTATCCCTTCTCTTCTCACCATCTCCCGGTTCTGCTCCTTTTTCGGGATCGAGCCCAAACTGCCTCATCATCTTCCGATTCTGATTCCACGAGAACAACACCCAAGCCACCAGAACCACGAACGTTAACACTCCAGTCAGCATAAAATACACCCATATATATTTTGAAAGAATCCCACTTCTGCCACCACTTCCCCCTCCACCTCCTCCTTCGTCTCCACCCGTGCTTTGAGTATTTGGTGTCCAATCAAACAACCCTGTCGAGAATACCGTCGCAACGAACGTCCCAGGCAAGAAAATTAGTGTCACAGCAGCGATGATGCGCATGTCGGTGCTATCTCTTCGCGTTAAAATGGCGATGCGGCGAGAGTCGGAGGCAATTTGGCAAGAGGCGCTTGCCGCGGAGATGTTGAGACGGTTGTCTTTTTGTCCAATGAGGGAATAGATCTTCAGATATATCGTTAGCAGGCGAAGGATTACTCAAAGGGCATTGGCATAAAAAGAGCCGAAAGGGTAGGAAGGGGGAGTTACAGTCTGCACTTGCGCGCCAATACTGCGTTCAAGGTACACGCATTTCAGTTCCGCAGCCAACAAGCTCTCCTTCACAAACTCTAATCTTTCCTGGAACATTTCCTGGAACAGCCAGATAACGGCCTCTCCTTCCCCGCTATCACCTCTGGAACCCTTCCACTCGTGTGCACCCAAGCCCCTACACCAACCGCCTCCCGCGCCTGAGTTCATAGATTCCTTAAGCATGCTACTCACAACCTCAGCCACCCTACCTTGAATCCCAACAAAGCCTCTCTGCGCCGCCACCCAATCGCTCAAACATGTCAACCTGAGCATGCAAGCATCAAGGTCGAGTTCCTTCCGCACTTCTCCTCGCTCTCTGCTCATGCTCCTCCCAATACTCTTCCTTCCATCCACCGTTGCACTTTTAAGAGAATTGAAGCGGTCCATGCCCGTCTGCTGTTGGATCTGACTGAGAAGTTTGATGCGGAGTTTGAGAAGCGAGGATGTGTCATCGGTAGCGAGGTCGAGAAGGATGAGAGGGAGGAGTAGAGGGTGTGTTGGTGGAACACATTGAGATCTTTGGAAGGCGGATGTTGGGGTTGATGATAATTGGGATGAAGATGTGAGATATGAGTACACGAGGTCTATTTCCGTAGCTGTGAGCCCAACTATGAGAGCGTACGTCGTATGTGACTCCGGATCTAATGTTAGTAAGAGTGTGTAATCCCAAGTCCAGTCAACATCACCACGGACAAGCAGACAACGGGCGGCATCGGATATTCTACTTCTTCTCCTCTCCTTAGACTCATCTTGCGGCCAGATTGAGTCTTGGGATGAGTATCTCCAGTATGAGGGATGACGCGCGACAGAGCATTGAGTTACGATGGAAAGGTTCTGAGTTACGGCGCGGAGGAATGTGGATGGGATGCGCCAGGCCTCAGATAGCGAGTGGAAAGTTGGGCGGGAGAAGGGAAGTTTGCCACTTGAAGGCTTGCCAGAAGGTTTGGGAGAGAGTCTGGGAAATAGTTAGCAACTTTCAGCCTCGAGGGGCGCCGATCTGTTTTAGGGTAGAAATTAGCTTCGCCTTCATGACTCCTAGGTATTATTTTGCTAATTCGCTAGCGTTTATTATTATGAAAGGGAGAGTTGCAATTATGAGACTACATTTGTTGTCATTACTGAAAGACTTACAAAACCCTCAAACCAGACCTTATCGGTCCATTCGCAGAGCGGTCCTAAGCTTAAATCAGCCTCCTAATCAATTGAACACCAATACAGAGAGCACACACCTCGTTGACCCAACCCGCAATCTCCTTCTCTTTCAATTCGCCAGATCGATATACTGGTTGTCTATCGTCCTGCAAAAGCTAATTAGCTATTGCTAAACCCCAAGCTACAAAGGAATTGACGGACACCACAATCCCAAATCTCGACAAAGCGATGCCCATTCCTCCCCGCAAATTTCTCCTCACATTCAAGCAGTCGGTTCGAGCAAAGGTCGAACATAAGTGTTTTGTCAACCAATCACAATCGATTGGTTTGCGCTGAGCACCTTACGAAGAGGACCAAAACGAGGGGAAATTGGAGCGATGGGGTTGAGGAACGCGAGATGCAGAGCTCAATGCTGCAAAATCCTCTTCCTTTGGCATCGGTGGGTTTATGAATTAGACGATTCAAGGAGTGGGAAGTTTTGCAGGCAGCGAAGGATTAGTGAAGTGAGGGGTACACAACTGCATGAACCTAAGTGGCTCCGCGGAACGAGGCGCAGCGCCCAAGGAGGTTCAAGGTTTAGGACAAGGGTTTGTGGCCAATGGATTCGACCAGTGTGTTGATACCTGAGCCATCAGGCAAGGCATTGTGATACTTGCATGCAGAGAAATGACAGCGTAGAGATCTGGGTCAATGGCATTTCTATTGAAGAGTGAAATACAGGAGACAGAGAGGCGAAATATGAGTCGTTAAACACACAAGAAGGATAACACGAAAGAATTGTTGCACGAAAGAAGCCGAACCCATCGCCACGCGACACGGAAAAAGGCAGAGAAATCAATTAGACGCCGTGCACCCGCTATGAAAACCGAAAGATCGTAGTCGTGCAGGAATAGACTAGTCTCCTTCAAATCGTATGTCTTAGCGCGTATGCATTCACTCCTCTTCATTCTTGCCTCCCTGGAAAACCTTTCCCCATCCCTTCTTAACACCTCCAGTGAGGCTGAAGTCATTGAAAAGCCAGCTATTTGCATGCCTTCCATAGTAATGGAATTCCTTCTGGCTCTTTGAGCTCTCATTACTTTCCCTCCGTCGCCTGACCTGTGGCTTCGACGACTCTCCCTGGTCGACTTGTACTGACTCGGTCGACATGTGGGAAGGTGGGATTGCTCGCGAGACCTCGAGCCTCGAAGCCTCATTGGTGTTGCTCGTCGAAGAAGTGTGGCTCCTTCGGAAGATTGGCAATCGCGACATGACGACGCTGGAGTCCGAGGAGGTGGATCGGCGGGACTCGGACATTCTGGGGAGTCGGGAGACGAGGTCTCCATCATTTGGAACAGAATGAGTCTTTTTGATGCGATTTAAGCGAGAGGTCAGCTCCCGGGAGTCGAGATTGTTTGTGTGGTCATTCATCGCCCGCTGTTGCTTGATATGGATTGTTTGCTTGCTACGACCCGAAATGAACCGTCGACTCTTACGGCGGCTTATGCGTTGGTTGCTATGAGTAGGAGCCCTAGCTTGTTTTGATTCGAGTCTAGCTCTGGGCTGAGGAATTTGTGACGATAAAGATGTTGATGATGTTAAAGACGAGGCTCCGATATCCGATAGTTGATAATGGAGCTGATATTCGAGACCGGATGTAATGGATGTACTTGGAGATAGGAATCTGTGTCTCGGACTCGATACAGGAGAATGAATACGATCAAAAGTGGACGGGCGGTCCTGTATAAATCTTTCCCTGGGGTTGTTGCCAAGAGCCTCACTCTCAGCAATGACAAGATCTAACACTGCATTTTCTGTGTGAAGTTCTGCAAGTGGATCCCGAACGGAGTCACCGGTAGGGATATCCTGGGGACTATCATGAAGTGAGTACGCCGGCGGGAGCAGATGACTTCCGATTTCTGCTAGATCGCAGTCTGCTTTACGAGGCAGTAGGTTGCTCTGAGTGGGGAAAACGACCGTACATTTCTCACAGCGAATGTGCGAACAGTTCCTACACTCCTGCAACCTTAGGGCTTCAAAACATGTTCTGCATTTGTGACATAATCCCCGAGCTAAGAGTCTCGGCGTCTGAACTTGCGTCTCGTGACATTTACTCTGGGGTAATTCACTTCCGATTTTTCCGATAGCCTACAAAATAGGATTAGCAGAGCTTGATGACTATTTCGAGGGTTCAAACCGTTATCTCTACCAGTTGAACTGCATGCCCACTACTGCGAGGTAGAGTTGACGCTGTTGCCCATTCTGTGGAGGAAATAGACACCGGATATAAATATGGGCAGTCGTAAGCGGGTGGGGCCTGAAAAGCAACCGCATAAGAGAACCAATTTGGAATATCGATGCTAAAAGGATCAAATGGGGCTTGTTCCAACTCGTTGAGAATATCGAAAAGCCCAAGAAGTGGCGAGGACCTCTTTTCTTTACGCGTGCAGGCACACCTACATGCTAAAAGTATTGGGCTGGTGGGCGTAAGGCAGGTATTGGATAAGGTAATTTGAATTCCTTGTTGATTCCTCTCTGCACCCCTTCTAGATATTGAAAGAGCAAGTGGCAGCTCATCCCTTGCCGTGCCTTCGTATGTAGGTAGCTTCATTGGAGGCCTAGCATCTGGAGATTGGAGATGGCGTGATACCACTGTGCCTGGCAGACCTCTGCTGATGTCAAGGCCGAATGAGTCGAATTGATTAGGATCTACGAACACATCGCAGGAATGGCAGGTGGGGAAGTTGCCCATCTCCAAAACTTTACGCACCTCTTCTAGGAGAAGGCTTGCCGAAGGCCGAAGGTCGGTCCTATTCTGCAACATGAACTTGCAGATGTTCCAGAGTCGCCAGGTCGTTGTAGTTGCGGACTGTTGCATTAGCGAGACCCAGGACAAAAGCTTCTCCTGTACCCTGTAGTATGCTATTGCGTTCCGGTGCAGACGCTTCTTGCCGTTTGTGAAGCCCAAAAAGTCATGCAACTCTCCAATAGTCTGGCCTTGCGTGCGGGTCAGTATCTCAAGGACGACGCACCCAAGAGAGAAGATGTCGGCCTTCCGTCCGTGGGGTAAACATTCGGCGATCTCCAACGGTGCGTATAGTGGAGTGTTAGGACTGTCACTTGAAGAGGTAGAGTCTGGTTCAGAGACGATTCGAGAGATGCCAAAGTCGGAGATGAAGATTGCTGAGTCTCGTAGTAGGATATTGTGAGGTTTAATGTCTGCATGCCGAATCCGCCTTGCATGTATATATGCGAGGGCCGAAGACAGACATCCAACCCACGTATGGATACGATCAATATCGTCCTCTGGTTTGGAAGCTCCACACAGGAATTCTCGAAGCGTCAGCTGAGCAACCGGACTCAGGACAAGGTTTAGAAGAGAATTTTGAGTATAGGAAGCGACGAATTTGACGATGTGCGGATGCGTCAAACTTTTCAATATATTAACTTCTCGGGGAAGTGATCGGTGCTTAGATCTCTTCCGTGCAAACACTCTGCCGGTAACATACTCTTGGACTGTATCTACAGAACCATGAGAGCCTTGCCCCAGGAAAGCCAACAGGGGCACTTGGGGCTGATATCGGGTAGGAGATGGACCAGGAACAAGAGACGACGAAACGCCCAGAGAAATATTGCTGTTTCGCCTTCTCAAATGCCATATCAGTAGTGCTTCAGGGTTGAAGGTAGAGAGACTTACATAAATCGACGAGTCGAGAGTGGATTAGAGACCATTCGCCTTCTTTCAGAGCCAACAGTGCCAGAGCTCGGCTGGAGCATCATTTCCATTAGTGCTCTTTCCGCATCCCAGTCTTTGCCGAGAGCCGATCGCGTTGTATCTCGGACAGAGAAGCCAGCATATCCAATATCAGAATAAGAGTTATATGATCCGCTACTTCCCTTTGACCCGTGGCCTTGACCGCCATCATCTCTGTATGTCGGGGGGCCGCCAACATATCCAGATCCTCCTCCGGATCCCCCAGTGGGGTCTTGTCGGTTTGGAGGTTCCTTAGAGTTGTCTGGGCTGCCGTCTTCGTCTCCAGATGAGTCGCTCGATTCTGAGGGATTGTCAAGGTCACTTCTCTCTTCTTCAGTAGTATCATTAGACCTTTGCAATGACTCTAGGCATTGGAAGGTGCGTCGTGAATTGGCATGAACATCATCCTCATAATGAGCGAGTATATGTTTGCATCTGTCGTCCCAGGAAGTGCAATCTTCAGGGCAGAGTGGGCATTTAGGGTCCACATGTGCATGGAAATCGACTTTAGACATGCCGAAGAGATCTTCAGGATCATACTGCTTGTGGGCATCTTTAGCATGTTTCAAAAATTTGTCCTTACGGTTGACCAGGAACGGATTCTGCTCATTTTTCTGACGACAGAGATAGCATAGCCAAAGCTCTTGCGGCTCGTGAGTTTCTTCATGACGTCTCCAATCGTACGGACGCTTTGTACGGTACCCGCATCCAAATGTGCACTTGAATGGACCTTCGTTGACTCTTCTGCGGCCATCCTTTTGTGCACGACGGCGTTGACAGCCTATTACATAATTCTCAACTAATCGAAGGTCCTCCTTAGGCAAATGCTGATTTGCCTCCTTGAGGGAATAATTAGGAGGGGAATAGTAGCTTTGCATGCGGTTCATGGGCTGCCTGGTTTCTTGGAGGTTAGAATGTGTGGGTGAATGCGTAGTAGCAGGACTGATAAATTTTCGGTGAATGTACTCATTCACAGGATGTGGTGGGGCTTTGACAAGCGTGGCAAGGGCAATAACGTCTTCATAGGCGAGGAAAGCATTTCCCTGACCCTTTACGAAGTCTTCGTACCATTTTCGAATGAACCTCTTCTGCTTTGATGTGATTTTGGGTACTGTGGCTCGCCATGTGGCAGGCTGAGTAGCCTGGTGCCCAGTCGGGGAAGGTAGAGGCATCGAGGTAAAAGAATTTTCGACGTCTGGGTAGCTCGAACTCGGTGTATGAAGTGGGGTCTGGTTTACCCTCAGCAGTTTCGAACGCTGTAAATGGTCGTTGGGTTCATGGTCATCAAGAAGGTAATGACTGTGATCCCTTTTCCGCATCGGAACTGGTGATGTTTGTTGTGAGATTATGAGATTTTGAGGGTTAATGTGTTGGGGTTGCTGAATGAAATGCCTACCATTGCCTCCAGAAGGAGAAGAACTTGGTAGCATGTATGGGATCAAAGGTCGGTTCGAAGGCCTAATGGGATACGATTGCAGCGCTTGGAAAGAACTTTGTTGCTCCGGTGTCTGATCCGGGACGGCAGGGTTTTGATGGCTGCTTCGCTGAGTAGACCCGTAGTAACCAGAGTCGACAGTGCTGAGTTCGTTTTCGATCTGCGACCCAAGTCAGCAGGTAGTTCCTATTCTACTAGCGAGGCTGCCTTCACGAGAGAGAATATTCTCGAGATAGCCTGGATACTAGGGTTCGGCTGAAACGAGCTGCCGTCAGGCAATGGGATTGACAGCTCACCAAAGGAGGTTCTAAATATTCAGGATTGCCGAAGTCAGACAGGAACGGGACTCCAGGCTCCATGGGAAGATATCCATTAGAAGGGTTATGTCGGTAATTCAGCAGGGCATGACTATGCGGTGTCAAGGTTGACGCAGGCGGCCAATTAGAGTCGTTTTCGGCTTGGTCTGACTGAATCCGGTTGCCTCCTACAGAATCCGCTCCATGGAGATATTCTGCTTCATATCCAGGACACTCACGATTCATGGCCATGTCCAAAGAATTCCTAGGTTTTTTGAGCCTCGGGTAGGGCGAAGAACCGGACGGACGAAAGACTTTGAATTTTGACTGGAAGGAATCCTCGGATGAAGAACGACGCGGTGGTTGTGCGGGTTACTTCAGGCTAGAGAGCCGGGCGTGCTGGATTCTAAAGAAGTAACTTTCTGGCACGCCGGGGGCGCCCAACGCCCTCCAGCTTCTGCCTTAAAAGCCCCATCCTCTGCGGCTCTGAAAAGAGTCGCCCCGAAATGTTGCCCATCATAGGAGGACACCGAAGAAGGACGCAGATGGGACGGTGTCCTTTTGGAGTCTTGTGCACTCCTGCATGGGTACATTTCATCCCGAACGGCCGTCATTGGCGAAGGGAGAAGCCCACAAATATTCCTAGTTGCCAAGTAACACCACTACTGATTGATGCCATGTCGTTCTAACTTTGGAGGACTTGGAGCTTGAGGTCTACGTCTGCTTTTTCCTTTTTCGGCAAGCTAAGTAGCCGAAATGTGAGCGCCAGACCGCTCCATCCCTCCTACCGTCCTCCACAATTCGGATTTTCTAGTTTGAAGTAGTCTTGCTTCTTAATAGATATTCGCAGTTCTCGAAATACCAAGTTGATGGCCCCTCAGACCTTTCCATCATGCACACGCAGATTGCCTCGTAATGTTGGACACGCTGGCATTAGGCAGCGACCCTCGGCTAAGGTTTGCCCACGTTGACTACGGTCAATGGTCGCCCCAAATTCGATTGGATGGCTCGAGTCGCCTCACTCTCTGCGGAGGATCGTAATCTGAGGCTGGAGATGCATGCCCATCTCTTGTGGGATTGGCTGTCTAGCTGACATGTGAAAAATCTTACCACAAGAACCTCTGGACTCTCCCTGGCTCACTCGTCCACGAAAACCCACGATATAGGAAGTTATATCCAACAATTGCATTTATAGCAAGAAGCCAAACCGTTTCGAGTGCAAGGCGCATGTTGTATGAAACATTTCCACTCAGGCGCTTCGTAGAAGGTGAAGCTGCAAGACTGGATATATGGAGACGCCATATGATCCAAGGGATGATGAAGTAACGAGGCTCAATCAAGGGAGCTGTGATCACTGAAAGGGCAGTTGTAGCCAGCCAGACGGCAAAAAAGCTTATTTGGCAAGGCTGAAAATCTGCCTTGTCGCTAATTGGCTTCACTTTGTCGAGGCGTGGCTTGTTACTACTAATGGATTCAACACAACGAGATCCTAGGGCTTGAATTGTCATCCAATAGCACAAGTAATAGATCGGAACGGCGAGGTACTTGATAACCGGGTGTCGACGAAGGATGCGAAAGACATAAAAGACGTAGTGCCGATTGTCTGCGAGTGTGAATGGATGAACGATGGTGTTGAAATGGACCGCGCCTAGGCCAAAAACGAGGAATAATATGGCTGAGACAAATCCCGGTGCTGAAATACTCGCTCGCCCGACGAGGTTTTTCTCATAAAATGTCTGAACTTGGCTTGTGAGGAATCCTCTCACAAGAGGGGAGAGAAAGGGAACGGCCGCTAAAGGAAGGGAGAAGAAGACGATATAAGGCCAGATATAGAGCATCTGTGGGAGGTGAATCGTGGCAATGTGGTTTGATTTATCCCCTAGTAAGGTCAGCAACCTCTTTAATACTTGGACTCGATGTATATACCAAGGACAACCCCGCCATTCCAGGCTACGAAGCCAGCGAAGAGTCCCAACAGAACAAGATATGGCAAGAGTTCTCTCAGTACCGTGAAAAGTCTCCCTAGGACTGCGATAGGTGTTGATATCGAGAAGAGTACAACATCTTTCCACCATTAGTTAATCACGAGGACCTGCCTAGCCAGGACCACACAATATACCTTGAAGTCCAGCTTCTTGTACTGGACAATCATGAATACGGCCTCTAACCCAGCTTTCCTTCAAAGCTTCCCTGAAACACGTCGTCTTCGAGAATGCAGAGGCTGCCCCGTTTTTCTTGAGAGTGTCGATGACTGCGAGTCCAGCTGGGAAAACCGCAACCCAGAAGACATTCGTCTGCCGGAAAGAGAGAGCTACAATGCCGACTTGAATATAGGTGAAGTTTTCCCAGAATCTCCATCTTCCCCTTCCTCTCTTTAGAAACATATTGTAGCTCAAGAGAACAAGGAGAGTGGAAATGACATCTGTGTAATAGAGCCCAGAGAAGAAGAACAGAGGAGGAAACAGGGCGATGTTAAGAGCGGTGTGAGCATCAACCAGAGCCGTTTGTTTGCTCTCGGCCTTTTGGGTTTGTGTCTCATCTTGACTACCTTGCCCTTTCTGATTTGATGAACCTTTAGAGCGGAGGTTCCGCAAAATGTCGCATGCTAACATGCAAGCCACACAGATGGCCCCGCCGTTCAATGCTCTTAGAGATGATGTATCACAACTCCCGAGCACGGGCTGTAAGAGCAGTGACACAATGTAGCTAGATCTGTTAGTTCATCTAAAGCTGCATCATGATTATTGAAACTTGCAGGCCAGGAGGAGTGGTGATTTTTGGGTCCCAAGAATAGTCACCCTTGCAGTATCTCTGCGCCTGGGGAACGTGAAACACTTCGTCCTGGTCGCAATTAGCGTCCGTGATTTAGAATTGGTGATGTAATTGAAGACTTACAAGATAGGGGTTTGGCACGTGTCTAGAGACAAGTTTATACCAAATTCTGGTGGCACTCGCAATGACGATGACAGCAATAGACAATGCCCAAGTCTGCATTAGAGGAAGCATATCTGCGCCTGCACTACAATCTCTAGAGATTGTGAGTGGATGAGGGAATGGAGTTGTGGGGGAAGGAAAGGACAACAAGCTGTCTTCCAAATCAGGTCTAGCTATAGCTCGGCTAAAATTCCCGTGATGCGCGTCACTGTCCATCAGCACTCTCCAACACGGCCTCAAATTTCTGCATTTACACGTTCGAATCATGGCATTGCCGCTTCCACCGGGATTGACTCCCCCGGAGATTGCATTTCTGTGCGAGATGGAGCTTGTTACGGTTATACCGCGCCAAAGACTCGAAGGACTCGAATTGCTTGGAGTATGCACCCCCCAAAAAGAATTTCCAAATCTTCGAAAGGCCTTGGAAGGTAATTAAATATATACAGGGACCTTCACCACCGCTCAACCCACCGCACAGAACGTCTCTCCCACTCTGGCTCGCCCTACTCCTCAAACGCCAACGCCGCGCCAACATCATCCCTCCGCCATGGCTCTCCCCGCACTCCCTGACTGCGATTCTTGACCATGAGACTGAGCATGCAGATGCTTTCTCTCCCCCTCCCCGATTACCGTCCCCACCACCCAACAATACACTACCATTCTCCCCGCCATTCCTTCCGAGCTCGACAGCGGAGGCAGCGCCAGACGCATTACCGTATCATTGGCTAGAGCTTGGTGAGATGCTGTTGGAGGCTGCGGCGGATGATTTCGAAGACCCCGATAATGTGCGAAAGTTGCTAAGGGGCTTGAGAGAAGTGCGAATGGCAAAGCTGAGGAAAGGCGTAGGGGTTCTGGATGCTGGAGGTGGAGTTAGAATGAACGGGGTTGGGGGGATGGAGGTTGGAGAAGGGAGAGCATTTGTAGGAGGTGTTATTGATGGACTAAGGTGAGGGAATTTCATTGCCTCTTCCAGACTAAGTGTTGTAAGCTGTACGAAGCTATTGGATAATTTTCTGGTAGGGCGTGCGTACCTTGGACAATGCTAAGAAGTCCACAGAAAGATCGCAGCGTCACGCGAGCAACAGCGAAAAGACCGAGACCGAGAAGAAAGAGAAAATGGATACTCTGGAACTGTAGGAGATGACGATGACGACGAAATGGACATGCAGTGAGTTGGGGTATCACATTGACCATGCAACATGCATGGACATCCGGATCCATTGCCTGGAAATGGCGATACCCCAGATCCAAGATTGTGTCTTCGTTGGAAACAAGAGGTGGAAAGTTCAAGAGGTTTCCTTCAGGTGAAATGCTTATTCACGTACTCGAGATCGGTATCTAAGAAGTTCACATCTACAAGACCACCATCTAACGATGCAACTTCATTGAACACCTAAGGGCGGATATCTAAGGACGCTTGCTTGAAGGGACGTTCTTCCAATTCATTCCACGAACACCGGAGCGTCCTAAATCATCTATTAGCAACACCTACCACCTGCAGACTTAACAATAGCTGTAGAATTGCGAAAGCGCTGCCACAACACCCATCGTCCACCACGGTTCGCGATTACACCACCGTCGAGATGCCACGATGTATCCGATCGCGCCAACGTTCAACGGCCAACGGCCAACTCTAATGCCAGTCTACTTCAATATATCGATCGAGCATCTCCTAAAGTCTAAAATCACGTCCTTGGCTACGAAATCGCGAGTTGTGAACACACCACCGCGGGGATGCGACGATGAATCTAATGATTGGATCAACTCCAACATCCAACACACAGATCAACCCGAACTGTAAACCGAAATACCTCCAAAAATCCCCTTAGCCATCACCGTCAACGTCGCGTCAACAAAGTCCTCCACGTGACGCCCCACCATGCCCATCCCACGCGTCCCATCCCACAATCAGCCCACTTCTTCCCCTCACACACAACAACAAAAACTGTGCCGCAATCCTTCCGACCCGATCCCATCACACTCTAGTCACAATCTCATCACACAACCTGCAACACATCCTCCGACATCACATCGGTCCGAAACCCAATTCTCTTGTCTCGAGTCAAGCGTCGTCGTGCTCGGCATAAGCATGCAAGTGGAGCTGAGTGTTCCCCACCGATTTCGGAGCACGCATAAGAGCCTTGAAGCCTTATTCGGGATCTTGATTTCTGGCGTTGATCCCTCGGGAACCTGCGGAAGAGGAGATGGATGGGCATTTGTGGTCATTGTGAATGTTGTGGAACTGTGGCGGAGGTAAAAGCAGGAACCCGAGATGCATATGCAAGACGTGGGAATGCACTTTTCGCGCAAAGGAAAGACTAAAAAGAAGTCGTGGCTTCTCCATATTGCGGATCCGACGTCAGGATCAAGAAAGCCGTGTGGGGTATTTTCAACGTGTTTGAGCATACCCGCCCACTCAATTCTGCAAAAGAGAGCGTGTTCGATAACTTGGTGACAGCTGTAACACTATATCGGGAAGGCTGTATGGTTAGCTATGGCAGGGGAGGTCTTAGCCTTATCAGTCCAGCCCAGCCCAACTCAACCCAATTTGTGCAATCTACTCCTATTTGTTGAGGTAGTTTGAGTTCACGTGGCAGTCAATCGTCCCCACCTGAGAAAACGTGCGTGGATTGACACCATGTTTTGGTATTAGATGAATACCTACATGAAATTCGCTGCGTTGACGAAGTGATGACGTAGATTCCCCGGCCCCAACCCAATCCCCAACTCAATCCCCAACTCGAATTCGAGGTGGACGGAAGCGGTATCTATGCGAGGGCTCCTCACACCACACCCAATATAACAACACATTGTTTTTTTGGCGTGCAGGAAATTTCTCTATTAATCACCGAGAGTTTATTGACGGGTAGCCCCATTATTCCAGCAAACTCTATTCAGAAGCCCGGGTTTCCTTTCTCGGAGCCCACTGTTTTCCTCCACGATTCTCCATGTTCGGAGGCTGCAAACAGTAATTAAATTGTAGATTTGAGACATTGCACACGACTGTAATAGGTAATGTGTGCACCGAGGATATGGACTCGCCGAAAACCGTGGTCTATGACAAGATCGCAATTAGAGATGTCGTGTCCGAAGGAAAGGAAAGCCCAGCTACGCAGGGAGACGTTGAAACGTCCTCTGGCCCGGTCATTGCAACATCCACAATAACGTTGAAAACGGGCTTCTTGTAAGAAAGGAATATCCTAGAATTTCAATAAGCAAAAGGCCTTCCCCGCATTTCAGCAGCGTTTGATCACGAGGGCCGGGCGAATCCTTGTACACTCTCGCGGATGGCTGTATTGGGGACAGATAACGTATACTTTCTCAAATAGATATCCACGACTCCGGGTTGGTTTCTTTCCTTCTTACAAAAGCAAGACTCTGTGATATCATGCCGCGCTGACTGTCTTACATTCGAGCTCGAGCCAATACCACCACCATTGCAGACCTGGTATTATTGGCTTCCCAACACAGGCCGCCATGTCACCGACGCGTCAAAACGGCGAAACATGCAGCCGCCAAGTCCACCTCCACATGTTACTTTTCTCAATCCGAAGCTTGATAGGCAAACAAGCCTCAAGTCCCCACAAGAGTTACACCGTGATCCCCAGCCACTTTGCTTTCACATCATCTCCACTATATTGACCAGGGCACCATAATACTGTCTTCAATAGATGGTACTTGAACTGCCCTTCACGGCGATTTTGAAAGTGGAGGAGGCGGATCAGAAGCCATGGTGAGACAAATGGCGGACACAAAATAGATACGGAGAAAAGAAATGGAGCAATGTGGCTCTTGAGAAGAAAATACGGGATTTGCGGGGATGTTGAGACTGGGAAAAAGAGAAAATAGATAGGGTGGCGTTTTTCACCGAGCATTTTGGTAACACCTCAGAAGCGCAATTGACAGATGGAGAAGGTGACAATTCTTCCACGAATCTAAAGCGCGAATTGTGGGTAGCGTAGTACTGTTTTGTCATCGTGAAACATTTGTTGACAATTGGGAGACAGGGGATCTGAGCATCTCACACAAATTCGGTGTCGCCTGTGATATTGAATGTGATCGCGAGCCTCAAAGGCAAGAAATTGTTGACTTGTGGCGTGTCTAGCCAGAGTCTTGGTCGACGACTCATTGGAATAATACCGTGTTCTAGTCTGTGGAGTGCAGTTAATTTTGCTTCTGCTCGCTTCTAATTCCATTACAGAGTTTTTGGTCGGGGCTGAAATCCAGCCACTTAATTATACTACTTCAAGAGGTCCACTCTCCTCAGTGCAGTATGTGAGATTGAGATGATAGGATACTATTAAGCTAGATCTAGATATCCACACCAATCAAAAACAAGATCAGAAGTGGGATCCCAAGACGTATGTAAAAGAGCCGTGTCGTACGACACATTGATCTTAGAATACATTTGCAATCCAATGTACCACTTTAACATTGGAATACCAGGACTTATACCTACCTTTTCTGAGCATCACGTCGTCTAGGGTCAGGAATGCAAAACCCCGTGATGTAGGCTGCCAGGGAATGCAGTCACATGTTCTTCACTGTGTGCACTTCAGAAACACGATCACGACTTTGGTGCTTGCATTTAGCACCGTGCACCATGCACCCCAGTATTCTGAGTTTGCTTCTCAAACCTACTCTAGTCTCAGATCTTGCATGAAAAGTAATAGGAGGGAGTCATGCGGAATAGTCTCCCTGTACTTGAAGCAAGTAAAAAGAGATCCAGTCCAATGAAGGTCGCAACATGATTCAGCTCGGCACCACATGACAATGCCCTACTTTGCCAAATTAGTAGGCTCCTAGTATTCATGGCTGCCACGTGCAAGAGAAGGGGCCACATAATATTGTTGTTCTCACTGGGAAAATGTAGAAAGAGCGGTGGTCACGGATGTCGCGCTGATAAAGGACCGACCATTCAGAAAGGTCACCGCTGATCGCGAGCCACTTGCTTGTGTCAACAAGACAGAATGTTGAAAACGGCCGTAATGTTGAGCAACGGGGGAAATGGAGAAAGCAGCTCGAAGAGGGGCGCAGAGGGGCTTGGTTTGACGAGGTAGAGGGTCGTGTTTCAGGGAAGTCGGTTTGCAGGTTGGGTTGTCATGCGCATATCGCAACAAACTTCGTCATAGTAGAAATCAGTCAAGTAGGAAATACAAAGGTTGGTAAAGACAGACGCGTAATTTCTGGACGCATTGTTTGTAGCTTTATTTAGCGTTTCCAAGTTTCATCGTAGGAGTTGGCTGGGCAAGTTGTGTTATCTGAAGCCTGAGGTCTCAGTTCGGAATCCATGACGTTGGACACAGTCCACAGGTCCACAACTCCCCAACTGTTCATGACTGTCGTTACCGATGAGGGTACAGGAAGCTTTTCAGTCCAATCGCTGCGCCAACGGGAACGTTGATAGAAAGCGGTTTGTATGAATCGTCTTTCGCGGCGTCGGGTTTCTGAGACGAGTCCATCCCATATCATTGACTCTTAGTAATTACTAATCTGTATCTGTGTGGGGAATGCCTCCATCACTTATGAACTAACTGGTCAGAATGGGGAGTCTCGAAGCCTCAATGAGCATCGGATCGTAAATCGGCAAAAGTCCTGATGGAAAATGTCACAAATGCTCTTCGTTGTCATCATTTAGAAAAAAAAAAGTGGTTACAAATTTGGTGGGTAATATGGAGAGATTTGCACTACCTTAAACGAATGTGGGCCTGATCAGCTGGACTGCCTGATTCTGTGGCTAGTCGTGGAGCCGATGCCTGGCATGAAAAACATTGCCATCTTGCGCGAGACATTTGCGAGTCAAAGGCGAAGACGAAGACGCACGCGAAGCGCGTCAGCATCCCTTCCGTCCATCTTGGGCTGGTGTACCCTTGTCGCCCGCGCCTTTCCGATGACTGTCATCAAGAACAGTGTCCTCTCCCCAGCTTTGGGACGTGCTGATCCGTGACTTGTGGGGTTTACGCGGAGAACATGGGGGTTTCAGGAAAGAGACCCCATTGTGGAAGGCCTGACTAGAATGGGGCGCGTGTTATCGATTGATCATGATCGCGTAGTTCGCTACATGCATTTCGAGTCAGTAGCAACAACGAAGGAAAGGCCTTTGTGGCTGATATTGGCGAGGATGTCGACGTGGGAAATCTTTCCTTGACAGACGCTGGCCTCCCCACACATGGGCGCTCAAAACTGGGAAGATCTCAAATTCCAACCCAACGTATGGTGGGCACGATGGAAACGAATGTTGGAGCAACTTTGCTGTGGCAAGAAAGCGCTAAGTTGGAGGTAGGAGCGATGGTACGAAATTGCGCGTTCGCCTTTCATGCCGACTTCATGCCTTCCCTAGAAAATGTGACGAGGAAGAAGCACCTCGTAAGTTGCTGGGAGGGAATACCTGCGTTGGGGTGAGAGAGGTGCCGAAGAAAGAATCACCGAAAGCTTACTTGACACGGAAATCATGGCCAAAGTGCCGGGGATCCACTTGGGCGACGTAAAGTTCCGCGACGAGGGTTTGGATGACTGCAAAGTCGGGGGTCATCGACTCCACCGTGCAGAAGCGAGTTGGTTGAAGCCGACAATCGTAAGTTGGGTGCAGATGCCTCTGTGAACGAGGTTCACATGGAGTAACACATTGAGGTCCATTCGCGATGTACGGATCTGGGGCATCCTGGCGGTTGAGTATATCCTCCCACAAAGACAGTGCTTACACGGTAATTGCCAGCGTCGAAGCCATCTCGTGCACCCTACTTAACGAAGCCCTTAGCCTACTCCGTGGATTGAACCTCACTGAATAGAAGTCATCGATGCCTTTGTTGAAGGCTCGCGATACCAGTGAGGCGGGTAATGTAAGGCCTCCAAAATTCCGAGACCAAACGAACTTTCCACCCCTGCAATGAAGCAGAAAAGTAAGTCTCGGGACGACTTAGTCGAAAGGGTTTTGGGTTCAGTAACCCATGCGCAGATCTAGAGCCTAAGACGGTTAAGCTTGCTCAATTTGCCGTTTTGGGAAAATTTATGCGCATGGATATTCCTTCTTGCAGCCGCTTCCCCTGTCGTTGATTCTGAGGCGATCGACGGCGAGGGTTGTCACTTTCAACGACAACATGAGATGTTATTCTAGAGACGTAGAAGGCTTCCAAAACGCACTTTCTAGACCTTGAGAAGCGGTGTAGCGACCTTAAAAGACTCCCTCAGGAGCCCCCTTCGCATCGAAGTGAGGGAAGGTGTGCTGCGATAGACTCAGTTCAACGGAAGATCGCGGTAGCAAGTTGGTCTCGTGCCGTACTGTTCTTTCAAGAATAAGGCTCCAACGGTCGATTCGCTAGGATGAAGGTTGGGGATGAGAAATGTCCTCAGAGAAGGGCAATCCTGTTGGATCCACACAGAGAGGGAGATTGCGCTATGGGTGAGGTGTGAAGTTTTTGAGTTACTAAGCCATGCATTCAATCGCGAAGCTGATCCTCAAGCTTCACCTTTTTTCATCGTCCATTGGCCATTATCATAGTCACCCGCAGCATATCTTCCTAAAGTTTAGAAGGTAAGTGATATTGTGGCTTAGCTACGATGTCATTGATCGGTTTCTCCCCATCAACGAAAGTCGTGAGAATTGTCAATTGATACTTGTGGATGTCATCTCTCTCGCCTCTGGACCGCTCGATGAACCAAGCCGGCAGTATTCGGCTGCTTTCAAGCCATAGTTGCTCTTTTTAGAAAAGCGAAGGAGTGCGTCGCCGAGACTCGCTCTCTCCATCCACACCGCATGAGAGAGTGGGACTCGGAGATTAATGGCGTGGGAGCTTCCTCGCGTGAAAGCAGTGTTTCCGCTTCTTACTCATTGTTGGTAATCTGTTGGACGAATCTCAAGCGCCTCGATGGAGTGACCTCACACAGATAACCAGACGACCGGGGTCGAAGGCGGTTGACGAGAATTGTCCACTGACGCCTTCATCGGGTCACAGACGGGTGAAAGACCATTGCACTTGCCGAAGGGTTGTCCGCTTATCATATGCACCTCTTTCAGTGTTGCATAGCAAGACTTTTAACAGGAATGTGCCGTGGCACTCTCAGAGGTCTCGTCTTCTCATCGAATTCCAGTTCCCTGGGGAGAGGAAGGTCACTCATCCGCTCGACAATCGATTTGGATCTGAGACCTAGCCGTCCATCAGCTCGGCTCCAATTGGTTGGTGCGTGGAAAAGGCGCAGGGCCAGGCTGTTCTTCCTGCTCGTCTGATCCGCTCGTCTCCTGGCACACTCGGGCTTTCGTCTCCAGACCATCAGGACAGACACGGTTGGACGTGATGAGAAAAGTCTTTTTTTGTTTTGTGTGGCTGATGCGGGATGGCATGGTCATATTGAGCGGCGCAGCCGTGATCGATGAAAATTTGACATAGGTCCCAATTAGTCAAGCCTAGGATCTGATCCCGGGTGAAGTGTAGCTCGGTACTGATGCCTGGCAAGGCTAAGGACTTGTTTACTCCTTACTATTAGAAGGTCATCAGCTTGGGACAGATTCTGCGTACTCTCTGAGTGAAGATACTACAATGAGGCAAAGGCTGCTACCGTGACGTCTGTCAGACTGTGCAGTACTACACGTCAAAGATGTGGGTGTCACGTTGAATTGAAATATGAATACCGTCCCATGAACGACTGGTCCGGTTCGGGGAACTCGAGGGTCTTGCCTTCATCAGGCCTCCCGAGGACTCGACCGTGTCCAAAGCGTAATGACCCAACGGGTTGGTGTCATGAGCTGCAGGCAGTCAAATCATCGCAACCTCATCAAGGATAGGTGGATTGCAGTGGAGAGAGGTGGGTCCTGGGCATGGTGCTGCCCCAGTGCCGGGAGCTAGCTGGTCCTTTTGACCTGGAGAAGCACGTCGGCGGACGCCATGAAACATGAAGCAGAAATTGGAACCTTTCCAAGAGCGCAGATTTCTTTTTACGACCTCTGAACAGCGTTTTCGCCCGAGCCGCACCGTTTTCGCACCATGAGAGAAATTGAAGGGTTTTTTCAGCTTCCCTTCGGACAATTTCGAGAAATCCTCAAACGCAGCCAATGGTCGCGAGAGGCGTTGGAGCAAACTGCCCAGCCAGGGAGTAATTGGGCGGCACCACCGTGGCGAGCGGGGAGACAACCAGCATTGATTCCGCTCGGGGAACGCCTCGAATTGGGCTTTGGGCGGGTCTCTGCCTGTGGGGGGCTCGGAGTGGATAAGACGATCTCTGCCTCAACCAGTTCGACTCATGTCCCGGCACTAGGGCCGGGGTGGAGGGCTGGGATCAGCGTGCTCGTTCAGCAGCCTCACGCTTCACACTGCAGCCCATCCCTCTTGGTTCGCTTCTAGCGTGCGACCTGCGGGTCTTATGCAGGCTGCCGCGCCCGTACTTGTCGGCGGGCATGTCACAGCGAGCAGCGTGGTATTGACAGCAGCACACGAGCTTTCGAAGTTGGTTTTTGGCGATGGCGAGCGTGACTTCTCCAGTGCTCGCTCCGTACTCAACGCGGCCGTTGCGCAGTAGCAACGATTGTTATTGACCGCCCTTGTACGGCGCCATCCGCACTGGCTAGGAGTGCAGATTGGCTGGATGAATCGGTTTAAACTGATCAACATTTAATGATGGTGCAAGGAGCAGAACGATGACCCAGGGGCAAGGGACTCACAGCGCGCCTGCAAGCATGTGCGCGTCGACCCTCGCTGTGCATTCACCCCTCGGCGCTCGATCAGGCATCGCGCAAATCAGCGTGGCGTCTCTCACGAAGACCAAGCCGTGAACCGGCTGCGAAGCCGGCCGTGCTCCACCAACGCTCCCTGGTAGGGGCCCTGGTCGTGTCGCCGAGGCCTCTGCTTTGGCCTTTCCCTGAAGAGACTCTGCGGCCCGTCGAATCCTCTCCGTTGTCGTTGATATTATTGACGCGGCTTGTCACTCCCTTCCACACCTCTCCCTCCCTCTGCTCGACCTTTGCAACCAACACGTCGGCTGCAACGCGCTCGGCATTCACCATCAACATCCCCATAACCACCACGTTCCCTTCCATTCTGCTTCTCCCCTCGCTTAGGCGTTGCCGATATCGAAACGAAAGACCGTTGGAAAAGAAAGACACCCTGTCCCTGCCAGGCAAGCTCGACCCTTGCAGTCCCTCAGTCTCTCCTTCGCCAGTATCCAAGTTCCAAAGCAAAGCTGCGATTCAGCAACAGTCCCTCCTTAGTATTTGGCTCCTCCAAGCCCGTCCATGAGAAACAGACTGTGTGTTGGCCTGCCTGTCGTTTCCGCACAAGCACACACCATCCTGCTGCAGTCCATGCGTAACAGAAACCCGTCCCGTTACAGGCCATCGTAGGTGCAACCGGCATCTCTCGCGTCCACAACGACGTTTCAAGCACGCATCATAACCCTCTTCCAATTCGTCATTCTGCAACAGCCGCAGGGATCCAAGAAAAGTAAACGCCTTTAACCTACTTACTATACTTGGGTTTGGCTCGCCACTCCGCGGACGAACCACACGGCCAATTGACCCTGAGACACTTTGTATCATTGACTAAGTCGACGAACTGCAGAGTGCACAACTACGGGTACGTAGATTTCCGTTGAAGAGTCGACGTCACATTTCACGCTTTTGCCATTCTCGCGGAACCATTCCTCATCCAATCCACACAAAAACAACTATACAAAACAATGACCGAATACTAACCACTCCTCCAGCCTCAAATTGTACTGACACCATATTTCGACTTCTCTATTGCAAAGTCGATTTCATACTTGGTGGACCACTCTCCGACCGGAACCAGTTTTCGACCAAATCAGGCGCACGAATCAACTAATTTGACTCAAATGACTGTGTGGCACGCCTCAAAAGTTGCGTTGCACTATTAGCGCACCACCGGTCGCAACATCGAGTACCATTCCAATATTTCCCCGCTTTCATCTTCAATCCACCTCACCATGGCGGATTTTATGCTAGAGAATGACGAGGTGGGCAAGCATGCGAGTGCATTGGTTGCGCCACTCAACATCCAAAAATCCCCGAAGCGGTCCCGGAGCAGGCAACGGGGACACTCAAGACAGTCGTCTTCAATAGGAGCCCCTTCGATCAAGTCGCAGTCCCATTCGCAGTCGCAAATATCTCCTCCGTTGACGCCACGAGCATCAAGAGATACGTTTCCTAAGGAGATCCCCGCTCAGCCAGTCTTTCATAACTACCTCCGCGCCTTTTACCATTTCCACCCGAGCTCAACTGTCTCATCGTCGACCGATGAATCCTCAATTACCGTTCCCATCAACCAAGGCGATGTCATCTTGGTGCACTCAGTGCATCCCAACGGCTGGGCCGACGGAACTCTCCTAGCCTCTGGAGCTCGAGGATGGCTCCCAACCAACTATTGTGAGGCTTACGACCATCCGACGATTCGAAATCTCCTGAATGCCCTAACTCATCTTTGGGACCTTGTCCGCGATGGTGAGAATGGCGACTTAGTAACGTTCACCAAGCAGGATTATGTAAGGGGTATGATCGCTGGCGTACGGTACTTTCTGGTAAGCTCCTCTTAAGTTCAAGGGACGTTATTTGAAGCGAAAGACCGCGACTAACCTCGCATCTAGGAAAGAACACAATGTCTAACAAGGGAGGCATCCCTCATCCAGGCTCATGTCGGTTTGCGGCGAATGCGGAAGGGTCTGCTCGGTGACCTGTCATCCCTAGTTAAGACTGCCAAGAAGTTGCAGGAGATTCTCCAAAGTCACGAGTCTCCAGTGCCGGTATTCGAGCTACTGGACGAGCTCGTGCTCAAGTCATTCAAGCTTGTAACGAGAGCAGTCCGCTTCCTTGATATATGGGCACAAGACGCGGTTTCGGTGTCGTTTGACTTCTCGGATGCAGGCAAGAATAGACCTCCGACCCCACCATCTGACTCTGCCGATCCTTCTGTGCAACCGCCGGCCACGTCGAATCAAAACAATGAAGACAGCGCATCCGCGAATGACGATGCATCTCCCGTGTCACAGGCGAGCACCACTGCAACGCGCGAGGAATTAGACAGCGCGAAGACCCAGCCACCACGTAGCCTCAACCGTGCATCTGTCGCCTTCTCTATCCCCTCAGAGTCAGACTCTCCCCAATCACCTCTCCCCCCAGCTCAGCCTCAAGGTCAGGCAAAACGCCTATCTGTTACGCACCGTCTGTCATACACCGGAAAGTCGCAGGGCCTGCGAAAACAAAACCTTGCCTCTGAGCGACTGAATACTGCACACGACTCCTTCCTAGGTTTCATCGGTTCATTTATTGGGTTGCACCTGCAATCCCGCTCATCTGAAGAGCTCACCCTAACAACACAGCAATCAGTCGTCGCTTGCCGTCAACTTCTCACCGTCGTCGAAGAAGTATGGGAACGCGACTCGCGAAGATCCGAACCGCTGGAGCAAGCAAGGGATATGATGTATACGCGACTCACCGAGCTCGTTCAGGCCACGAAGGACATGTTCAGCGCCTCGGAATCTGGCGTAGGTGAGGACGTTGTCATGCCAGACTCTGGAAAACAACTCGTCGCTGCTGCCACGAGCTGTGTGCGTTCCGCAGGCGACTGTGTCACGAAGGCCAGATTTGTGATCGAAAGGATTGGTGACTTCGAGTTTGAGGATACTGGCCTTGGACTTTCAGAGACAATTTTCGAGAAAATTGGCCAGGACGCCCAACCAAAGGTTGAGGTGCCTAAACAGCAAGAGCAGCACATTGAAACCGATAAACCACTTCCTGCACCACCAACATCTGCACGCCAAATCCCACCTCCTTTAGTCATATCAGAGTCAAAACCATTACCAGAAGTCCCGGTTTCATCTCCCTTAGAGAATCAAAGGCTCAGCCTCCAGCCCATCCACCACCCAGCCATTGTTGAGAGCCCCACAGCTGTATCCTTCAGGTCATCAAGGTCTTCCTTACCGCCCCTAAATCAACTTCCTATTCCACACCTCCCTCAACCTAGCGCTTCAGAATATTCGCAGAGCCCGGCAAGCGCCACCCAAAGATTCTTTTCCAAGGCTATAAGAGCAGACAGTGTCAATGCATCCGTCGCAGACTCCAGCAGCACCTATCGGAACAGCATGCGAGGCGAGACGGGCAGCATTATCTCTCAAGCCTCAACCAGAGCGACCACCCCAGATCACTCTCCAGCTAAGAAAGAAAGTTCCCAGACGATATCAAGCAGTTTCGGCAGCGCATCGGAGCTTCGGTCCGTCGGAAGCGAAGACGTGTCGGCCGTTGAAGAGCATCTCTTAGAAACGACTTACGCTCATGAACTGATCTACAATAAGGAGGGTCAAATCTCTGGCGGCTCTCTGCCCGCCCTGGTGGAGCAGCTGACAACTCATGAATCCACTCCGGATGCCATGTTTGTCACCGCCTTCTACCTTACCTTCCGACTCTTTACTACTCCAGTAGACTTCGCCCAGTGTCTCATCGATCGCTTTGATTATGTTGGTGATAGCCAATCAGTAGGAGTGCCGGTTCGGCTACGTGTCTATAACGTATTCAAGGGTTGGATGGAGAGCCACTGGCTTGGCGAGAGCGACTCTGCAGCCCTTGGCATTATCCTCGCTTTTTCGACTGGCAAGCTACGGTCAACACTTCCTGCAGCTGGCAAACGTCTAGCAGAGTTGACTTCCAAGGTCACTGAAGTTCGTGCTGGAGCTCTTGTACCACGCTTAGTGTCATCGCTTGGGAAGACTGGGATTTCCAACACAGTCTTCACCCCTTCTGACAGCAATGTCCCAAACCCTAGCATTACGAAGAGCCAACTAAATGCCCTCAAGAGCAGCAAAGATGGGAAGACGCATTGCAGCATCCTCGACTTCGATCCTCTGGAGCTTGCAAGACAGTTGACCATTATTGAGTCCAAGCTCTTCTGCTCCATCCAACCCGAGGAGCTGTTGGCATCCGAGTGGACGAAGAAGAACGGCTCCAGGGCAGTCAATGTTCGTGCAATGTCAACCCTCTCAACCGACCTTGCAAATCTTGTAGCAGACACAATCCTTCACCTTGAGGATGCAAAGAAAAGAGCTATTATCATCAAGCAATGGGTGAAAGTTTCATCTAAATGCCTAGAACTAAACAACTACGATTCGCTCATGGCGATTATCTGCTCTTTGAACTCTTCAATGGTTTTGCGGCTGAAGAAGACTTGGGAATTGGTATCTGGCAAGACTAAGGCACGTCTTGAGGAACTAAAGACGATCACAGACGTCGGTCGAAACTATGCTGTCCTCCGTCAACGACTCCAGAACCATGTGGCACCCTGCATCCCCTTTGTTGGTATCTATCTTACTGACCTTACTTTCGTTGACGTTGGCAATGGCACGACGCGTCAGCTACCTGGCGAGTCTGGTCGCGAGAGTGTCTCTGTCATCAACTTCGACAAGCATATGAAGACTGCCAAGATCATTGGCCAGCTCCAATCATTCCAGGTTCCATACCGCCTCGCCGCTGTGCCCGAGATGCAAGATTGGATGGAGACACAAATCCAACGTGTCCGGTCAAGCGACCAAGCAAATGTCCAAAGTTACTACCGTCGCTCGCTTCTTCTCGAACCCCGGGATCCGCCACAGGTCGTGAAAGCCACACCGCCTCCTATCGAGAACGCTCTCGAGAAGACTCTCACTGCTGAGTCTCGAATCAACTCGAAGGACCGATTCGAATTCTTAAACTTTCATTTCTCCTCAACAAACTCCGTTAAAGACAAACAATAGACTTGTTCACGCGCTTCAACGCGCTTCAACGCGCGCAACATTTGGATCTCAGGCGAAAGAACATCGAGGTCGGCCTCTCTCTCTTGGATACTACCCACTGCACCTACTGCCCGTAGTTGCGGCATTTATCCCCGCGTGTGGGGTTATTGTATTTTCATACCTACCCTTAGGCATGTCTCAGACGAGCATATCTAATGTTTGTATTTGTTTTGTTTTCTCGTCTCTTTTTGTTTATTGCAATATGTCACGGACGGTCGGATCACGATACCAATGCGCTTGCTTGCTCTTCTCTGTTTCTTGTTCGTCTAGATACCACTGTTAGCGACCTTTTATTTCTTTGGCACTAGTAGGGATGAGCATCGGCACGGCCTTTTTCTCGGATGGTGGTTGCGTTTATCTATAATACCCTTCTTTCCTCTCGGGCCCGATCCCATATCAGCATCAGGGGTCTTGGGGATTGCATAGAGTATGGAGCCTTGGAGTCTGGGAATCGGGACATAAACAAGCCCCGGACTTTCGCTAGTAGGGTTCTGCCTCACTTTTTTCGCTCGTTTGGTTGGAGTTGACGTATGTCGTGGCTGGATCAAAATTCAGGGGTTTCTTTTGGGGTTGGCTGGAACTTTACTAAAGATAAAAGCATGGGTGGGTGTGGTGTAGTGCTTCGGCTTTGTGTGATGATAGTGCATATGGGGATACCAATTTCAATCCCGAAGTAATTAGTCGAATGAACGAGATGTGAGAATTCAACGAGCTTACCTTTGCGCGGTGATGTGAGAACCGCGGAGATTGTTTGATGTTGTTTGTAAAAAGTTGTTTACCGCGGTTCACTTCTTTAATGCATTACATCCCCTTGGTGCACATCATCACACTCCATTAATACTCTGATATTCTTCGCAAAAATCTCCAATCCTCTTCGCTCATGGATATGCATATTCTCTCCTCAAAATTCTGCTCTCTCCCAACACAGCTTCTTTCCTCAGCGGACTTGAACGGGCTATCAAACACAAGAATATGCCCAACCTTACCGGTGTCCTTTAGCATCCACCCCATGGAAGCCAGTGAGCGGCTCAGCTCTCCTAGTTCAGCAAATATTGGCACCTTACGCTGGGCAACGGCTGCTCTAGAAGTAAAAGCACTACGAATATCTCCAGTACAGCAGTGGACTTATTGACTCGCTAATTCGAAGGCACGTTACGATCTAATAAAGAAACGTCATCACGCCCAACCTATCTTTTTTATCCGGACCCGTTGATTCACGCATCAGAATCATCGTAGGGCTACATTATCGCGGGGTATGTTGCCATATTCCTCGCTGCGCTTTTTTCTTCCTTCATGAACTAACCTCGACTTGAATAGGGAATAAAGGAGAGACGTTGTCAACGGTCGCTCCCAGCTGGAAATCTTTTGTTAAATCTAGAAGGGAACAGCTCTTTTGAGTTGATGTTCCTTCAGCAGCAAAACGTCTACTACTTGATTATATGCCTTGGAACTTGAGCCGCAGCGACGAGTACGGAAACCCTTTTTTCTAGCCTCGGGGTGTATATAATCCAATGGATCTTACGATTCAATTTATCTACTTATCCTTCAACCGAGCAATAAGCAACTAGGTAAGTCCTTATAGCTGCTCTCCGCTCTAGATCCAAAAATGCTAACGAAATATAGAGGTCGGACGTAGGCAAAGGCCTTTCTAAGATACTGCAGCTGTGCTAGTCCTGGAATAAAATCCGGAGAACTTCGAAGCAATGTTTGAGAGGACAGGTCACTTGTCTAAATCACCCAGGAGATGTCTTACAAACGTCGCTCTGGCTTCTCTCATCTCTTTTAGCCTCAGGATTATTCCCCTCTACACTTCTCTTATCCCCCGATTCAAGGAATAAAATCTATCACTGGGAAAATGATGGCACGTCGCATCTCCGAAATAAGCCATCACGTTGTTTACTCTGAGAAGTAGAGGAAGTCTTGAAGCCTCCTCAGGCTTACTGTGGGGCAGAAAATGTGGGATCTGCGGGTCAGGACTTAAGCCGGTAAGATAGCATGGGGCGGTTCTTGCGGCAGTGCCTGCTTTTGGCCAACCCTTTGGGCCTTCTAGATCGCTTGGAACTTGCTACATTATGAGCGTCCCGACCTTTTACGCCTACGACACTTCCAGGAGCAGAAACACACACCCATGAGCTCGCGTGGAAGTACCAAGATTTCGCTCCGCCAAAGTCTTGCATTAGACAGGAAAGAAAATGAAAGCAAGACGCAGCATAAGCGGCCTAGGGAATACTCGTTCACTGCTATAGATCTGCTTCTGGGTTCATGATATAGATACCTTCCCGATACCTGTTTCGCTCCCTGCACACGTCTCCTCCTAATTTCAACCTCGCCTAATAGTCTTGCCGGCCCCAGTATACTGCATTGCTACTCGGGAGTTTGGGATAAAGAAGAGTACGAAGTGCTGCATGTCTGGGTGCAGGAACAAGAACCAAAACATTCGCAACAAATGATCTGAAATGTCGGGAACAGGGACACATAGATCCCTGAATGATGTGCTTCCTCTTCAACACCGGTATATGGACACCTTCCTTCCTCTCCATGCGAGTTAAATACTCATGACAACTCCATGATCAGTTCGGCACTAAGGGCGACGTCGACGACTATCTATGGGTGCAAGAACTGAAAAGAAAACCCCCCAATTTCTAGACGTAGGACTAGAGCCAGAACAAAGCCGATATCCAGTCCTTCATGATCCACAACCCGTGACCCTGTATTAGTCTCAGTATGTAAGCAACCACTTCTCCAGCTGGGCGATGAAGAGGACATAACCACCATGACTGCACCACATCTTAGAAAACAATCCCAAAGGCTACATATGAGCATTGTTTTCTCATTCTCCAAAAATGATTCAAGGTGATACGAATGCCCCCTTCCCTGAGACTAGAACTCGAGTGGGGCGGCGATATTGCTGGATATTGGACATTGCCCCTTTCCGAGGACTAAAACTCGGGGAGATACCACCGATGGCTTGACTCAGACTAAGAAAGAGCTTTTTGCTCTTCATTAATATCCATCTGGTGGTGGAGGTAAATCCCGCCACACAAACTTCAGGGGAGAAAAACATTGTTGGAGAGACTTCACATGCAACTGGCGTCTCAATAAAAATACTCGGTTTCATCATGTATGTCTCTCCTCAACTACGGACTAAAATTGTTTGTCTCGGTTCCTTCATACAATAAAACAACAACATCCAAACTTCTAATATCTAGAGGCTTCCAGAAAAAATGTTTCCGCCTCAGAACTATAGCTTGTGGAGGCCAAAGAACCATTCGAGAAGGATTTTATGGGACTATAGCATTGCCCCAAACAAGCCTGATAATCCACCTTGTATTATAGTACTTAATGTTCATCTCAACGTCTCTCTATTAGACGAAAAAAGATTTAGCGGGCCACTGGTGGCAGCCAGAAGCCGAAAGAGACTTTCCGAATGGCTGCCTGGATGTTGTGTGCGGTGATAAAGATCCTTCCTCAAGATAGCAATATCTAGAGCTGTAGAATAAATAATTGGAACCTCTACCGCCCGATAGTATAAACTACAACCACTGCCGCTGACGTCTGGCTGTCTGCATGGACTAAAAAAATAAAATATCATAGGCATGGGCATGTGGCTGGTTGTCTAAACTCAAAGCTACGCCACGGAACCCTAAGGCACTAAAAATCGTATCCTACTTCTGTTATGTGTGATTACTACCTGCTGTTTAGAATAAAAGAGACTAATAGCGTCTATAACGTCTTCTCTTCCCGGACCAAAACTCATTACCTCAAGCCACTATGCCCCGTGGGTGCAATAAATGTATATCAAACGAATTCATGTTCGTTCCTGGATAAAACTGCTACGGAACTAGATGATGGTCCTAAAACCACAATTCACACTCAATATGCTCTGCCTGTTCTAGACTGATATGAAATCAACAATCCTGACATACATGGCACCCAAAAATGGGACTGACACGAGTATGTGCTTGCTGCGGTCAAAAAAAAGGACCGACGCACAGTACGGCCTCCCGTCTTCTAAGGCCAGCCGCGCAATAAGATTGTGGATGAAAGCATGCATGTGGGATGAAATGCGCAAGCTCTGTCAATATGAATAGAATGGAAAAAGGGGAACGCTGTGAAAATGCTAAATCACGGAAGTAAAAAAGGACTGTCCTTCAGGTCAATATGGACATATGGGGGGTGGAGGGAGTGAAGGAGGGTAGGTTGATGAAGGGGCTGGCTTTCAGTAGCGATGGAGAGCATCCTGAGGATTAGGTGATGCGGAGATGAATCTCTTCGGACCCCACGGCTGTCTAATCTAGAGGCATTGGTGGGACAAGATGATATCATTTGCATTTCCATAATTTCCAGCCTTTCGCCATGTTCCCTATAGCTACTCAGCGAAACCTTCATCCCATCCGTCTCACCAAAAAGGTAATTACGCCATCCTTTTGATATGCAGTTCCCCTCTCTATCTCTCACCCCACCACCCACCACATGCATCAATCTATTGATCCTCGACGATGGTAGTGTGCAGACCCTTGGGGTCCTTGACGTTGACGGCTTGGACGTACGAGTATAGCTTCTCCTTGGCACCCTCCTCATCGTTACGCTTTCGGGAGATGCGGACTCGGAGACGGAACGGGACGCCCTTGATGCCGGCTTCCCAGACCTTCTTGTTGAGTTGGGGGTCTAGTCGGACGTCTTTGGTGCCCTGCATGTAGTCGTAAGCTATCATTAATCGGTGATGTGACGGTTAAGTACTGGGAGTTGGTGATACACTAGAGAAGAGAAAAACATACCATAGCCTTCTCAGCGAAAGCACGGATCTCCTTGATCGCCCTCGGGGCCCTCTTCTTGAAGCTGACACCATGAACCTGTCAATCCCCAACCGTATTAGCCATATGTTCGAATTCAGTCTTCCGCCCGATACCCGCACACCACCACGTCTTCCTACCCACCCAATGCCGCATCCTGGCCAATAGTGGCGTCAGGACTGCTGAGACACGGGCGTGAAGGAGTGGTGTTGTGTGAGCCATCTCTGGACTTCACAAAACCGAATCAACATACTCGTTTGTGTAGATGTATCGTGTATTCGCGCGCGACGACGTCGGCGATGGCGCTGCGTCCGGTCTTGCCGGCTGGCTTCTTGCCGCTGCTCTTAGCGTTTGGCATTTCTGTTCACCTTTTCGTCAGCGATCTCTCCCAGCACAGAACAGAAGCGAAGGAGGGAAGGATGGAGGGAACCCAACAGTGGAAGATATCTAAGAGTGACTGAAGGGAGAATCATCTTACCGAATGGATTCTTCGGGGGTGGATGGCTGGTCGAGGAATTTCCGAGGTGCGGCTTGCAGTTACAGAGTTCGACGATGCGGGTTTCTGTGTGGGTTTGCAATTCGGTTAAGTCTTGGCAGAATAATCCCACGCACAGACCCCCACAAAATGGATCATTAGTCAGCATGAGATACTTTGCCCTCAAATTTAGAAAATTTCATGTTTTTCTCATTAGGGTATTCTAGGAATGCTTTATGCTGAGGATAAGTACAACCTAATCACCCAAGTCCTCGTTTTTCCATCCAAGCCATGAATCATGCATCCAACGCTATGATATGCCCACTTTTGTGCCTGAACCGGTTGCACATATGAAGGTTATCGATGTCCAGGCAGTTCAATATCGTTGTCGTCGACGTCAGCATCTCCTTCATCATTATCCTCTTCATCATCCCCGCTCTCGTCGGTCGAGCTCCCCGACTCTTCGTCCTCATCATTCTCTTCCCCGCCAGACAAAAACCTATCCACTCTTGCGCCATCAGTACCCCAAAACTCGAGGCCTTGATCATCACGATCTTCTTCTGTAAGATCGAGCCTTGGGATGCTGTCAATTGAAGGGTTTAGGTAGTTGCCTAGGGGAGATAACGACCTCCTGAACCGCTCGAAGACATATTGTGGAAGTGAAGGCTGCCACACGGTTGACCCATCCGTCGCCTGGCCTTCGGGACGTTCTTCTCCAAGATCGATAATTGGCACTCTCTCTGTTGGGACTTCACCGGTTGGATTGAGGTAATTCCGGAATGGCTCGAAAGATCTACTAACCCGCTCTAGCAACTCGTAAGGATCCGGCATCTGGGGCATTTGAGGAAGAGGTGGTAACTGAGGCATACCCCGGAACTGAGGCATTTGAGGCATTTGAGGCATTTGCGGCATCTGTGGCATCTGCGGCATTCCTGGAAATTGAGGCATTTGGAAGGGAAAAGAAGGAAGTTGGTCTGGCAGCCACGTTTCTTCGGGTTGGTCAGGTTGAAAATAATATCGAGGTGAGCGGAGAGGTTGTGAGGATGGGGAGGTTGCGCTGGCTGGTGACTGTGCCCCTGAGTTTGCGTCCACTGACAGGAGCGCATTTGCGGCTTGCTCACTCTCCGGTCCGTTGAGAATTCGAAGCTCGTTGGTATTGTAGGAATCGCATTCGCCGCATTTGTTTCCAAGCCAATGATACTTGACGGAAGACTTCGCAGAGCAGTCATTGCACTGAATGACAGCCCTCGTGTTGGCAAACTGCTCTGGCATTGGTTGACTCTCGATTGCGTGGGTCAATTTGCGCCATTGCAGTTCCATGTTTACCGCGCTCTTTTTGCACATAGGGCACTTGTATGCTGTCTCCATGTACAGATTGTAGCATTCCTTGTGGAGGTAATGGCCACATGGCATGGAGGCTACGGCGCTGGAGGAGTTGAAGAGATACTCACCGCATATGGGACAATCGCAGTCGGTAGCCCGTTCGATGCATTTATGGGAGGTAGCAAAGGCGATGGAAATGCAGACATTGCATTTCTTAGGTCATGTTAGCTTGTCGTCAAAATTCTGCGAGATATCATCCTACCTTGCAGTGGACGTAATCTTTCCCAACGCCCTCGCCTCTTCTGCAGATTCCACAATCGATGCAATGGTATATCTTCTTGCTGCTGTTGTCATCCCACAGCTTGCAAATCTCGCAGTAGTACCACGCGGCTCGTGTTCCGCATTCAACGCAATTCTCGCCCGCCGTCTGAGGCGTTCCACACACCATGCAGAGCATATTCTGAGTCTTCCTCCGATTCAGGTTGTGGTCCTCTACCGCATCGTGGCAATGCCGACATGTGTACCATCTTCTGCACGCGTAGCACTGGACCTTTACATTGCGCTTGTAGTGCTGACATCCCAGCGACGAGCCGTCCTCGGCCGTATCAAAATCCTCGTCCTCCCCATTATGATCCATGGTGGAATGCGGCTTCCGGATTCGATAGGTTGGGTTGGTGTCGCCTGGTCGCAGGCTAAACGGATTCTCAGGGTCAACATCGGAAGCAATTGAGATGGGCGACGAGATATGCACCTCTGAGAATATCGACTGTGCAGACGTCGGAGTAAACGGGCGGTCGTTCGAAATGAAGCTGTTTGGTGACTGCGGACGGAGAAGATTGTAGCGCTCCGTCATCAGGTTATGCATTAAACGGGCCTTGTCCTCGTCTGGGACTTTCATATCCCTGATCTCGTGCATGCGGGCCCTGAGATGGCGCATCCCGTCGTCTGCAGGCAGCAGCTCCGCCATAGTTGCAGCATGTTGGGGTTGCAGTCCCGCCGCGGCGCCTGAGCCTGTGCTTTGTACGCTGGCAGCGACAGACGAGGGCGAGAGTGGCGGGTCCAGGTCGAGTGGACGGAAGTGAGTATCGAGAGCTTGCGAGGGGTTTTGCGACATGCCTAGCTCCGGGCGAATGTCGATGGGGTTGCTGGGTGCTGTTGGCTGTCTGTCCGATAAGCTTAATGATCTGTCATGCGGCCTTCCGTCATCGTCATCGCGGCCTTCCTCGCCATCGACAACCGCAGACTGCTGACGGCGAATGAGAGGCGAGAGCCGTCGAAAACGGTGAATTACTGCGGCCGCGTGCTGCCCGTCCGTCTGTGAATCCCCACCTCGCGCAGCAGTCGCATCGTGATCCAGGCCGTCGGCGGGCGCTGGTGCAGTTACAGACTCCGAATTGGCATGTGAAAGTGCCTCGATGTCACTCTGATAATGTTCGGGGGGCGGAACGGCGCCTGAAAAGCGACGCGCCTGGCGGACAACGGGGTCAATGATAAACGAGGATATCAAACTGCTCATGGGGAAATTTACTGCCAGGGAGAGGGACGAGGGAGGGAAGAAGTCTCGTGGCCAAACAAGAAAAGGTTTGTACCTCTTTCTTGTACCCCGGCAGTGACCGCATGCTCACGAGTCCAAAACGCCACAATTTAGCCTCGACGGCCATCTTGACCGAGACAATCAAAACAACACACAGCTTCACTGCGCATCCGAGTCATTTGCTAGCTTATTTTCGGCCCATGTGCGCTCGAACAGGCAGCTTGAACTCACCGCTATCCGAAAATCACCTGCAAGCAAGCATTACCGGATCAGGAAATCTGCCACTCGATACGGAGGCGGTAAAGCGGATGTCTCGTAGTAACTTTCTAGAAGACGAAAATTGCAATTCCACTGTGTATCCTCTCCCTTACCTAGGCCTCGTCCAATGTCCATATTATCCGAACCCTTAAAAATAACTATTCCACAAGGCCCTGCACTTTCTGAAGACCCAGCGCTATGACGGCTCAGGCTAGCTCACGCTGGGCTCGTATGATCAACCCAAAAATGTTAAGAGCACGATTGCATTCAATTCTATGGTAGCAGGCTTACATTTTGTTTCCACGATTCCCTTCATCTCTATTTGTCCTCATCTCAGACTCCTCCTCCCTCCGTCTCTCTGGTAACCCCTCAACCCCTTTCCCCCAAGCCCCAGCCCTCTTACCCCACCTCATAGTCCCCCAAATATGTGTCCAATTTATTTTCGGCGGTGCATCACTCACACTCCGAAAGGGACTCGCTCCACACTGGAAGATATCTCTTTGAGGATCTACTTGGGATTCAGATGGGTCGAGGATGTGGGCATCTGAGACCGTGGACGCGGCTCCTTGGTCAGATTTCGGCACGACTGGCACTTTTGAGGAAGCAGTTGTGGGAATTGGAGCAGACGGTGGAGAGCGCTCCCAATGCCTAGACTCTAGTGGCAAAGGTCTCCACCATGCTTTAACACCTCTGTCTCTGTCTCCCGCTCCCTCCACTGTTGTTTGACCCCTGTCCCACCACCGCGCACTACACATCTCCCAAATCCGACTCTGTGCTCTCTTAACTGCAAAATGCTCATCCCCCCCCGTCAAGCCTATGATGTTTGCGAAATCAGGCGCCTTAACATTTTCCGGACCTGGTCTTCTTTCATCTGTGAAGCTTGATCCTGGGCGACGAAGGCGGTTGGGTGGGTCGCCTTCCAGAGCATCGTCAGACAGACTCAGGGAATAGGAGGAAACGTTAGGTCGGAAGGGAGATGTGAGGTCTTGGTGGATCTCGGAGTATGTCTCTGGGTGTGTCACGTCGTTCGTTAGAAGATCTTCAGCAACCTTGGGCCCCACTGAAATTTGAGGAGTTGGGGATTGTATCTCTGGGAAGAATAGTTGGTCTGGCGGCGCGGATGCTGTCATTAGCAATCTACACTTGGCCTCGTAAAGGGCGTCGAGAAGCGTGATGAATCGTCTTGCCTCATTCTTTTTCAGGAACGTCAGAATCGGGACGTCAGTCAGAATTATGGTATGGTATGTGGAAGCGAGGGTAATATAGTCTGCAGGGCCGAGGACGGCACCGCATAGTTCAGCGAAGGTGAAGAGTGCGACATAGTTGTGTTGACGTGGGATGGTGATTTTGCGTCCATAGACTGTTATCGTGGAGGGTGTCCATTCAATAGAGAGGATATCGGATAACCGCGATTTTGCTTGGTACAGTGCTGGATTGGGAGTTGAGGAGAGGTTTGAAAGAGTAGATGGGTCCGCCACAGATGCTGGCAAGACAAGATAGTGCATTGGAAGGACGGAAGATGACGTTGGTTCGGTCTCTACGTCAAGTCCTGGTGACCAGGTTGTATGTAAACTTGGTTTGGACAATTCCTCCTGTAAACTAGATGGGGTAGCGAGATCCCGTGATATATCTTCCTCTTCGGACATCCTTCGATAATCGCTCTTCCCTTCCATCTCCCAGATCTCACATCGCGCTCTTAACACCTCCAAGAACTGAGCAAATTCTCCTCTCTGTCCCGGTCGATCGTCCGGCATAACTACACCTCCCAGTCCAAGACTCCAGCCCAATCTACTTAGTCTTTGAGCAGGCCGCGCAAACTCCATTCCTGCTGCCTTTGCAAGCTCTTCAGGCATTCGGTTACTCGTGGCGATGAGGACACCACCGAGCTGGAAGAAGCTCGTCATAAGATTGGAAAGTATCTTTGACGATGTACGATCGGGCAGTTGAAACTCGTCGAGGAAAAGTATCGGAGATGTTTGAACGAGGTCTCGTGCAAGCCATAGCAGGGAGTGTTCGTCTTGTGCACTGCCGGGACTGGTGGTAGAGCGAGATATCCGCAGTGACTCCAGGCGTGAGAAAGTGTTAAGCATGAACGTACTAAAATGCCACCGTCTCTTCTTTCGGCTTGGAAGACAGTCTGCGAACAAATCTATCAACATTGACTTTCCCGTTCCCACGTCGCCGTGCAGCATCAACCCCTTAGGGCTGGAGAGATTCAGGGCCGCTTCGTGGCTAGTGAGAATACGGGTCAACGCGAGAGAGTCTCTCTGTTCCTTTTTCATAAGAAGAGATTTCCAGATTCCCCCTCTGCCAATGCCATTTGGAGTAGATGGAGCAGTTAATGAAGAGACATTTTGACTTGGGTTGACAGTACGGCTTAACTGCTGGAGGCGATGGGAGTATTCTTGACTTGGCTCATAATCTATCAAGTTTTCGTAGAGGTTTTGCAGGTGGAGTGCTAGATATCATGTCAGCATTGGTCGCTTGCTTGGCTTCGATCTATCATGAAATGATCGACGTCACCTAAACGATGCTGTGCGGGATCTGGTTTGATCCTGTTTGTGGCTATAAGGCTGCGGTAGAGGATGAGTGGGTTTGTGATCGTGACGCCGGCTGTATTGGGAGGCATATGGAATCTGGCGATGGACGAGTAGTTGCCGGTATTGACAAGAGGTTCGAAGGTCGAAGGATGATTGATGAAAGAGATCTGCGCTAATCCCAATCAGTCTTAGACGCAAACAGGTCTGCAATCTCAAGATGATAAACTCCTGCATATGGGAGGGGTTGTACGAGGGGGACAACCAAAAAGAAGAAAGGGATAGGACGTGTAGTGATGGAGAATTCCTTATAGGTATCTTAACGCTTGAGGATGTCTGGAAACATAATTGTCGTGGTGAGTGCGACTATTTTTAAATATTCCCAGCTCCAGGCGCCCATGCCTCTCCTATCCTCTTTACTTCCTGAATGAATTTCCGGCTTGTAATTTGTGTCGAACCAACTCTTTGCTCGGCATCTGCCGTCAGCGGTGAGTGCTCATCGGGATTGTAAAACGGATTTCTCAATAGCATGATATACGCTGTCTGCAACGCCCTAAAAGCCTATTCCTCATAAGCCTTGAATAAAGGACTGAAGGTCAGGGGTACTTACTGGCTTCATATCTGAATCTCGAATTCCCACAGCAGTCGTACTTTTACTGTCCAGGGCAGTTGCTGGTCTCCCCTCCATGTCCACCACAATAACAAGTTTGACACCGGTGTTGGTCAACCAGCCATACATAGCTAATCGCTCATCGACAGCCTGAAGTAGGCCGAAATCTTGGTCTACCGTCTTGTGAGGCAGACGCGCCTCGAATATGTCAAGACATGAAGAGAGAAGAAATTGGAATTCAAGCGGCGCTCGCTCTTCTGGAGGAAACAACGAGATATGAAGGGGATTATTCTGGGCGAGGATGAGCTTTACTCAACGCGACACTTGGATTCCAAAGGAAGTCTACTCACGTGCTTTCCTATGACCCCTATGCAAGCGATGGATGGCGCTCTGTTCGTCATTTCCCAAAGTCGATCAGTACGATCTGAATTTCGAGCTCTGCTAATTGTCGCTGTAGACGGCAGGTTTGAAGCGCGCCAGGATCTATTTGCTCTGTTTTTTTATGATGGATTAGCCGATGCTTGCTGACAATGGTGATGGTGAAGGCCGACGGTTTTGGTGAAGGTGCTTTCTGACCAACCAGAGGCGGCTTAAATAAGCAGAGCTCGGCAAGTATCCTCGACATCACCAGTCGCAACCACCAGCCTCCACCATTGCCACGGCGACCCACTCCCTTTCTTCTCCGTTCACTGCAGCTCTCCTTTGCCGTTGTCGCAAGCATGTTGTCGACAACAAGGTCTGCGGCCTCAATGGCGCTACGAGGTCCGTTTCCGTCCTCATACGATTGCCTTTGTCCCGGAGCTAATACTTTGGACAGCCAAACCCTCAACGACCCTGGTCGCATATCGCGCGGGCACCGCTGCCTTCATATCGTCTACCTCGCCTAACTCCGCTACGCCATCGCAGAAATCTGGTCTCACTACCGGTGGACCAGGCACTCCGCTCCCAATGAGCAAGATGCAGACCGATATACCATTGCCGAGTCAGCAGCCAAAGAAGGGAGCCATGCAATACGCTTTGTATGTCGCAATTCTCACTATTCGGACTGGATGTGTTTCAATGGCTGTGGGATATGAGGTGGAGGACGTAATCGCTGATACACAGTTTCCAGGACCACACTCGACCAAATCGCCAACTGGGCCCGCCAAAGCTCACTCTGGCCGATGACTTTTGGTCTCGCCTGCTGCGCCGTCGAAATGATGCACCTTTCTGCACCTCGCTACGACCAAGATCGACTCGGAATAATCTTCCGTGCTTCCCCTCGACAGTCAGACGTCATGATTGTGGCGGGAACTCTCACCAACAAGATGGCCCCGGCGCTACGACAAGTTTACGACCAGATGCCTGATCCTCGGTGGGTTATTTCAATGGGCAGCTGCGCGAACGGCGGTGGTTACTACCACTACAGTTACTCGGTCACAAGAGGGTGCGACAGGATCGTGCCGGTGGATATTTACGTTCCGGGATGCCCTCCTACGTCAGAAGCGCTGATGTATGGCATCTTCCAGCTACAGAAGAAGATGAGACATACGAAGATCACAAGGATGTGGTATAGGAAGTAGATGAATCCGGTGGTTTAGTCAACAGTGTTTACTAACCCGATGAGTTATTGGAAAGCTCACACCTGTACAAATTGATCTTTACATAGTTCATTCTAAAGTTCTCGGTCTCGTTTGACAAGGCCCAATCATTATCGGCCGAAATTTGCATCGCGATCAGACATCGTTCGCAGCAAGCACCTTCGAGGGAACAGAAAATGCATCAGAATGCTGCGGAAGAATTTTATTCCCTCTAGCGACTACCTCATTTGGTTCCTCGAGGCTTGCGTTCTTGACTATTGGGGTTTGACGGACCACAGCCTCTCCTTCCTGATCAGCTGCTTGTCTTGGACACCCTTCACAACAGTGTTTGATTGTTTCTCCATCGTGTCGACTCCAAATCCTTCGTCACTTACCCGCTGGTTATAGGGAAACTAAACACCAACAGCTTTAACTTTCTCATGGAGCCAATACTATACCCCCATAGAGAACGCCGAAACGCAAAAGAGTTCTGGATCAAACTTCTCGTCCATTTCACAGAGAAAGCTGCATTTTGTCATCTCTTGAACATCGGCGGAGATTCTCTCACCACCTCTAGAGACATCTTTTCTGCGCCACTAGCCCCTTCGTTATTATTGTTTAGTATGCTCTCGCCCTCTTCGTAATCGTGATGTTTTCCCTCTACCTTGTATTCACGAGAAGATTTAATGGTTTGAGGATGTTTTAAGTGCCTTCGGGTGGCTATTTAAGACCGTAGCTAAAGCACAAGAGCCTGTGTTTTTAGCACTTCCAATGGCCGCTAAACCTATGAGACTGTCTCCTAGATAGACAGCCAAAAGGCTCGGCACGACCCTAGTTGCCCCTGTATTGCATCCTCAATCCATCAGGACCGCATATTTTTATTCACATCGGATGATTTGCGATGCGGGTCACGCTTGTAGACCAACAAGTCTTCGAATTAGTGTACTCTGGAATCCTTACACCTATTTTACTAATTGAAATCCTTTTTGGGTTCCCAATTTCAGCCACTTGCCCCCGAAGCCCCCTGTTCTGCAAGATCACGACTAGAAACAATGGTAATCCCTTTCCACGGTGCTTCTTCGGTCCCTCTCACAGTTCCACAAAATCCGGGCATCCTGATTTCCGCCGATTTCAAATGGAGCTATCCAGTTTTCCTTGTTGTCATGCTATTCATATATCAGAAAGGATTTATCTAATTTTCGGAGACTTCTGGACGAAGTTGTCCTATCGTGATACAGAGATAGCTTTCGTGTCCTATAACCCTCTGTTCTTGTTGTTCAATATCCTATCCTGTGGAATAGCAACTCCGCTCGATTTCCTTATCAGAGAGGGATAAGATTTATTGAGTGTAGCAGTTTGCCATAGTGGTCGCGATGCATATGTTGCCCTGTTGTGGTTGGACTATTACTTGGATCTCCCTGATTTCTCGCCAGTCTCCTTTTCGGACCATGAATTCTTCCTTTCATCGTCATACTGTACATTGAAGATCAAATTTCATTACTAAACTGATGGCCCAACAATACAGCCTACCTAATGTTGTGGGTTGATCTTATTTTGCAATGGATCTAGTGGCTTGCATAAAAGTTTGTGTGGTTGGAATAATGTGAGGTAGGGACATACTCTGGAATTACCAATATATTGCCAGAAGAGAACAATACGGGTTTGAAAGGCCTCTGTCATGATACTACTAAAACAAATCATGATAAATGCTCATACAAGTTTGGCCCAGGATCCACATTCCCAAAATGGAAAAGCGACGAAGCATCTTCACACTTACTGCCCAATTATTCGATGGTCTTTCTTTCATCCTCCACCGACACTGCTTAGACTTTCACCTACCATCATGAGAATCCAAAAAGGCGGTCTCATAGGCCCCGACATCACGGCCCTCCTTCAAGACCACGTTAATGATATGCGGTCAGCAACCCCGGCGGAGAGCTGTCACGTATTGGATATCAACAATCTCAAAATCCCCTCGGTTACGTTCTCTTCCGCCCGCACGGAAGAGGAAAAGCTGAAAGAATGTTGCGCATTGAAAGAGCTAGGTACTCGCCATGAATATTACCAATCGCCATTGAACATCTACTTACGGCCCATGTGAGCAGCACCTCATCATGAGGAAATTATATCCATGCGTACGGCTTCAGCATATTTGAGAAAGAGGGTTGCTCGAGATATGAGTCGATTTTTAATTGTGGAAACGAGGAAGAGAGGGTATAAGAGATTGAGTCTTGAGACTAGCTCAGGTGAGAATTGGAAGGGGGCAAGGAATATGTATGCGTCAGTGGGGTTTACGAGGTGTGCGCCGTTTGCGCCAATAGGGAGGATAACACGAGTTGTTTTATGAGTACGGGGTTATGACCCCATATTTCCTCCACAGCAAATTGGCAATTCTGATGGAACATAGTAAAGTTCAACCCACAACGTAATAGCCTCACATCTCTCTAGCTATAGTATGAAGATGAGCGCCAATACGCGATGAGAATATGGTTGAGCATAGACTTTACTGCAGCAGACTTTCTGGAGCCGTGGATAAATTAGGTCCACATCCTTCATTCTCGTTCCCGCAAACTTCGAGAGCACGATTTCTTCTTCCAAAGGCACTATTTCTTAGACAAACTGTCTTAATCCCTAGCCCCTTCAGCAAGCATCACTGCTAAATCAATCGCTTCCTTAATATCTGCCGTCCCAGCACTACACAAGGTATCCAGTTCGGCATCCAATTCTCGCTCTGCAAAGCGGTCTCGCCGCCTGCCCAAAGCCATATTTGCGTAAATCATTTAGCAGACTAGTACGGCACAGGTTCCAACCACTCCCAAATCTTTACCGTCTTTATTGGGATTAAAAGCAAACCAGTGCAGGAATCCGTGTGTGCTTTTCACTTTGTTGAATATATATCTTCAAGAAAGAGACAGATTCTCGACCTCCTACCGCACCTAATCGAACGGCGAAATCGTCCACAACGGCACGACTTCCAGCTCGATATCCACATGGTCCGCTACGATATCGAATAAGGAATTATCCCATCCATCACTTTGCTTTGGCAGTGTACCTATCTTGGTTAGTCTCCAAAGATGCTTAATCCTAGATTGCGGCAACTTACCGTTCCATCGATAAACATCAAACTCATTCTCGGTTCCAGACCTCTGCCACGCGATCCACTGCTCTGCATTATCCCAACCAAACATCCTCAAAACTGCCCTCTCATTCGCTTCATCCCACACAAACCGCCAACTCGTCCACGACACAACCGTGGTTCCCGCAGGCCAATAATGGGTCACTCCAGGTCCAATATCGATCGTAAACTGCAGCAAAGGGGTTCCTGACGCCTTTGGCGGCTTCTTATCGTAGTATAAAACGAGCTCTGTGCTGTTACGGTCGGAATGGATTGCTAATTCATAGAGCTGGGTATGGTTTTCCCAGGACCAAGTGGTAGCCCAGGGGTTACCGGAAGGGTAGATGTGGTAGGCCTCGTGTAACTTCCTATTCGTGTCTATGTAGACGTTTGTGGTCAGGCCGGTAGATCCGGTTCGTGGGACTATCGTGCGACCATTGATTCTGTCATCGTTACTGGGGACGTGAGTTGGTTGAACGAAGAGTGAGAAAGTTTAGGGACACGCACGAGACTACGCGGAGAGCGTAAGGAGGCTTCCAGTAGGACGTGTCTGCCGGTGCGGCAGTTGCATTCGACAAGCTAATCCATGTGACCAGAAGGGAGCAAAGTGTAAATATGTTCCATAATGAGTGGAGAGCAGAGAGCATCTTTGAATTGGGTCTGAAGTAGGTGGTGCGGACGGAATTGAGAATGCGAACATTGAAACGTTTATATTTGCGAGCTACCCACCTCTTCAGATCTACGCAACGCTACCAGGGACTGAATATATGACATGCCTACCCGATGTGGTATTCAATCTACATATATTGCATGCTGCCCCGGAACGGCTCCCGGAAGCGAGAACGCGAGATCAAAACCTACATCGTATTCAGGGAAGACCATACAGAGGAAGTTCACTCTGTCATCACTTCAGGCTTCTCAGAGTGATTGAGTAGAGAGTGCCGCGTTACGCAACTTCGCAATTACATTAACCGTCGGAGAAAATTGAGTGGTTTCCATGATGTTAGCCTATTAGGCGCGAAAGGCGAGATAATTAATGGATGAGATGGGGAAATGTGATCATGTTCACACCAAGCGATCTGGATGGGAGCACCCAAGCATGTAGGTCCACGAAGTCTGGGCAGGCAAAGCTTATGACAGGAAGCAGAATTGACAGTAGTTTGGTTGATGACAAAGTAATAAGAGTGTATGGTTCAAAGGAAAAAGACCTGGACGAAATGATGAATTGCAGAGGAGGGGTGTCCTAAACGTATCTGGTGGGGTTGAGACGAACACCAACACCCCCTTAGATTAGCACAAGAAGTTCCTTCTTTAACCCTATATTTGCGTTAACCTCTCCTAATTTTGATCCACAAGGAAGCCGTGAGTCTTGCGAACGAAGACCTGTTTGCTAATGTCACCTAGAGATGTTAATGTACAAATATATCTTTTTCGCCTCCTGAGGAGACCGCTCCCTGCCTAAACACCGGTGCATCCCCAAGGATCCAAAACTAAAATCAAAAGAAAATACCAAAATATAGACATGCCTAGCTCTAACAAGGCCAAAAGCTGAACGAGGAAACTTGGGGATCTAGAAAGCCGTGGATGTGGACGCAGATATGGGGTTTAACGTCAAAACATAAAAATAGAGAGAGATTTTTGGGTTTGTGACCATTGAACTTAGGTATATTCGCTTTGCCTAAACTAATTCTAATATGAGAATTTCCAACATGAGAATTTCCAACATATCCAGGGTACCTTGAAACAATCCGCGGGGTCTTGAAATCATGTTGCTTCGACGTTAATCTGGTGGTCTGCAGTGACATCTTCGAGCCGCAAGTTGCAGATGGACGAGTCGAAGTACAGCGGGAGAGTCACTCGTCGGGGTTGCAGCTTGATTGTGTCTACTCCCTCGAAACTGGCGTTGGTTTCTGTATCTAGTGCAGCTTCGAGGTCATCTTGACCTTTTTCTTGTTAATTACTCAGTGTAGCAACGCAATGGTCATTGCGCCTATACCTTGGTACCAAGCTCCTTGAGCATTCTGGAAAAGAACGCAGCAGAGTGAATCTCGATAATGAATTCCAGCAATTGTTGCAATGAGTGTCATGATTCCGAATATAATGGCTAAGGTTGCTTCCGTTGTCATTGTATATGTCGGTAGAATAGGCGAATGTCGAGGATGCGAAAACTGGCCACGGGAGCCGTGGTTATTATTGCGACAAAGAGAACAAGGCTGGTCAAGGACTCAGTTCAAATAACCCAATGTAAGAAACCTCCAGTGTGACGATGGCCGTTAGGCAAATAGATACTATTGGTTCATGCCTCTCAGTCTTTTTACCCCACCCAGCCGTTCAATGACTGGAAAACGGGTGTCGTACGAGTATTACTGGTGGAAAGGATGGGGTTCCTGGTGGTGATTGCGGCTGTGTAAACGTTTCTAGATGTGCCTGCGCTTGCCCGTCGGCACCAAGGCATCCTGGCAGGATAAGATTCGACCACGCTTGCAGGCTGGATGACTGATTTGTTTCTGCTCTGTAGCGTGGAGAGATTTTGGATTCAACAAAGCTGCTTCTCTGATCCTATTAGCCTCTCCGGCATCAGCCCAAGGTATTTCACGGGTCAACCTGTCGCCTCCTGCCGTGAATCTGATAATTGTTCACCCCAGCTACCGGTTCCACTGCAATATACTGCTTCTGCGAGCTAACAAACCCTTTCTGCTCCCCGCCGAATAGTGTTGAGTTTTGGATGAAAGTTGCGGGGCGCTAAAGCGAGATTGGAGCGCGCAGCTCAGCGGCACATTTAATCCACAGAATTCTTAGTGTTTTTGCAAAATTTACAAACCTGCTCTGTACAGCAGCATCTCTTTCTAATATAGAATATAGAGGTTTAGTATTATATGGAGAAGAGCTTATAGGGCTAGAGGTATTCTCTTTATTAAGAAATATATTTGCGTTGCTGAGATATGAAAGAAAATGTGTCGCGGGAAATGCAAATCTCACAGAGCGCCAAGAATTCCGCTGATTCTTTGCATACGCTAAATCGAAAACAGGGGGACTTGCGGCGGCCGGTTTAAGGGTATTCCGATTCAGCCTAGTCAAATATTGCAAGGATTCCTTCAACCCACAATCCTGATGCCTTTGGAAGTCTCCAACCCTTAGTACGTTCAATATTGAACAGCATCGAACAGCTTCTAAGTTTTTGACGACTATGCTGCTTAACTACGGGACTGAAATGGTAACTTAAAAGCTAGGAGAGTTATACTACTCGCTATCTGGGGAGGTCGCGAGTAGGATGCAAATTTCTAAAATCAGGCACGCTTCAGCATGACTGTTGGGACAGTGACCAATTTTTGGAGAATTCTTGTAATATGATATTGGCTCTAGACATAATTTCAGCAACATACTCAACAAGAAGAGGCAGATAGTGCAGCTAGTCTCTGTGAACATCCTTGAGTCTCGAGAAATACGCTTCTTTTTTACTAATCTAAATTCACCTCTTCCCTCACCCCCAGGACGACAGATTCCGAGATTAATATATCCATATTTCACTCTACCATCCATATCTAACACCAATCTTTATCCCTTAAGTCTCCTTCCGCCCCAGTCTCAGCACTCGGCATCGTCACTCTCTGCATAGAAAGACCCCAGGGCGGAAGCTCCACAAATTAACGTGGAAGAAATGCGATATAGTGGAACAGCAGCCGTCGACTTGACATCGGTGTTTCCTACAGCAGATTCAGCATCTGTTGGCTTATTCCTGTCTTTTGATGGCTCTACCAATTACGCACGTGCCAAGGAAGAATGAACTATGCAACTAACCTAGTCCCTGGAATGAATACCGAATGTAGAGACAAGTAAGGCGAGAATGGCGAGAATTAAGGTTGAAATTCTGAAGATTATTACTGGAGTCGTGTCTGGATAACCGCGGAGTTGGGCATGCCGATATCCTGTACATTTTAACGGTGATTGCTATCGAATAATTTTTCCCTTGGGATATTCATAGCTCTTAGCGCAAATGATACTTGAATGTTAATTGTATTTCAACGATGATATACGGGGACTCGCTTGAAAATGGACAAACTCGTTGAGTGAAAGAGGACCTTCAAGAAATGGGCGCAATTGAGACGAGCGAGTGACGAAATATGAATGGTGAGGTTAAGAGGGATGGGGGGTGCGATGTGCTTAATATGCGTTACTCAAGCTCACAGGGAAGCAGTGGCAGATCTTAAGAACTGAAGACTTGCGTGTGATAGCTATATGCCCATTACGGTGTTCAGTCTGAACTGCAGCGCTTGAGGCTGCTGAGGAACAGCCTTATGATATACTTCGAAGGACGAGGTATGCTGAATAGCAAGCATGTTGGGAGTCTGTCGGCGTATAAATTGAAAGAATAGCAACTAAGACGGAATAAAAATGATCATGTATACAGACGCTCAACAGAAAATTAGACGAATGAGAATGCCGCTACAGCCAACAGAGCCTTCCCTCCCAGAATCGGCAATGTCGTGAGATTGAGCACTGATGTTGCGTTCTTATATCTATGACTATTGACTGAGCCCTGTCTTCGGCTTTTTCTTGTAATTACCTCGATACTCGTATGGAGCCCGCAGTTCTTCTATATGTGTCGCAAAGACACTAAGACTGTGCTTAAGATTAGCAGAGAAAGTCTTACTAGGCCTCAGCCTTATGTAGCCTGACTAAGGTAGAGGACCACGCTTGAGATGAAGAAGAATAGCGGTTCTCAAATGTAGTAGGGATAGTTTCCTACACCCAAGAATACAGCGTCCTCTACTAATACACGGGAAGACTTCTATAACCTGGCCCCACGAGATACGACCACACGTCCGAGAAGGCGGAGAGAAGTGTGAGGTTCCGGAGAAAGGAGCAGATCAGAGCATTTCTCATCATGCACTCTGTGACCTCCAGGCAGGATCTAACGAGGCCTTGTCCCATAGATTAGTCGCTAAAGTGATCATGATTGACACCAAAATATCGAAAAACTCGATCGGATGGGACTGGTTAGGGTTCTGCAGGAATGCTCGTCACCCAATGTTGGTTATGGAGGATCACAATGTAAAGGTAGTAGGTGAGCCATAGGTGAATGGGATGTGATTGGACTGGTCGATCTTAAAAGCTACCAATACGTTTTTTTTTGTCCTGGGCGATCTCTTCAGAGGCCAAGCTCTATGTGACTTGCTCCAAGTATAGAGGCAACGTGACCTGCGGAGGCTGAAGTTCAACCGAGCCGTTCACTTACCAGAGTAGCTGTTAGAAAGTGAATCCCGGTAGCCTCTAGACCTTGCTAGCTAATTATATCTTAGCGGTTAAGAAATCCACACAATCTGCTTGGGTAACACGCACATTCGTACCATGTTTGATAAACGTTTCTGCAAATGAGGAAGCAGATTAAGTCCCCGTAGCGTATGCCAGCAAAAGAAGAGTCTATGTCCCAATGAACAGAGCTAACAGTGCTTCAGTGGGCATCTTAGATTAGATAGGATCAGGTATAGTACTAGTATGTATACTAAAGGCGGTAATGAGCAGCTTGAGGAAGAAAGCTAAACAATTATGAAAGGCACTTGAGGGAGACATACGGATGTGCTTAGTCTTGCAAAGCAGCCGAAATTGACTTGATATCTTCCACTAGATATGTGACACTGGTGTTCTTGTATGGTTGAACAATGAATTTGCACTCGATTGTGTCCCCATGAGCCCGGTGAGTAACTGACAGATGTGAGAAGGCTGCGGATATGCATCGCTACGAGACAGGGCACGGTTTGCTCTGAAAGTGGTTGAGACGACGTTAATATGATGGAAGTAGATAGATGGACCTAGACTAAGACCACCTTAAATGATGAGGCTGACGAATAGGAAAGGACTGGCCACCTGTTTCTGCTCCACAACTAGTAAAGTCATAGGCTGTATGGGATGCTATATAGTCCACGGTGGAACTCTAGTGGGACTCAAGCTCTCTCCGGACTTTTATCCGCAACGTCGTGAGCGGAATATTCCTCCCAGCATCACTAATCTTCTCCCGGGTTGCTCAAAGTGCATCCATGCAGGCTGTAGGCATGTCGGACTTCGGGAAAAGGATTGTCAGTGCCTCTCCGGGTCCTGTCACTGCTGCCCTGCCCTGGTGCTTCAGTCGAACGTGCGATGCCCTTCCCTATGCGTCAGCCTCGTCACTCAAGGTGGAGTTTTAGTTGAATGTACTATGGTATCCGGCCGAAGTATTGTACATTGTGAGTGTTGTGTAGGGTACCTAACATCATGCATATAACTACTCAGCAGGCAAGATAGTAAGACCGGAGTAACCTGTCCCGTATATCTTCTGTAACTGATTGGACCAGGCTGACGTGCGTGGGCTCCCTCAGAGCACTGAAAACTGACAAGGTATAGTACTTTGGCCGGATACCATAGTATGTGCAAGCATGTGTCACCCCCATGGTTGGATTGCACACCACCATCATCCTCCTAGTGGAAAAGCTCGGGGCGTTCTGGAGGACCGGAACCAGAACTCAGCATCTACCTGCAGATCATTTGGACACCATGATAGCCTTCATTGTGCAAATGCCACGCGCCCTCCAGCCCAACCCCGGCTCAAGGTCCTAGAATTTCATCGTGTATGCATCAAATCAAACGTGTCATTGCATTGCTGAAGGATTACAAGTCAACTTGCCTTGGGCCACACAGTCCAACGCCACCCTCACAATTACCAAATTCAGTTCACCGGGCGCTTGGCCACCACAGGCCAGCAAATACCATTCATATACCAGTAACAATTCCATACCTTATCCTCATAGGCGCTTACAAACAAGAACTGACTAAAAAAAGATACTCTATTATGAAAACCTATAGAAGCCTACCTAGCCTAGATGGAGAGTGCTTTTCTGGTACCATCCCTAGGGAACGAGAGGAAAAAACCATCGTACGAACCCCCAACCAAATCGCAGGATGCAGAATTAAGGGAATACCTGTCCACACGCCGAATCCGTCGCCATTTCCGCCAATGGTCCGCAGAGTGAGAATGCAATGAATTAAACCACAAGCACCATCGCAATGCAAAGAGCCGCTCGGTCATTGTCTTGAAGTTCATAAGCCATTAGGAAGGTTTATTAGGCATGCTGGGACCGGCACCTCCTCGAATCATTGGAGGGTTGGCAGCGTATCCAGGAGTCATGGTGTTGGCAGTTCTAGGGGCAGAGGGAAAGTTGTGTCCGGGAAGACTGAATTTTGGAGGCTGCGGTTGCGCTGGTGGGGGAGGTTTCGGAGGGAGGTGAGATGGCGTTCCCCATTTGGCGATGCTGCTCTGTGCAGGGGCTGAAGGATTACTAGGTTGGGAGGACATCGCAGGAGCAGTGGTCATGTGCGAAGAGGCGATTTGAGGAGCTTGGGAAGGAGCTATATTGCTGGGTTTAGCAGGGACCGGAATGCTATTCTGCACACTTCGAGGAGAGCCAAATGTCGGTTGATGTGCGAGCGGAGGGCTCGGCCCTGGCATCTGGTTAGGCATTTGGCTGGCAACCGGTAACTGGAAATTTCCAAACCCATTCATGCCTTGATGTGGCATTTGCGCCATGTTTGCCTGCATCTGAAAGGGCATATTGCGGCCACCTGGGATGAAGGCTTGGCTTTGTGGATTGAATTGTTGTCGGTTGAAGCTCCCTGGTAATGGATGCTGGTTGCGACCTGGTTTTCCTCCGTTATATGCAGAAGCAGGAAACTGCCCGTACGGATATGGCCCGGATTGAGGACCTTGGATAGGAGCGGACATCGGGCGGTTGCTAGGACCATTCTGAGCATACGGGGCCTGCGCCATATTATATGATGGCTGTGGATTCATCTGTCCCCATCCTTGGTTCATTGGCATGGGTTGCGGTTGGTAAGTGTCCTGATAAGAGGCCATAGGTGTGTTTGCCATCTTCGGGGTCACTTGGGAAGGCAAGGCTGCAGACTGGAAAGATTGCATTCCTCGCTGGAAATCGGCCGAGAGATCATAGCCATTCTGCCCAGCACCATAATTGGGGTACAGGGGACCATTTGGTGGCTGATATGGCTGGCTTGGCCAGCCGTACTGGGTCTGGGTATCTTGCGGCATCATGACAGGATATCCGTTGCCGTAGGCTGGCGGTGGCGAGACGCTTGGGTTCATGCCCGTGAACTGCGGATTAGGAACTTGTCCAGGGTAGCCACTGTAATACATCGTGTTGTCGCTACCATAGTTTGGAATCGGATATTGCTGTGGATAGATGGGGTTGAACCGTGATCGAGCCTCGAAGCCGTCGTCGTCATAGTTGCGTTGTTTCTTCGCTTTATTCTTGCCAGAAGCAGAACTAGACCTTGACACATCTTTCTCTTCTCCTGAACCTACAGCGTCTGTTGTCTCGCTTTCTTCAGTCTCAGAATTACCGAAGATCCGCTGCCGGGCCTCTCGGTACCTAGCTTCACGCTCTTCACGAGTCAGATTAGACTTGTCCTTACTCTCAGCCTCATTTCCATCGTTACCGCCATCACTACCACTAACAGCACCCGCCTCAGAGGTAGTCTTTGAGGGTACTTCGGAATTAGCTGCGGTATTAGTACCAGATTTGCCGTCACCGCCGCGGCGCATGATTTTGCGGGCTGGAAGATCAACAGGCGGCGTGTTGGTATTCTTCGAGGAGACTGGCAGGCCTGAAAGTGGTGGAGGGCTAATAGGGAGTCAGCGTGATTGGGTTCAAATCGGAAGAAGTACTTGCATTCGGCAATAGGGAGTTCTGGTAATCTTGACTCCAGTCATAGTAGTATCAACCACATGACCAAGCAAGTAGTAGTCGGCGAGTCGATGCGCAAGCATCCTATAGAAGGTGTTGCAGTTCGGCAAAGACAATTCATGTTCACTGTGCTATATTAGCACCTCAATCGACGCGCTGCATATAGCTAGGGGGAACGTACCCGGAATCCTTGACAAAGTCGATAAAATCCTGCTCCAACTTCAGCACAAACAACCTGTCTCTTGGCGACTCCAGAGCCTCGATGAGTTTCTCATCTGGAATGGCCGGTATTTGAGGGGGTCCTGCCACATTTGGCATGCCATTGGCCAACGGCTGAGACATCGGCCTGCCGATACCATTGACGGGTTGATTGGGGTCATAGAGGGTGAGTGTGCTGTTGACATTAGCGTTGGGGAACCTTCCAGGTGGGGCCCCTCGCTGAGGAAGCGACCCCAGACCCGCAATTTCGTGGAGTTGGTCCGAGAAGGCGCGAGCGGCGCCACCATCAGACCCGACTCGAGAACCTGCAGCAACTGAATCCGGAGGAGAGATCACGTCTTCTTCCTCGACGGCTCTGAGGCTAGCACTGTCATCTGGTCGAATAGACTCTTTTTCGTCAAGGGCAAAAGTTGTTGCAGATGCAACACTTTTCCCGTCGAGGCTTGGAGGCTTACCCGAGCCGTCGGACGACGACAGTTGGGTGGTACTGTCTTCGGCAGCCATGGACTTGACCAGGGTAATCGATGGGTGCACCTTTTCGGATTCTCCATCTTTGGAGCCTGGTTCGAAAGCTACTTGCTGGCTAGAGGTATTGGCCCATTGGCCGGTTCTTGCCGCTGCGTCACCAGTTTTCTCCTTCGGCTCCCGCCCCTCATTTTTGTCGATGCGAACTTTCGGAGCATCACCATTACTTGGGGTGGGGCGACTTGGAGTCTGTAGATGAACAGGTGGCTGCGGGCTTGTGACTATAGGGTTCGCATTAGGAAGGTGTTCTTTTGGTTGTTGAGGCTTGTAAGCAGACGCCGCGACCTGTCAGTCCGTCAGACATGTTCAATACAAGTCGCAGTTTGCTTACCTTGGCAAATGAAGGTTTCACCTGCGCAGGCTCAACGGGCACCGAAGTTGTGGACGCCATTGCAATGATAGGGCGCCCAAGTAATGCTAGAGTAAGAAGTAGAAATGCGATGATAATCGCTTAAAGTGGACGCCAAAGACCGACTCAGGATGTGGCTGCGGCAAATGGGGGAAATTCTGGGGTTTGGCTTGATGGATTTTGAGATTGACTTAACCGGCAGAAGACTACCTTTCAGGTTAAAGGCTTCACCAAGCTCGACGCCGGAAACCGCAAGGCCGTAAATCGGGAGGGTCGTAGACCGCCAAAGGAAGGAATTATTTCAAAGTGATGGGGATATCAGGAAACGGGCTGCTCAAGGAAAGTCGAAGTAACCAAGGCCGGAGAGCTGGACATGGTGGTGTTCCGACATTCGAGCTCAGCGTTGGAGATGTGGGGTGGGAGCAGTTTGGGTGAAGAGCAAGGACGGCGCTAGGCAATGGGGAGGTGCTGCGCCTGATTCGGGTAGAGCAGCCTCGGGCGCCAACAGTGGGGTAGGTAGACAGTCAGCGGGGGCCAACCGGTGAATTGAAGAGATAGTGGTGATAGCGACTCGTCGCAGCGGTGGGCGAGGCTAGAGGGGGGGGAGGGTGGACGACAGTGTCACGGTCGTGATGAGAGTGTCCAAGGTGGGAGTACTTTCGTAAGTGGGTCCGTGCGCATAAACTATTTCTCCGATCCGGCTTGGCGCAGACGAGATTCGTAAATTTTTTGGGCAGTAATTTGTCACGTGGCGAGTCATTCACTGCAGCGGACAATTGCATTCCTCACAGCCTGTGTTCGTGAAAAGGGTTCCCAGAGCCCTCTTGCGACCACGTGAAGTGGCCTTCATCGGGAAGCTCTTGGCATTGACTCTGCGGCTGCTCCACGCATTCAGCGTCGTCATTTCCAGGCTTCACCCAACAACGTTCATGTTACCTTGTCACGGTCGTCCACTGCATTCGCCGAAAGTCCAGTGCTCATTCTTATGATATATCTGCTCCTAAACCCTCTCTGAACTCTTCCTTCTACAATACATAACATGTATCGTGGTCCTTCCTCCGGCGGCCGGTCCAAGGCTACGCCCACTACTCAGTGCCAGAAGTGCCTGCGACGAGATATGACACCCTTTGCTCTTCTCTTAGAACACACCGCTGACTTCCATCCACGACACTATAGCTATGAATGCAAGGCATCCACGCAAGAGAGACCATACAAGTCCCGGCCATCCCGCACACAGCAACTTCTCAACCCCCAGCTCAAGCCAAAGCTGATGACAGATGTACCGAGTGATCTTCTACGAAAGTGGGTATTGTGCTCTTTTGAGAGCATCCGAAGCTGACTTCTCCGTAGGAAAGGTGTCGCGGACGAACTCCTGGCAAAGAAAGAGGAAGAGCGCGGAAGGAAGCTAAACCGTGACGGTGACGAGCTACGCCAACCATCACGCAAACGCTCACGATCAGTATCCTCCGATTCTGTCTCTACTATATCCACCAATCTTTCCCAGTCCCGATCACGGTCCCTAATTCGTTCCGAGCACAACAAGCAGTCTTCTTTGCGCGGAGGGCATTCGCTCGGTAAACGGCCCAGGAAATCACCATCGTCGGACTCATACCATTCTGGAAGTTCGTACGACATGAGACGTGCAGCAGAGCGGAACTCCCGACGACGATTGAGCGCTTTCAGTCCTGTACAGAGAGGTCGCCGGCGGAACAGGTCTGCTTCCAGCAGCATGGACACATCCGAGGAGTATGACTCGCGGTGGAAGGGTGGCAGACGCCCACGCTCACCAAGCCAGAGTGATGGGAGAGCACTGGGAAGCCGCTTATCCATGGCGGAATCACGATCGAGGAGTCCGAGGCGTGGAAGAACACCTCTCAAAGGCAGATCTCAGGATGGTTGCATGGATATTCCTGATGAACGCGGACCTCGACGTAATTGCGGCACAAAGGTCGTACGGAGAACACTCAGCAGGGAAAACAGGCGAGGGCGTAGTCCAGTACAACGACCCAGATCACGCAGTATCGATAGAGATCGGCATATGATACGTCCAACTGGACGCCCAGCAGCGTCTGAATCACGATCAAGAAGCCCACCCCGATTTAGAAATGGGAGAGAATCGAGATCAAGGTCGCCGTTCCGCCCTGCTCGAAGCCCAACCCACTATTCACGCAATACATACCGAGCCCGAAATGGTGGGGATGGTAACCGTGGCGGACCACGAGGTGGAAGGGGACGACAATTTCAAGACCGGCGAGAGGATCCGAGGGCGGTGGACAACGCACCTCCAGCTCCGCCGCCACAGAAAGAGCGAAGCTTGAGCCCGTACAGCAAACGTTTGGCACTGACTCAAGCTATGATGGCAGGGGGGAGATGAAGTCGCCTTTCGCACCTCTAATTTCCTTCCTACGATGGAGTGGAATCTATATCGATCCAAGGCGACTTAATATCAGAAGGACTCGATTAAATTAGAGGGTCAACATAGTGTGGAATTTCTCAGTTCGGGGCTTCAATGATGCTATTCTACGTTGTCGGATTAGATCGATACCCTAAGAGTACGATGTGCCAATTTGGGTATCTTCAAGCATCTCTTGCGCCCGTCCTTGCCTGACCGTGACAGATGTGTGCCTCCTCCATCCTCGCTGCTAGTTCCTTCGCCTTGACGCTTGGGTGCACAATAGACCACTCGTCTAGAGAATTCGAGCGTGGTCTTGCCAATGCATATCCGAGGTTGATCGAATGTAGTTGAACTCGGCCACCCATGTTCCCTTCAACTCACATCCCCCTCCTCATCCTCCTGATCCCTCTTCCTGTCGGCCTCCTCCTCTCTCTCCTTCAAATGCATCGCCCCCACCAGCTCACTCCCCTCCATACCCACCTCCTCGCCCTCGGCATCACCACCCGCACGCTTCTCTGCATCCTTCACCAGCCGCGCCATCTTCTGCCCCTCCACTCTCTCTCTCACAATCCTCGCAATCGCGTTCTCCGTCCACACATCTACCGTCTTCAACTTGGCCTCCAAATCGCGCTTCAAATCCCAATTGGGCTTCTTTGGCTGCAACTTAAACAAATCCAACGGCTTCTCCTCTTTGCGTTCCTCTGCCTCCGCTTTCTTCGCCTCTAGCGCGAGTTGCTGAGCTTTGTATTCGAGCGTGTTGGTCTTATCGCCTACTGGCGCGGTCTCGAAGCCTAGCTTCACATTGCGGGTTTCGGGGTCGTAGTTTCGCCCGGAGAGGTATTTAGCGGCAGGGTCGGAGGAGGTTTGGACTAGGGCTGGGGAGAGCTGGGCGGAGGAGGAGGAGGGGGGGGCGGTAGTGGTGGTGGGTGGGGGGGATGAGTGGGTGTCATCGGTGGGTGCTTGTTTGCGCTTGAGGGATTTGAGTTGAGCGAGGCGCGCTTTGCGGTCTTGGGATGCGGCGACGAGAGCGTCGGGGGTGGACATTGTGATTCGTGGTAGAGTTTGATGGATGGATGATGGTGAGGGAGAGGGATTGTCTATCGAGAAGTGAGAGCTATTATATAGGCTCTACGCCCAGCGTCCTTTAGGTTAGAGCTTCACGCCTGAGGAAAGGTTGCTCAGTTGCAGTGCTTTGCGACAGCTTGGTGGTGAAGATCAAGGTCCAGTGGCGGTGCAGATCCAGCCACAGAAAATTGTTTCCAACTGAACCATTCATCGTATCCCCGTCCGCATCATGGCTCCATGAATACTGGAATCCCGTCTGCTCATGCCCCGCCCTAGCATTCGAAATGCCAGGTGTCTCACCAGCCCCGATTATCCCGTCCTCCATTTTCTCGCGCCTCGAGTTTTCGCCTCGTATCCGTTTCACCAGACCAGCTCCCGATGGCACAATGCAAGTGCAAAGGAAGAGACGACAACGACGGAGAATAATAGGGGAAATGTGCACCAGCCAAGATGCAGAAGCTGGTCGAAGGGCCCGCTGCAAGATCAGAGAGCTTCACCTCCAGGCTTCCGGCTGAGGAGTAGCACTCAAACACAATGTTCGTTGTGTGCTTCCTCTCCCGTGTCCGCGCACCGTATTCGTCCTCCGACAATCACTTCGAATCGCTCGAAGACTCTCTCGTCGGATGCACACTGCTGCGACATATCTTCCTTCGTGAGCAGCCAATGTAGGAACTACTCGACTCAACCGAACCATAGAATCGAGAAGCAGGCGAGCAAACTCGAACTCCCCCGAACACCCAGGAAAATACGGAATTGGCCTCGGAAATCATTTCCTGAACGCGGTGCAAAAACTGCAGCCAAGGAAAGGCCAACGGAATTGGTTTCAAAGTTAAAAAATATGCCCAGTGTAGACGGTTCCCGAGCACGGCAATGGCCTAGAGCTGTATTGTCTAAGTCTTGTTTTCAGAATCTGGGCTGCGAAACATTTCTGGTGCGACAGCGACGCATAAGGGCTCTCGCAAAGAACCGCGCACGGTTGCGAAGGTTTTTGGCCTCATTTCCTCATCCGAATAATCTATTTCGTCAGGGCCGGTACAGGACTCTACAGCGTCGAATATTCAACCTCTGGTCTCCTACTCCCAAGCAGGTGAATATGAGGAAAGCAGATGGAACCTTTGATAAAGTTCGGATGCTGATTCAGGGCTTCGCTTCACTGGATCGTAAAGTGCACTCTGGATTTCGAAGGAAGACGCATACCGTGCAGATATTTCATGATCCCCAATGTGAAATTTGGGTATGTCAGCTCCTTGAGAGTGCAGATAAGCTGCATGGTGAAGACGTCGACCCAGACAAGCGTTGGATGAGGAGTTGGGTGGGGTTCCCTGAAGATGTTAGAGAGTCTTCTTGGGGTCTTATTCTCTTATACCTGCTAGACCACCAGCCCAATCACGCTCTACAATTTCTACGAGTGCTAGGACGCCAGCCTCCCCTTAATGCACAGTTTTTCCCAGAGATAATAACAGACTCGCTAGAGTATCTGGCGCGAATATATCTCCGAGAGGCCGAGTGCGGAGCTCCTCTTCCGGACATGTCCCAATTTGTGCCGACGTTCTATCACTTGCACAACCAACATCTTTGGAGATTTCCGGCTATCTGCTCCCAGGACCTTCTACTGAACATCGCTCGACTAGCCTCTCTTGAAGATCTCAAGAAGATTTATGACCATATTGGAACGAGAAACACGTCCTTCGGACACATCACTCTTCTCCATTGGGCCAAGACTTTCGCTGAAAAGGGTGACTCTGAATATGCTCTTCTTTGTCTCAAGAGGATTGCCTTGTGGTCTCGGAATGCCCAGGGAATTGTCGCGACAGACGTTTTCCGGTGGACTTGTGCCGTTGTTCTGCGTAAGAGCATGAGCAACCCCAGCAAATTCCATAAAACCTCGGAAATTGTTGCTCAATTTGTGGCCATGGGACTCAACATGGATATCCTGCTGTACAATGTGATCATAGCCAACGCTATGGAGGCCGGCGATTACTCCACGGCCTTCCGAGTATACAATCTTCTCGAAAGCCTCGGACTCCAGCCCGACAAATTCACGTATTCGACTTTGTTGTATGGATGCACGAAGACAGAGGATCCAGCCAAATTCCACGAGTTTGCGGAATACTGTGCGAACAAAGCGAAAGAGATTAAAGATCCGTGGCTGGCTACCGACTATCTCTACTATCTCTACACGCGTCACAACAAGGAGAGGATGGATCCGCAACAACTTTCCTCTATTCTGCTGCACACATATTCGCAATTCTTCTCCATCCGCCCTCTTAGCCCTTTCAGAATTTCCCACAGCCCTGGCACCCCGCACTTCCTTCCAGGAGTGTCAATGGACCCTCCCCCTGTCGCTATATTTGTCATGCTACAGATGGAAATCCAGAACGCAGTCAAAGTTAGTAACACTGCTGTATGGAAATTGTACCTCCATTTCGTAGAAATACTCACTCGGCGCCACCATCCAGTGCTCAATGAGTTAGCAAAAACAACACACATCTGGAACGCCTTCTTACTCGCCTTTTGCAGCAAAAACCAGTTCGCAAACGCTTCCACGCTCATCAAAAACCTGACGGACGGAGTACCGGGTGGCGCACCCAAACCAGACGTCATCGGATGGACCATCTTCATGCACGCCTTCTTCAAAGAAGGCCAAGTCCAAGCCGCAGAACGCGTCTTCGAAATCATGAAGTCCCGCGGCGTGGAGCCGGACACGATCGCCTACCAGACCCTCATCGCGGGATATGCCGTGGCGCAGCGGATCGAGAAGTTGGGTGATGTAGTGGAGGAAACGGATGAGCAGGCGCAGATTCACCCGAAGGTCTTAGACGCTTTGAATAGAGTGCATGACCGGAAGAGGTTGATGGTGGAATTAGAGAAGAGGAGGGTTGCGAAAGAGCAGAGAGAGAGAAAGAAGAAAGAGGCGGAGAAGGTGGAAAACGACAGGGTATGGAGGGAAGTTCCTGGAGTGAAGCCTTTGATGGTGCCGGGGGGGATACGCAGAATTGCACCATCGGGAATGCGGGGGTTGGGACCACGGGTAAGGCTGCGGCCAGTGTGAACAGAGGTATCAGGAAATGTGTCGGTGAATATAAGACACGCGATCGTGCGGCATGGCCAATCTCAGTGCGCCGGGGACGTTCCCCCTCAAAGCTGCATCTTTCTCACTTATACTTCTCATGTGTGTAACCTGTTCCCCTATCCCCCGCCTTTTTTACGTTCTGTACTATATGTAATTGTAGACACTGCTATTGGGCGTTGCTTCTACGCGCCGTGCACTCAGAGGGATGAGACGTATCAGCTTTTTTCTATTAGACGTAAAAAGATATGCAGTTGCCATGTAGCTTTAAGCCGAAACTTTCCATATTAAGCCTATCTACATTGAACGAGAACCTCGAATCAGATTCAAAATTTTCGTTCTTAGAGCAAGGTAGCAATCTCCAATCCTTCTCATCCCTTTCTCACCAAGAGTGAACTACATCGAACCTTTGTACAAGAAGAATCGCTCACTACATACAATCTAAGTGTTCCACCCCTCTGCCAGTCCCATCAACACACCAATCCCCATCCTCTCAACTACATCGAAAATTGCACCCCAGTATCCACATACCAAAACCCCTTCACCGCATCCGCTGGCGGCGTAAAACTCTTTATCGCCATCTCACTCACCACCACCTCCCCGGCCGCACTCGTCAATCTCACCGCAATCGGCAAATCATACGGCCCCGTGTTCTGCGGAATCGTCCACGCCCCATACCGCTCCTGCGGCCGTGAACTCGTATAATGCGGATCTCTGACCAAGCTGGTCCACGTCGCGCCATTCGTCGACCCTTTGACTTCAATGTTTGTTATACTGCCGATGCCCGCAGCGTTGACTGCGGTGAGCGAGAAGTAGTATGCTGATCCGCCTTCGCGTAGCCAGAGATAGATGTTACCTGGCTTAGGACATGGGATGCGTTTGTAGCGCGTGGGGATTACGCCGTCATTCATACTGCCGTTGCCCTGCAGTCTACCCATCGCGATGTCGGATAGATCGAGGTGGATAGAATCAGAGGGCAGCGGACATCCGTATTTGAAGTTTATCTCACCGCAGTGATCCGCGCCGGGTCCACAGCACCATTTCGAATTTGCGGAGCAGGGGCACGAATCTACGATTTCGAGAACGATAGGCTCAGTATATCCAGCTTCACCAACAGTGTAGAGGGAGCCGTCGGGCTTTGTGTGGACGAGTTGGAAGCATTCGCCGCAAGAGAGGTAGTTATCCCAATTACCGGGCAGGGAAGACCAGAATTGGGTGTAGTAGTCGCCGTTTGGGGCGGCAAAGTTTCCACGGAGGGTGGTATCGGACGGGTCGCGGCAGAGGGTCGGGTAGGCTTTGCAGAATGCGTCACAGGTGGAGCCGAGCATGGGATCGGTCCAAGAGGACGTTTTGCTGGATTTAGTGCAGAGCCCGTAGAGCCCATAACCGCAAGCGCCGCCAGAGGTTAGGCCGAAGTGGGTTGAGCGCTATACGGAGATTAAGTTTTGGGTTGATGCAGAGAATGGAGGGGGGTGGAGAGGAGAAGGAAAGGGAAGACGTACGCTGTAATGCCAGTTCTCGTTATTTCCTACAGAATGCACTTCAGGATACATAGTCCCACTCTTACACATCGCGGCGGGTGGAGTCACGCATTCACCTCCACTGCCACAGCTTTCGGATCGATTGTCGTTTTTGTTGTAGGATGGGCAGCATACGCCTTCAGTCATTTGCCATGACCCGCATCCATTGCCGCTTCCGGTCGGGGTTGGGTATGGGGATTGAGCGTGGGATGTCGTGCTCACTGCAATAGTGGTTGTGTATGCTGTTGGTCCAGTTGGGGTGTATTGTGGGTTGCTTCCTGCAGAGCCTACTGATGCCTGGAATGGTTTAGTAGTGAGATAGGACTGAAGAGAATGGGAAGGCAAACCGAGGGATCTGGCTGGCATTGAGAGTAGTAGTCGCTTTGTTTAACGCACTTGTTGCCTGCAGCGCAACAGGTTTCTCCTGTGAACTCTAAGCCGCCACACTGCATCTATAACTTATCAGCGATACTCTAGTGAGATCTGAGAATGATAGCGTACCCACACCTGCCCGCAAGCCCGCTTCTCGATCGCGTATTGAGATGTGAGCCAAAATAGGCTCCATAAATAAACCAAATAGAAGAGCATAGGAATGGTATTATAAGCTAAAAAGGTAATCTACTAGTTGGTTCCAAGACAAGCAAGAATTTCGGGCTCTGAAGAAGTCGAGAAGTGGCAGGTAAGATATACACAAAAAGGTACTTAAGAGAAATAAATCTACCAGCCTCAACTACCTCCAAGTCACACGCCGTTAACATCTGCCCTCTCATGACAATCCACTCTACCATCCACGACCCACTTCAAATAGCCCAACCCCTCAAATTACCCTTCCGCTCCCATTATACCGTTCAGCGGGCAACTACATCTGACTTTTGTACCTATATGCGGGCCATGGACCATAGTGCTCCGTTCAGGGCGCCACGATCTCCTGTTGAAGTGTTCTAGAATGTGGTACGAGATGCCGCATAGGGTACCTGAGAGATGAGACCCTCTACCGGGTCTGGTTCCTGCCCCAGATTGCTTAATATAAGGCTGGGATGCTGAGATGAGGTTTGCAGTCATGGGTTGTGGAACGTTGTTGATGGTGTGACAAGGATGCATCGGAAGTTCAGGGCTGGAGTTCCGTTCACGTGATGGCGCTACTAAATTCCAACAAGGTTCTGAAGCTCCTGGAGCTTGATTCTGGTGTTGGAAAATTAGATCAGCCGCTGAAGACGAATGGGTTCGCTAGATGTTGATGGAGGTACCTCTACGTCTCTTCTTTTTGATTCCGATATTCACTTGGCGGCTCCAAAGCGAAAAGTGAAGCAACTAGGTGGAATCTCGTGACTATGAAGGTAGGATGTAAGATGCGTTCAATTAGACATTCCACATGAAACTGCCTTTGAGATTTAACTAGGTAGGGTAATGGTGACTGTCACGTTGTGAATTGACCTCTCTTAGCGACAAGCCGCCAAGAGTGGTTAAGGCGTTAGATTGGGGAACTCTGATCGACAGTTTTGATCATTTACCTACCCGATTAGGAAATACAAACCCTTTGCGTTGACGGGGGTTCAAAGGACCCTGTAGTCAGCCTTATAAGCTTTAAAAGCTTTAACATACATCCTTTGACGCTTTGGAAACGTCATGAATTAGTGGTTGAAAATGACAGCCCCTCGGAAAGGAATCTTAGCTAATTTGACAGATTGGGGAACAGTAATCAACACTTTCGTTCACCTGCTCAATTAGGAAAGGTATGCTTTTGCCTCAAGGCAGTGATAACAGAACCCATAATAAGCTGCCGTGTAAATATGGTCTCCGAAGCTTCGTAAGACCAGAAGAGCTCTCCATATGCGCAAATTTCATTGTTAGGAGGCTGAAATAACCTTGCACGAAAATGGGTTCCTGATCTGCGACTCGTCTAGCGGTACCCGTTCTGGGTCACCGACAATGGCGCTACAATCGACGGTATTCGCTAACCTTCCCGATTTAGTATGTACCGCTCCTAATCAAGTCGGTGCGGTCCGTATGATATCGCGGGATTTCTCGCGTGGACCTCATATCCTGGACACATCTCTCTCACCGTGAATCTTCATCCTCCACAAGTCGTCAATCCTTCCTAGGGCCTCGGTCCCGACCCAATCTTTACATTGGCACCTCTGACATACCCATCTATAGCCATTGGCCTATTAAGTGACGACCGAATTTTGGAACAGACATTGTGTCACAACAATCACTCCAAGCTTCTCATGGGCTTCACAACTGGCTTTGTAGGTTTGGGCCTTATCTTCTTTCATCTAGTAATACAAACTGTAAGTACATGGGCTAACAAGTTCCATTCTAGCTCGGCGGCTTCACCCTGACCTCGGCAGTGCTCTACCTCACCATCTCCCTACACACACGGAACCGCGTCACACAAGCCGCTCTTCTCCAGCAGCAATCGAATGTCTTAACAAATATCGTCGATCCAAAGCCGGCGCCGCCAGAACCGGTAGCCAGGGAAGTGCCGGTTGGATTGGCCGAGATGGCGAAAGACAGGTGGAATCGAGAGATGGAAGGTGCAGTGAGGAAGATATACAATACCGATTGGAGAAGAGTGAGAGAGGATGCAGAAGATAAGGTTGGAGGTATCATTGAGAAGCTGAGGGAAGGCAAGTCTTAGTCGGACGACAGGATACTGGACTTGTAGTGTAGGGGAAATGAGGACGACGGATCCTTAGATGCGAAAGATACCCTTTCATGGAAACTTGAACATGATGAATTATAGAGAATGTCCTCTGCATGGCTAAGTTATTGTATCATGGCCACAACGGCTCTCAGCCCCCAATATTTTCATTTGTTGTAAAATATCTCTTGCCTTGAGATCTTTTGTACACTCTATGAGAACTCATCCCAGACCTTTATGTTTCACTGGTGTCATGCCTGCATGTTCACTTCATTACGTCATCAATACTCTATTCAGTTTATTCATTCTATTCACCATTGTATTTCTTGGCGCACAGGCGCATCACTTCAGCACCTTACCTAGGCAACACCTCACCATGCCAGATTCTCTCACCACAAACATACTCCCACGATAACCTGAATGCGTACACCATTTTTGCATTCAGCTTTACGGGTCTCCGCACACCATGGCATCCTTCGGGATCGTCGTCGACGTCCTTGACGATCGCTTTTTGCACCTGCAAGATGTAACCGGGAACGTCCGGCCCTTTCCGACACTAGTACCATACGAAGACTACTCTCAGAATGTGCTAGTTTACAAGATGGATATGAGCCACGAAATGATCATGGGCAGTATGCAGCAGTTTACCGTTTGCTGCGCCAAGCAGAGCGGAAAAGAGACATGGTCATGGGTTGTGCAATGGGAAGTTGAGAAGTCGTCACCAGCTATCACTCACGATTCTGCCCCAGCGCCCAAGAAACTTAGGATTGGAAGAACAGATCTAGATCTAGGGCTATCACCAAAGCTCCCGTTTACGACAGCATTCCCCCCCTCATCGCCCAAGATCAAACCTCGAGCCCCATTGCGAACGGGCATTGGACAGCGCCGCCTTGACCCCGGGCTCATGGAAGAGGAAGGGCTGTTGCGCATTCTCATCGACATCGTACAATGCGACGATAGGATAGTGCCGAACCTCATCGAGTTTCTCTACAACTGGATCGATTTCTATGAAGGCGATGGTCATGCACTGCAGTGTGCCATGCATCAAGAGATTCCAAGTCTTTGGGACTTTGAATGCCATCCCCTTGTACTTCCCGGCGTGAAGAAAGCACGAGAACAGAAGGCTCAAGACATGAAGAAGAGTGAAGCTAAGCCTGATGAAAAGCCCGACGTAACCGCCCTTGAAGAAGACATTGAACTGAGCGAGCGCATGCAGTATCATGAGAAGAGATTTGGTATCCAACCCCCGAAAATCGAAGTCCCTATCACCCCGCTCATCAACATTCCCAAGGACATGCGCAAGCGCAATTCGTATTATGCCGCTTGTTTCCAGTCGCGTCAGCGAGCAATTTACCTCCTCCTTGAAGCGGGCATTACTATGAAGCAGATAAATAACTACATAAAGCTGCAGAAGATGCCCCCAAAGGAGACACCGGAGGAAGGTGCTGGAGGTGGTCTCACACAATACTTCAAGAATCAGCCGTATGCGAGGGCGCAGTTCTTCTACGCTGAAAAAGTGAGAGATATGAGAAAGAAGTGGACAGAAACGGTTATCAGTACTAGGCTGGGTCGAGAGGCGCAATATGCGGCGAGGACGGCGGAAATCGAGGCCTCTGTGACCGCATTGCAGGGTTCTCCTGAGACTGAAAGGAATGCTTCAGGACATCTTTATGTTCCACCGCCCATTATACCGCCAACGCCATCGCAATCAAATGCTCCAGAGACGGCGCCCAATCCATGTCAATTGACTTCCCCTCTATCAAGTATCGAGACCGAACATCGTGTTGGACATACTGCACGGGTAGAGACCGTACCAGCGTTCCTGTCTGGACGGTTGAAATCGAATCGTTTCGCGTCTGCTCGTCCCGCGAAGAAAGTAAACAAAGATGAGTCTTCGGATGAAGATGGTAGTGACTCCGAATACTTCAACATTGATGGTGAACCTGTATCCGATGAGGATGATGTCAGGATGGATACGAATGATGCTCCCGGAAATTTAAATATGGGAGTCACTCTCCAGCCTAGTGCAACGGCTCCAACACGGAATGCTCAGCCTCGGAACATTGCGGCCTATCTTCAGTCTCTCAGTCCAGCTCAAATTCAAGATCTAATGCCAATGATCAATGCCGCTCGACAACCTGGATCGAACTTCATCATGCCACCTGCCTATGCCACACATGCGGCAACGCATGGCCAACCGTCTCATAGCAATGTCGGGTCCGCAAACGTCGTGTCTGCTCCAGCTATTGCAGCCGGCAGCCAGATAGGTAGCCAACCTAGTGGTAGTAACGGTAGTGCCGATGAAGATGCTAAAGATGTTAAAGGTGACAATTTAGAGGAGTTCGGGGATATGGAAGAAGACGCCGATGAAGACAGGGATGGAATACCAACTAGTGCAGCACTCCCAGAAGCATCGACACAATATCCTAGAGAAGGGAGTACGTCAATACCACAGGCCTCCTCTGGTCTTACCCAAGGCTTCCAGCCTCTTTCCTTTAGTGCTCAGTTTACGGCACCAGCACAGCCCCTTCCTAGCCTTTTAGCATCACCAAGAGCTCGGTCTAGTTCAACCCAGGACGGGGCTTCTAGACAGCTTGCGTGGGGCGCTCCAAGTATATTGTTTCGAGCTCCACAATCCCCGCTGGACCAGATTCTTCAGAATGTCCACCAGAACCCGGTGACAACACAAACTCCTGCTAGATTTAGATCACCACCTTCCCAGTCCAATGCTCAACCACCAACTGGTGCTCAACAGCTAAGGCTCAGCGCAGGCCTAGCCAGCAATTCACAACGTCTGCCCAGCGTCTTTAGCCAGCCCCCAATGCCTAGCCTATCCCGCACGCCTCCCTCTCCGCTGGAACTACCCACCACCACGCCCGCCTCCACTCTCGCTAAACTCGCCTTCCTCATGGCTCCTAAAGTTCCCTCTCCTCTCGGAATCCCAGTCCTAATCTACCTCCCCAAAATTCTATTCCCGGAGCCAGAGACCTTAGATAGAACAGACGCCATACTCCTCGGCTATATACAGCCGGGAACCGGGGGAAGCGAGAAAACAGATATGAGGATTGAAAAGGCATTATTCTTGCCTGAGGATTTATCAGAGAGATTCAGGTGGAAGGTTAAGCAGGGGACTTTAGAGGTTTTGGAGACGTATGCTGCCCCCGCGACAGCGGCCTGGAGTAAGATGCCGGCTACGCCGAGCACAACAAGCGAATACTTCTTCTCACCGTCATCGTCACCAAAACGTAACGCCGAGCAACTCCACACTTCTCATAAATCCATCTACGACAAACTTTTCCAAGCCTACAATCTCATGGTAAACACCCCCGACCGTGAATCCCAGCTTACAAAGCGGTGGCGTTGTTCTCCAGACCCAGTAATGGAAGGGAATAGAGGGAGTGTGTGGGAGGGCTGGGGACTTTGCATTGATAGGGGTGTGGGGATGGGGGATGAGGAGAGGAAAGGTGCGGTCGTGAGGGTAGAAGTAGGGTCAGGTGCGGCAGAGAGGGAGGTTCGGGAATGGGAGACTAGAAGGGCGATGGATGCGGTTATGGAAGAGGGCGAAGAGGACAGGGGAGAGGGGATAGAGAAGTGAGAGGAGAGGAATCATTGTGTGAGTGTTTCGATTGGGCTTGAGGCTGACATCAGAGGCGCGCCTCTCAAGACTCCGTGTTTGTGAGTTGAGCAGTAATTATTCTCCTCCAAAGTCACGAAATTAATTCAGTAGAAGCTGCGGATCAGCACGCTGAGGCATAGTTTCATGACCTCCGAAATGCTTACTCAGTGCTGGTTAATGTGCTAAAATTCTTCAGGGGAAAAGTTCATTGCAATGGTGTCACAGTTCTATTTCTAGACTTGGAGTTCCTTTCACCCATTCAGGGTTGGTGAATTCGAGCTGGCATGGCCATGAGCTGGGTTAATTTGCTAATAAACTCTCGTCGCTAGAATAAAAAACTTCGTAGATGCCCATTTCAGTTGCAGTACCTGTCCCAATTTCTTTTCACATCGTTATATAGAGAAGCGCATTCAGATCAAAGCTTTCCAAACTTCTCATCAACAAAGGGCTGACAGTAATTTCACCAGTACCTGACGTCACTCGAAACGCTCACATCAGCAGCATGGCGAACAGATCATTATCTCAACTCTCCCTATTAGTCACTACATCAAGGTCTTCATGTGACGAGCGGAGTTGTCTAGCTCACTCAACAATTGCACTTGCCAAAAATGGAAATCCATTTACCTGGTTCTACCTAGCGCGGCACAGGATGCAAAAAGCTTCAGTCAACCTGCACTCCTCCGCCCCCAACCGCAAATTGCGTTGTAAGAACTATTTTGCGACCCCAAATTCCCGAGCAGTCACGAATAGCCAGCCACGTTGTTAAACAATCGGATTCGCCAAGTCCCCGTCTCGCCAGTACGGCTAGTGGTAAGAGTTGAAAGGTTTGGGAGCTAACGAGGACGTGCGTCCCCGCAGCTGAGATGCATGTGCCGAAGCCTCCTGAGGCAATTTGACGGCCACCCAACTGCATTCCGTTCCATCTGATCATCTAGATCGACGTCTAGCATGAGCTGACCCTAGGGTGATCCTTAAATGCCTGGCTTTTGGCCCCTTCGCTGCACTTGGAGATAGTCTTATTCAGGATGGGCTAAGGATGGTCCATCTTCCTTAAAGCTCGTTCACTCCTCTGGGGCTGAGCTTGAAGCGGCGTGGCGTGGCAGTAATGTTTACCTTTTCTGAGCCGCTATTGGTGCCAGCGCACTTCCAGCCTCTCCACTTCATCGGTTTTGGACAAAGCTGGTGGTTTGGGCAGTGCTTATCGCCTTGAGGGCGTGCACTGCTGAAAGACTTAATGTGAAAAGCTGACCTTCACTGAGCATAGCCTGCCTGATTATGGAGGTTCCGATCCAGTACCCAAATTATTAAAGGCTGCCTTCATGGCTTCATGAGATTCACATCTAGAGCTTCGAGGCACTCCTTGAGGAGCGTTTCGAGTTTCGTATTCCTCCCTTCCTAGCTTTCGTCTTTGTGTATCTATTTTCTGGGTCTCGCTTCCTCTGTTTGCTTATACATCCCCTTCACTCTCGCTGAGATTCCAATTCATTCACCATGCTAATACCAAGCCTTCTCCTTGCCTCAGCAGCTTTTGTTGTTGCACAGAGTCCTACTACAACACTTCCCAGCACACCCTCTAGCTTGACGGAACCCTGTGCCCAAATCAGTGCCACTATCGCATCTGGTGTCGGAAAACTTCTTGCTCAAACCGCATACGACTGTCTTAACTCGGTCCCTGTTGATGTCGAAGGGGATTCGAAACTCATCGACGAGCTAAAGATCATTTGGCAATGGCATTCCGAAGTCGGCTGGTTGAAGAACACACCGGATACCTGGGAGAACGGGCCGATTGATCTTGAAGGGGAGCTTGACAAGATCAAAGCAAGCCTCAATCAATATCCAAGTGAATATGCTGTCCAACTCGCCATCTGGGCGCTAACGATTAGAACGGGGAACTTCCATTTCAATTATCAGCCCGACATTCTTCAGATTTTCTCATGGACCCGACCTGTTGGCGTTGTCTCTCTCTCCGACGACGGGAAGCAACTTCCAAGAATATTTCTTTCTAACGACGTTGTTCTCTTGAACGAGGCAGAGAATAGTGCCAATCTTCAGATTGCACCGATCACTCAGATCAACGGGCAAGAGGTGCACTCGTATCTAGAAAAGGTTGCTGCGCGCGAGCAGTATATTTCCCTGGACGGTCGTCTAAATTCAGTGCACTTTAGGGGACTGGCGGACTCGTCAGTTGGAAGCTTCATGTTGCAAACACAATACGACGGTGGAATTACTAATATTACATTCGCCAACAACACTCAGCGGTCGTGGAACAATACTGCCTCTACCAGCCAGACTTTCGAAGGGGTCGTGGATGGAGAGTCTTTCTTCAACGCTTACTGCAAAGGAGCAATTTCCGGGTTCTCAACTAATAATGCGAAAGCGAAAAGGGGTCATCTCAATGCTCCCGTTCAAATTCCCTCCTCATATCACCTCGGCAAGCGTCAAAGTATTCCTACCAACTACCCCACCGCTGTGGTTGAAGCCAAAAGCAAAGCCGTTGCAGGTTACTTCCTAAACGCCCCGGGGTACGAAGACGTTGCGGTGCTAAAGATTATCACATTCGATCCTACCGGCGACAACAGTGGATCAGAGTTCCAAGCAGCGGTTGACAAGTTCCTTGCCGCATGTATTTCTTCGAAGAAGAAAAAACTTATTATAGATCTAAGAGAAAATGGTGGTGGTGCTACAAATCTTTTGCTAGATACTTTTATGCAACTTTTCCCAAAGGAGATTCCGTTTAGCGGCCAGCGGTATCGTGCCCAGGAACAGTTTGCTCTGATTGGGGATTCGGTGTCTGAGATCTACAATGATAAAGCCTTATTGAAGGCTTATGAAGATTACACACAGGAAAATCTTGAAGATAGGTATCGCTATTGGGCGTATTGGCGATTTACTACTGCGGAGTACAAGAATTGGAAGGACTGGTTGGAATTTTTTGGCCCGAACGAATTCAACAACGATCTCTTCACAACCTTAATGCGATACAATGTAAGCACACCATAATATTCCATATTTTGGACAAACTAACACACAATAGTACTCTAATAGCGATCCAACAAGTATCCGCCCTTCTGGCTTCTACTTTTCCAATGTCACCAACAGCCCCCTTGCGTTTGAGCCTTCCAACGTTGTTATGTTCACCGACGCACTCTGTGGTTCCTCTTGTGCCTCCTTTCACGAAGAACTCAAAAACATCGCCGGAATTAAGGCCGTGGTGGTTGGTGGGCGGGCAGCCAACGAGCCCATGGAAACCGTTGCTGGCACCAAAGGCGGAGAAGTCATTCCTTTGTACAACTTCCCACAATACGGTAAGAAAATGATCGACGCTACAAATCACATTGGCGCTACGTCCCTGGAAAATACCGCTGTGAGCGAGCTTGCAGGTGTGAAAAAGGTTTATGTAAGAGTTGGAGATGGGTCTACCCGTATCCAGACCCAGGACCAAATTCGCAAAGGCGATACATCAGGTACGCCATTACAGTATATCTACGAAGCTGCAGATTGCAAGATTTTCTATACGCAAGACACACTTTTCGACCCCAGTCTCGCATGGCAGGCTGTCTGGGATGCTTTCACTGACGACTCCAAATGCGTGGAAGGATCAACAAAAGACCCTTCTTCGATCAGCGGCGGTTATCATCCCTTCGGGCCGGGGCCGCTTAATAGCAAAGAACTCCCACAACCTAATGGCACTGCATCAGCAACGATAAGTCACATTCCAGGGGGAACCGGATCCGCGATGCCGTATCCAGCAAGAAGCGCTAATGGAACGGTAACAGTTTCTGGAGGGCCATCGACGTTTGTGCCGGCGTATACTAGCACCACGACGGGTATTGTATCGGTGTTTACGGGAGCGGCAGCTAGTGCGAGTGCGAAGAAGGCGGCGTTTTATATAATGGCGGGTTTAGGCGCTCTGCTGTGAGATAAATGCGTCTAAAGCATCGAGTGTGGCTGCTATCAATTTAATATTTAGAAGTACTATTGATGGCACTCATATGTGCGCCTCGAAGCGATAGGGTGTTACGCGCCATTTTCTAATCCATCGGGATTGTGCTGGTGTACGTGGAAGCTTCTTTGGATGGAACGGGAAAGATCATGTCACAATGATTTTCTGTAGACTGACTAATCCATGGGCTCCATAGATCAACAATTTTAGTCCGGCTTTAGTAGTTGTCTATATTTTATATGCAACGCCTCCACAACTGCAACGAAGTTCTCTGTGAACCTGGATTTCGGTAGCTTCTTCATTTCATAGTGTAAGTAGCCGCCTGCATGCTCGAGGATTAATTAGATGCTCTTGCCGTGGTGGAATCAGCATAGGAAACAGATAATATTGGGGTAGGTGAGGTTTTGGTGGATCTCAAGTCTGCAGTAGATGAGCTTTCCCTCTTGCTAGTTCACGATATGGGCTTTAGAGAGGATCTTGAGGGCGCAGATGTGGTTAATGGGTCGGTGGTGGTCGAGGTATACTTGGCCGAATTTACCGTGGCCGAGAGGGAGACCGATTTCAAAGAGGCTGATGTGTAGCTCTGAAAATGCTGGCAGTGGATCTTCGGATGTTTTCGAATTGGCTTTGGATGAGGCATGGCTTTCACCGGTTTTCATGTCTTGTTCGGCGGGATCATTACTGGAACCTATTTTCATAGTATCTTGGAGTGGTTTACGTCAGGGAAGACGTCCCAATGCATTCTTGAGTTAGTCTAGTTCGGGTCCTTTCGGCTTGGGATGGGGCCTTGTAACATGGGTTGAGGCTGCTTTAAAGCACCAAGCCTTGCATTCTCACTAGACATTGGCAATGCTATGTAAAAGTCAGAGGCAATAGTATATAGCACAGTGACGCACTGCTGGCCTGATGGCTGTGTACCTCTTTGGAGCCATGGGCGAAAAGAGGATTTGTTATAAAACTTGTTACGGTGAACTTTCGGGAGAGGGAGTGACACAAGCAGAAGAGCTGTTGATGATGTGGTCTATTTTGCCAGGTTAAGATAGAAATATTTAGGCAAGTCAAGCGTTTACAAGCCTTAGCCATGGCAACAGACTTAATCACAGAACCTCTTACCTTTGCCACAGTGAAGTGACAGTCAATCACCAAACCCGACTCACCTGCCAACTATGCGCCGAAATCTCCTGTGGCCCAGTCCAAGTCCGCATACCAGTCTCTAAGCATCCAGTTCCTAACTGCTGTGAATGTGTCATTAGATGCAAAGTGATTTTCTTGAGCACCGCCTTCATCGTTCAGTAGGTCGCCAATGGAGAGGTTTACAGCAGAGGAACTCCCTGTTCTGGTTTAGTGCAGTCCCTTACTTATCCATATCGGGCATCGCTCCTCGCCCCATTAACCCGCCACTTTTGACGTATATAAAATGTTCGCCCTCCTGTCGCAGGCTTCCTCCTTGTATCTTTCCCTTAATTCTTTAACATAATCCCGTGCCTCTGCTGCTAAGCGGTCTACCACTTTCTTCGTGTCGCCTGCCTGCTCCCCCATCTTATTTTCGGCCACCAATCAAAAACTCTCCCTCTCTAATTAGCAACATGCTGCGCGGCTTTCCTAGTTTCCGCCTAAACGTTCTTTTTACTGTGGAAGGCTATAATGCTGTTGATACGAATTCCGCCCGGACTTGGCTATCTGGCTGCGTTAGTTAGGTTTGACTTAGGACTTTGAACTCTTATTCAGGGCTTCCAACGGGCCGTACTACGGTCCGTACAAAGTGAACCGTAACGGTCACGTGTTCAGTACAAACGTACCGAGTTCGTGAGCCGTACCGTACGTTTAATAATGCCCTAGGTACGGTACGTAGTACAGATTGTATTACCCTTTTAGGAAGTTTGTATACACAGTTATGTTACAGCTATCTAACCCCTCAGTACCCTAGGATTAGCACAGGGTATATAGGCTCCTAGGCCTCTGTCCCTCTGCCTCTAACCCTAAGGTTTACTCTCGTTACCCCCTATCCTGCATTCCCTCTCTGTGACCTGTGTTTCCTAATCAATACCCCTCACACCACACCTCTTGCCGCCTTACAGGCCTCATCTAGTCCTATCTGCTCTTGTTACTAGGGAGAACTAGTTATTTTATAGTTAATTAGACCTTAATCTTGCGTCTCTAGAGACCTATAGTCTTAGCTGTTTTAACTAGAGTACAGCGTACTTTAATTAAATTGTACTACTCGTACAGATCACGTGAGCCGTAACAGTTACAATACGTACACCTACCTCTCCTCCTCCCTGTCGTACGAACGTACACAAAATCTCACCCGTACAGGCCTCAAAATCGCCCAATCGTACAGTACTACGCCTCGTTGGAAGCCCTGCTCTTATTTTTAGAATATCTTCCCTCTCCTTCTTTTTAGTTCTTTCCTAGTGCGCTGTTCCGGGGATTTTCACATTTGGTTTCACTATTTACGATTCTGCCTTTACACCTCTCTAGTTTCCTTGTTACGATCTTTCGGCGAAGGTAACCTAATCTGGCCACGATACTAATCCGCTCTCCTTCTTCCTGCTCTAACAGCCACCGCCATAACTGGGCCAGAGCTGAGTCTAACCTGCCCCTAGACCTATCTTCTAGAGCCAATCACGAAAATGCCTCATCTCCTGGCGAAGGGAGAACCATGGCTCTAGGCGGAGCAGCATGTAGGCTATGGAGAGAAACTAGAGAAGATAGATTCATTCCTTACTGCTGTGCCCAGGTCCGAAAACCTGCCCTACTAGCTATACTTTATAATTCTGTCTAACATGTTTTACTGCGCGGCTTGCATCTTCCCCCTCAGCTAGATTGAGTTTGGGTAATGGCATAATATAGTTAGCATGAAAAAGGAAGACAGAACTAGGGTAGCATATTAGATTGCCCTTAGCTAGTAGAGGCACCACCCTTTAGCTGTACGTCGAGGACTGCTGTAATAGGAGTACGTGGTATTAACCCTGAAGTAGGATGGAGCAACTTCATGCGATTTGAGGAAGGCTATACCATTTGACGTGCGACGTATCCAATCAAAGAAATACCTCGCCATTGTCTCTACCTCCTCAGCCTTGCTGCCCCCTGGTGGATACCATATTAGCAATTACTCCGTTGACTTCCTCTATAAGATGGGCAAGCATCTTTAGCGCCGGTTTCTCTGGAGGAGCACCTTCTCTTCTGGAGAATGAATCCACAGTGTAAGAGCAATGGGGCTAGGGGTCTTATCCTTGTCCTCGTTCAACATCGCCGTCACGGATCCCTTTAGTCTATTCAGCAAATGGTTATATTTGCTCCCCTTGCTATCTCCTAACTCGTTTGGTCCACCGGTCTAGATACCAATAGCAACTGGAATCAGAACTGGGACCCAGTGCCTAACTACACCATCCCCCTGTCTGCATTTCCCTTCCTCCCCTACTTCCCCTCGGAACTATTTTCGAATTTTTGGGCGGAGCAATGCCGCGCTGATTCGTGGATATTTGTTAGGTTAGGAACACAGACGCACTCGTGTATTCGCATCCATTAAACGAAAATACTTCTCCACTTGCATATCATCCGCAAGTCCGCCGTTGTAGGCTATCTATAAAAATGGGACATGGCATCCAACTTCCCGAAGCCGACTACGTCAGTGCCCAACTCAAGCATGCTTTTGCCATAAAGCTGGCTGTTTGCATTCCGTTATGCTCTGGCGGCTGCTCTAGTGACTCCTCTCCGTCAAATGAGAGATGCTTCACACCAAGTGATGAAACAAACATGATCGTGTGCGAGAAGAGAAAAAGCTTGATGTGTCTGACGAGTTAGCGCCTGCGCGCTTTCAACACGTTTCGTCCACTAGCAGCACTTCTGACCTCTGCTTCCTTTATCTACCTGAACAGTCCCGCTGTCGTAAATCCTTCGAGCTCCAACCAAGACGACAAGTTAAATCTAGTATTATCTAACCCTTTCTCGCTACATAACGATCGTCTTTACCGAACCCAAGCGCTGCCACAGTCTGCTGCATTTCCTTTTCCCGCTCCTCGGGACTCTTTCCAGGTATTCCCAACGCCAAGCGCTCAGAGACATTCAGAGGTGCCTGCATGAATCTAGTGAAGGGTTCGTAATTTTGTTTACTCTCTTTACATCTACTTTGGTCAATTAAGCTGTTCATGTGTCTCATACTGTCACGTGATTTCGGCTTACCCTGTATCGGTTTCTGTGGCTGATAAGGAAACTTGGTCCGTTTTAGGCATGTTGGCTTTTGAATTCGTAGTTTATTCTATTTGTCTTCGTTTGCCGAATAATTGTTTGGATTTCGACTCTTTGTCTCGTCTCAGCAGTGCACGTTGCTTTGGAAGCATTGCTTTGGAAGCAAGAGGAAGCCATTATTTTATATTCTCCATGCACTGGTATTTTGATCCTGAAAAATTGTCAGCCATAAACTCGATCATTAGAGACTTCGCTTTGTGATGTCGGACTGATATCCGAACTGTCGAGGTAGACGAATCTCTCACTTGACGTTAACGCATAGCCCCGAATTTCGCCCTTTACTTTGTTCGCATGGGCGAATTCGCCAAGAGATGTGGCGTGCGTTCCAGTTCGTTTTGTATCGTACTAGTCCTTGCTATTGTTTCTTTTACCTTCTTCCGTTGGTCATTTGAATCTTACGGTCGAGGATGCCTAATAACAGTTGTATTGTTCCTACTGGAAAGCCCCTCTAATCTAATATCCTGCTGTTCCGTTATTTCTATGCCACCTGCCCCCAGCCACCGCCCGTTTCGAGTGCCTGCTCATTCAATACCCTATGTCTCTTCTCTTCGCTTTGCGAGTGTTATTTTACCCTTCCTACACTGGACAGCTTTAGCTGCGGAATACAATTCTCGACGTGCAAGGCTGAAACCAAGATCAGAATCGCAAGGGGCGGCCTCATTCAAAAGCCGCTGCAAGGCTTCTTCGTCAAGCTTTGCGTTATATTTCTCTGGTAGCAGAAAACCTATATTCAAATGGGTAGATCGCTACAGTAACCCTTCGGGTACGGCTATTTCAGCACACTACGGCTATCGGATCATGCTTATCAGTGCTACGACGTTAAACTAAGAGGCTGAGGGTAAGCCTGAAGACACACTTTTGAAACCCACATGCTGGCTTAAAGTTCGAATTGTCAGAGGGCAGCTTATCTCATTGAGCTCCAGCAACTATATAGGGCAGCGGAAGGTGCGCAAGAGTAGTTAAAGTCTGTGCAAAGATTTCCGCTAATTGCAACAACGTCTATTAGGTATAAGGCCTGCCTCTCGGTCTACCATTTTACTCTTGGCCGTCGTAAATACTTTGTGCCATCATGGAAAACATGTACCCTGAAATTCGCCATTCTGGGCTAGGTTTCGCATTGACTTCGGATCTACAATACTCTGAAACCGAGCGACCCAACTTGAGTTTTGCAGATAACTTACACATTTCCGGAATCGGGTGCTCCTCTCGACCTAATCAGACATATTCAAGTAGCAGTTTACATACTCCACATGCATATCATGCTCACGCATCCCCCACCCCACCCAGGAGTGTATCAAGCATCATAAGTATGGGCAATCAGAGTTGCTCCTATGAATGGAATGGACCTAGTTTCCAAAACATGCCCGGAAGCCAGCCTATCTCAATTGACCCTAGCCTTATTAGCACTCCGGTAAGCACTCCTCCGGAAGTTCAACTAGGCTCGCCTTACTCACCTGCCCAGAGTTATGACAATTCCTATTCCGGGTTACCATCCCAACCACCGCAGTTACAATCCCAATTTTCGCAGATGGTGGTTCCTCCGCCCAATGGTCGCCAACACTTACCTCAACGCGCTTCTGACTTACTCAGGCCTGATTGCAAACCACAGGATTTTGGACTGTCTCAACTGGCTTCCCCAAATGCATTTTCGTTCGAGGAAAGCTGCATCCAAGCCCCTACTCCTTCTCTAGTCTCTGGTGATTCGTCTTTGGAGTCTAGCCCACTAGACTCCGATTTGGGTCCACCAATGCCAGTCTATTCTAGAGAGTATTCTCCATTGCCTGCTCTTGAAAATTTTCTCGATTTAATAGTACCTTTCGATTCCGTCTTTGGATTCGCCGATGCGATGTCCCCGGGGGGATACCCAAGCGTTCAGGAAGGGTCCGAGAGAAGGCGTTCCCCTACTCCTTCGCTATCATTTGGGCCAACAGCTCCATCTTCATCGAATATATCGAGTCGCTCCTCAAAAACAAGTTCTGCGAGATCTTCAAAAAAAGGGTCAACAATTACTTCAGCAACTTCTTCCTTTACAAGGAAACGTACAAAGTGCTCTAGTAAATGCAGAACCGGCATGAGGAAGTCGACCATACAGAAACGGAAGAATCGTGTTGTGGACACGCAAAAACCACTCACTGCCACCAATCTGGAAGAAATCAATCAAAGGTGTAGAAAAGTACAGGCGCTTCAAATGGACAGGGAGACGAGGCCCCCAGAAGACCAGTTACAGAACCAAGCGGATGCGAGCACGGCTGCGGCTGCCTGCATCTGTAATCCAAGGACAAAGGACTTCGATTCGAATACGGCTTTGGTGGAAGCCAACAAGGTTTCATCAGATGGTCTATGTGAGACGGAAGACTACGAGGAAGAATCGAGTTGCAGTGACTCGCCATTCCCAGACTCGCCTGATAGCACCGCGCGCGGAAACATTGTACGCCCAGTTTTATCGCCTCTGAAAACGGACTTAGTCAATCGCGTCATGACTGAATTTTACCGGCTCTTCGATGCAAATGTTGGTGTTCAGACCCACACGCAAGAGGCCGAAGGTTCAAATCACGAGAGTTCGACGGACAAGCAATCTCAGTGTCCCGTCAACTCTAAAACGATAACATGCAATTCCTCAGCGCAAAAGCGTAAGGGTTCTGACGGCGGTGCATTGCCTCCAAATGGTGGCGATGATCATGACGACGAAGACGAACATCGCAAACGAAGAAAATTGGATCCTGGCCCCCTTGAAACAAAGCTGTTTGGACGAAAAAAGTTTGCATGTCCTTTCTTCAAGCGCAATCCTAGCAGTCATTCATCTAATAGAGCATGTGTCTATCCCGGATTCCCCAGTATTTCTCGAGTGAAGGAACATTTGTACCGAATACATGCCTTACCTATTCAATGCGCGCGATGTCGCCAGATATTTGATAGTGAGGAAGAACTAACTATCCACGGTAGAGCACGAGAAAGCTGTGAATGGAAAGAAGCAGCTCCAGTAGAAGGCGTCAGCAAAGCACAAGAGGCAAAGTTGAGGAGTAAAAAAAGATCTACAAATTTGATACCCGAGGAGCAGAGGTGGAAGTCTATATATAAAATACTCTTCCCTCAGGACGCAGATAACCAGGTACCTAGCGCATGTAAGATCTCATCAAGAACTTCTTTTTTCGCCAAAGCTAACAAAAGTTAGATTGCGATTTCACGCCTGCAACCCCATTGACGCCATCTGGATCGCCCAATTCACAGGAATTCGTCAGATTCGAAGACTTTTCAAAGAAGAAGCTCCCCGAATTAGTGCGAGGTTCCTTAGAAGAGCTGGTGGAACAGAACACGCAAATGCAGCAGCTAGAGGAGACTCTTAAAAGTCAGCTCATTGACATCGTTCGAGAATGTCAAATAAAGCTATTTACTATGTATCAACAGGCGCGAGAAACCGGCTCGAACACGCCAACCAACGATGCAAATGCTATCTCCTCCCAACAATTCGACAGTCGCCAAGCAGAAAGAAACCCGGCCAGAGCGGAATTGGCAGAAGTATATGTACCACCTCTTCTAGTACAAGGATATAGCAATGGCCCCGATTTGGATGAAATTCAAAATGCACGCCAACATAAACCGAAAGGCTCAAGTGAACCTTCTGACTCGGGATATGGTTCTACAAATATTACCTTCGAAAACTCTGAGTCTCTCCGTCAACTACATTCCGAGACACGTACTGATGAGAACCCATCAGTCAACGTGGATGTAGTCGGAAATCTCGGTTCTCAGACTGCTACGAGCCAATATCCCTCCTTTGGTAATTCACAGACAAATCAATCATTCGATTCCTTCCCCCCAAGCTATATTCAAGATACCCAGACATATTCTCAGCCGGACAATTATTTCACTCAGACCTCTGATGTTGATATTTTTCAAGACCTATCTTTCGATTGCACACCCTCTCTCGACCCTTCGCAAAGTTTCACGTCTCCTTGGCCTCCGAATTTCGACGAAGAAAGCTCCACATTTCCGAGTTTTGGAGACGCACCGCACACTCAGTAGCAGCTCTATGGTGAGGGGTCTCATGTACAAAAGAAAATGCGGTCCTCATGTTGGCTTTAGAAGCAATTCGTTATATTTTTGGGATCCACGTCACTTCAGTTTAGATGTGCCCTAGTTATTTAGCCACGATATCCATAAATTGTTCTAAGATTTCAATGTGTTACCAAGCAGCACTGTTTTCCGCCTCTTTGCAAACAACACACAGCCTAACTACATGGCACTGCTTGAAGGCTACGCGGCGTGTTTAACACGCTTGGCACTCACCTACTTAATCACTCTTTCGTTTATTAAAAGACTATTAATATACTCGTAAAGCAATGTATAAATACAGAGTAATAGTCATAAAAAAGAAGAGTACAAAATATACTAAAACCCAAATGTTAAAGCACTAACTTAAAATTCAGATAGCTATAAATTTTAGAGCGCCCGTAATTAGATATTAAAAAAAACCTAAGTTACGGAATAGCCTGTAAAGAGTGGCTACTTTAAACTAAGTATGGCTCTAGACTAAAGTAAGTAGTTTTTAAAAAGGAAAGTTAAGAAGGTCTTTAGAATGAATGTATACATTTACGCTAGACCATAAATTTAGAGCGTGAATCCTCCTTTGAAACAGAAGGGGATATTAGGAAAGTACTCCGGGAGTATCTCATTGATGTGAGTTAGATAGAGAGCCATAGACACACTACGTCCGAATCCGAATCTTGATATCAGATACGGGCTGCAATGTGATCACATTCGGCTTCCCATTCTGGGGTACGCTTGGCATTAGGTACGTTGACGTGGACCATTCCGAGGCCTCGCTGAATGGTATGATAAGGCTGTCGTGGTCTCCACAATGGCGGTCTCAAGCTCTAGCGTAATTCCTTCATAATACTATTATGGTTAGTACGTGTGATAGGTATCGCGCAGGAAGCCCAAGCACAGAGAGGGAATGCAGGATAAGGGGTAGAACGAGAGAGTAATCCTTAGGGTCGGACGCAGAGGTACGGAGGCCGAAGAACCTATACCTAGTGCTAAGCTCGCAAGCCACTCAGGGGGTCAGATAGCTGTAACAGTAAGCATTTTTAAATGTTTCATGTGATAGTAGTATATTATTAATCTCTTCTTATTATATAGTTATTTAGTTAATTTTAACTAGTTAGTGCTTTTCTTTTAAAACTATTGCTAATGTTTTAAACTTTTATTGAATACGTATTCTCTTTGAAGGGTATAAGTTATCTGAATTCTATTTAAAAAAAAAAGGGTATAATATCCTGTTTTAAACCACTTTTAATTAGAGGAATAGAATTTACTTTACTATTCTTGTTGTACTTAGAAAGAGTTAACTTTATAAAATACATTTTAAAATAAAAATATTTTACTTTACCTACTAAAACACAATCTTTCAATACTGCGTTTACTCTTCAGCCCACCAACGTTCATATTTCGGTTGTTTGGAAAAGGGGTCTCGTGGGTATCTCAGAAAAGGGGGGAAGCGATTCTTTGCAAAGGCTGGACGGACCAGATCGGAGAGAAGAGAGGAAATGTTGCTTTCGTGAGTGCAGTTCCTGCAACATTAGCGCCCGGCCTGTTAAGCTAAACTCATCCTGATTTGCGTCGCACTTCGGTTTCTGCTCGACTAATCTTGTTTCCCTGCCTCTCATGTGTGGGTCTGGGCATGCGTCCTTGTCTCGCTCGACGATATGCGGATCGATTTTGTTGAGCACGAGTCGAGGTTGTCTTGGAGGATTCGATTCTTCTCGTGCCGTTCATTCGTCAAGTATTTGTTCCCACCTCTCTCAAACGAGAGAGATAACGCATCTTAGACACAATGGAAATCGCCATCTTAGAGTATTTGCGGCAAATGGAGCGCTGAATGTGTTGGCGGGTGGCCCTGTGGGAGGACAAGAGATGGACGGAAATTTGCGTCTTCTCGCCCTTTGACTCAGGCAAACGTTTCCATAGTCGGAACACTCCACGTCAATGCTCCGCAGCAGGTGCTTGGAATGCGTTGGCTTCCAAGACGCCTGTGCCGCCGTCGTCTATTTCCGGCTCGCAATCTCTTCCGTTCGATGTTACGTGTAGGTAAATATTCGTGAGGGGGTTGTAGATGGTTCTAGGGGAACTGAGCAGGGTGATTTGCGTGCTGATACGCGTTCTAGGAGAAAAGATAGTGTGGGGGGTCTGGCTGGGCGGACGCAGTGAGGCAGATGATAGTGATTTAGTAAAAAGGATGGAGTCAGATGCTTTTGTGTAGGGAGATCTCGAGGCAAATCTCCTGCTTGGCTTACTGAAAGACGTGGCGCTGAGGCCCAAGTGTTTACTAAGAGGGCGTGATCCCACAATGGCGCGCTGTCCAATGACAATTGCACGTAGCAAAGGGATCCTTAGGCGAAAAGAGCGTTCTCCAGAGGCAAAGGAGGGAACCCAACACCATGGCTCCAGCCAACGCCTCAAAAGTGTAAAAAGAAAGCTGGCGCAAGACATGGGAAAGTCAAATCCGTGAATCTATACACCGAGTTGCATGAAAAGCACAGACATAGTTAATAGAAATTCCATATACCTTTGTCCCAAGGGAGAGAGCAATTTGAAAAAGTTAGGTTTATATAGATAAACAAAACATTAGATATTTAGCGTGTTCTGCTTGGTGGAGCCTGAGAGACAGTCATCAGTAATGTGAATGACAGTGCACCACCCACATAGCTCTGCCAGGACGTCTATAATTGTACTGCAAGCGACCTTAGAGTAGGTCGTGGTGCACAGTGTCCACCTTAGTGCTGTGGGAGATGTAGTTGTAGGGTAGGCTAATCACCAAGTGCATGACGCGTTGGAGAAGTTTTGTCCGCCCCTTCAAGAACCATTGCACTCTAAGTTGTGCCCTTAGTTGGCTTGAATATATCTACACGATGCCCCCGACTGCCGCTAAGGTCACAGCAAGCAACGCCGTGGACATAAAAGCAACCTTAGGTACAGTGGAAAGCAACCGCCATACTTCTCTTTGACCTGTGCAAGACACAATGACGGCGCGGAGAATTAGAGACTCGGCGTTCCGCCAGATGCAACCCCTCGAGTACACAATTGTCCTCGATGAAGATATATTGCAGTCCATTACGCTGCCCCAAATGCCACAGTTAATGCCATAGTACGATGGAACCATTTCCTCAAGCAAGGAGGGCTTCGTTGATCGGGCCAACTCTGGTTCTGGCATGGCGTGCTTGCAAGCTCGGGGAAAGGTAACAGCCTCAAGATCCCAACTCTTGTAATTTAGGTGATTGACTAAAAAGGGACAAATAAAAACCGAGCATCTTGAATTTATCAAAAGATATCTACGATACGAAGCTCCTTCGAAGTCCGATGTCCTCGGCCGAGCATACAATACGACAACTCCTTGCTGCAAGACGTTGTGAAAGGAATACTTGCGATATTTGTCGCTACTGGGGATATTACTGACCCCCCTTCCTCCATTGGCTTGGCTGCAGGGTTTCGCATTTCGATCCCTCGATCCCCCGGCTTGCTTGATGTCGGTCGGTACAAATGAATACTAGCTTCGCCACAAAGCGTCCCGAGAGACGATGGTAACCGTCGAACCATTTCCGATGTGGACAATTGCTCTTTCTAGTTCCGCCGGTCCCTTTCGGGGTCGAGGTTAAGAGTCGCTGATATCGAGGTAGATCCAATACGTCCCCCCACAAGGGTTCGCCAATCATGCCATACCTCTGACCGACTCATGACATGTTCAGTGTCCTCAGATCTTCTCAACAAAACCTTTTTCGATTCGTCGAACCGTGGAAAAGGGTGGGAAATAGGTCTCACACCGACATTTCTGACTCAAGAAACACATGCGCTACCGCTGCCCCACTCTCTTCAACCAAGGGCATAACGGAAGGCAATATAATAAGGGTGGAGCGGAAGGGGAAACAACAATATCAAAATATAGTACCGCAACGTGCTGCTGCAGATAGCAAGGAGGCCCCTGTTGAAACAGGCTGCGAATAAAGAGGCGTCTGTTGGGAGGTCGGGTTTCAGAGCGATGCGCGTCGAAGGCATCATCATATCGATCCATCAATTCTTCGAATAAACGATAGCATCGATGTGTTGCGCTGACAAAGCACTCGAAGGACGAAATGAGCATTGTTGTCAGTCGTGTTCTGAGTCTTGATTTCGCGATCAAAGGCCAGCATCGGCATTCCAGTGCCCATTAGTCGCAATGTCGTACAAACTGAATCTCGAAGGGAAACCAGTCGTTCACGCCAGCGGCCCGCTTGGCTTTCTCACAGACGGAAGATTGGGCTGCCACGTGTTGGGAATCCTAGGACCACGCGGTTATCTTAACGAATTGTGCCATGACTCGTTACTCGGGTAGCCAGTTTTTCCCGTCTGGGCGGAAGATCTGCGTCCGTTCAGGACGAGATAGGACGACAGGAGATCTCCAGATGATGCCTCGACACTGACATCCGTGGGCTGGATGGGTTCTTGTGGAATATTGGAGAAATCAGCATGGCCTGATGTGTGCAGAGGCGGCACTTTGCCCGAAGGCTTGCCTTAAGGACTGATGAAACGGGGGCCGAAATCAATTGCCAACGACATCTAGGAAGTCTGAGAGAGCCGGAGAGCAGGAAAAGTCGACGGTGCTCCCTGCGAGAATTGGGCCAGGAGACGCATTATCAGTGTCACCATGTTAACGTCGTGCTTGGCAACAAGTAGCACGGCCGGTACCCCGAGGAGCGTGCTATCGGCGGGTATCTCGGGTGTGCAGAAATCCCAGGTGTTCGTTTCACACATTGACCAGCGGATAGCAGGTGTGGTGAAGCGGAGGAAGTTTCCGCTAGCAAGATGGCGCTATGCGAACACGAGAAGCCGGACTCTGCTCACCGACACTGAACTGGGCGGGAAAAGTAAGCTCCGCAAGCTGGCAAAAGGACCCCTTTCCTGGTGCTTTTGGATCTGAAACGTGGGGGACACTTGCTTTTCTTCAGCCCTCGCACGTGCCGAGGGTCGGAGATTTACAGCGCTCAGAACAATTTCCACTGCTGCAAAATTGGATGATGAGCGAATGTTCCCAGCGCCTTCGTTGCTAGCCCTCATCCAGCTGCTCAAAGAAACCCCCTCACGACCTGGGCATACCTGAACCCCCGTGGCGTTTACCATGAAACGCTCCACCGATGGTGATTCGCAGGCTGATCCCTGACTGGGCCCAGCGAGCGAGACGACGAGTGAAGGCGCTGCAATTTTGCCAGGCCGAAAGCGGACGCGATGGGAAAGGCTCCGGCAGCATGGGTAGTCTGGTTGGCCCAGCGCCGACTTGGCAAGGACGGCCTTGAACAGGACGATGTCTCGCAGCAAACCGCCAAACGTGTCGGTGGGGCTGGTCGCACACGTGGAGACGCGGGACATCTATCTCTCTCTCTCATCTCCAGAAAAGAAATAGCAGACTCTTCACCTTTGCGCTATGAGGAATGGATCTGCCGTGCCAACCAGCGCTGATCGTATGCACATCGCTGCCGCGTCGCACCCTTTTGCACACAGTGGCTTCGCTGCTCCCCTTGAATACGATGCTCGCTGCAACTGCGTTGCGTCGAGGCTCGCGAAAAGGGGCTCGTCTGAGAATAAGTAAAAGTCGAACCAAAGTGCTTTTCCCAGCCTGGGCCTTTGTTCTCTCCTTGCTGACGGCAGCGCGGGTAGCCGAAGCAAGGGTGCAACGTGGAGTGCACGTTGCCTGTGGAATCAAAATTGGCCACAAGCTAGCAGCAAACCTCCGCTCCTCTCAGAAACGTTGGCAGACGACGTTCCGCTCTCGGGGTTCGGCCTAGTTGGACATGCCCGCTCTGTGTGGCCTTCAAAAGCAGACACTTGCCAATCGTCTCGCGGGGCGACCCTCCTCACCGTGGCATGATGTCGCCACCATGCGTTACACGAAAACGGGGGCTGTCCATAACTGGGAAAACGGCGGTGCAGTATTCGAAACCCGGGTTGACGCTGGTGTCTGGGAGTCTGCGTGGCCCTGCTGTGTGAGAGGCGACGACATTCAGCACCTCTCAGCCCAACCAAGTGGTTGCTGTTGGCAGGTGTAACACTTGTCGCCTGCTCGCAACCTCTGCTGCTGCTCGAAGAAGAGGCTGCATGGAGGACACCTGTCTGCGTCATGCGAAAAGAAACGTCTCAATCAGACCCGCATACACCCATATAGCACAGGAGGCGCCGCGGATGCACAAGTCTGGCTGGCTGCAGCTCAATTGCGTGCAGGTGCGGACACACAGATGCTTGCAATAAAGCACTGCACGCCCATCCCCTCTTTCATCGCCTTTGTCTCCCCATGAGCGTCGCCGATACACGGCCGCTGTGGATCTCGTGCGATACGAGTCTGCACGCACAAGAGCGACGAGCTCGGCCGGTCGAGCAGGCAGCCATCTAAGTAAGAGCATGAGACATCCCAGGGGAGTTGATGAGGATGGGGAGGATGAGGATGAGGATGAGGATGATGATGATGATGATGACGATGATGATAATGATGGTGTTGTTGTTATTGTTGTTGTTGCTGTTATTGTCGTCGTCAAAGTTATAGCAGTCAGCACGGACAGGGGTGGAGGGGGGGTGCGGGGGAAAGGCACGGCAGAAAGCCAGGACAGTGTGTGGGCTTGGAGGTTGTCAGACATATTGCACGTCGACGCCCACGCAGCACAAGCACCGGACTGATGAGATGACAGCGCGGTGGTTGCTTTTGGAGTCTTGGATAACCGCCTCCAAACTTTGAGGACTGCGAGGACCGGGCAGCCGACGCGATGCGCAGACGCTGGCCCGGCAGGCTCGGGAGTCGGGCGGCGAGCTGGAGTGGTTACAGGAGGGGGTGCACACTATCGCGGAGAGACAGGCCACAGGCTAGCGAGCTCAGGCCCGCGCTCGTCCTGCAACAAGCTCGATCTGCAGGGATACCTCGTGGCCGCCCTTTCGCCAGCCAAGCATTTTATTCCCAAGGAGTCCTGGGAGCATGCCAGCGCGTGTGGCAGACCTCGCCCATTGCTGCTGGGGGGGCTTCGGGGCTGGCTAGTGCCTTTGTCATCGCCCACCTCGTTTTAGCCCTCGGCCGGCGTTGTCTAAGCTGTCTTAGGCGTGTGGTCGCCGCTGGGGCGGCAGAAAAAGTCACTGGTCACGGCCGCCCAGCGACACAGACCTCTCTGACCGTCGATGGAGCCACCCTTGCTAGCCCGTACCCACTTGCTCGCTCCCTTCGTCAAGCCTGCGACCTTCTTCTCCGCGACGCTCCTGCCTCTGTCGGCCAGATGCCGTTGACGACTCCCTACCTTCCTCAGACTGTTTCTGCCTCTTTGCCCGCATCGTCCCTTCTACCTACTAACACTCAGAATCCACAGCCTCAGCCCAGCATCAACGACGAGCAGGTCCACCTCGGACAAGTAGCAGACCGAGACAGGTCTGGCAGAGCCGTCGCCACGAGGGACACAACGGCAGCCTCACGCTCCGCTGCCCGCCGCTCTACAGAGAAACGTCGCTCTACCCTCACTTCGCGCTTTCCGCTCCTGCGAAAGAGCAGTCGCGAAGCCACAGGCCCGACGCTGACCTCTACTCCCGCCGGCCACATAAGAGGAGCTAGTAGTGCCTCCATCAACCTTCCCGCTTCCGCCGACTCTCCCTTCCTCTCCACAGGAGCCCCGCGTGCTTCCCCAGCATCTGCACGAGGCCGATTTGAACGCAAGAGCGAGGAATTGCGTCTGCGAGAACCTTCCTTGAATCCCAGCGTCCACTCGGTAGGCCACGAGTCGGTTGCAGATAACGCATCCATCCACTCGACCACCCCGCTCCGGCCCGCAGCATCGAATTTGTCGATCCGGGCGCCGACTGCAGAGGAACAGACGGGACAGGCTAGTCTGGATTCCCGACGACTGGCATCGACCGCTGGAAGCTCACCCCGAGCCGCTGACAAGAAGATGCATCAAACTTCGTCAAGGCTGCTCCGCATGACGGACGATGAACGGCCCTTTACTCGAGTAAGTAGCATTAATTGATATATTTCAGTCATATATATGGCCCCAATATGCTCTCTTGTTTGCATATCCTCACCGCACCTCACTATTCATTTCTGACCCTAATAATTCGTGCGTCCCAGCTGACGTGCCCCTCAACCTACCCCCCCTGGAGTGATCTCAGAGTTCAGCTAATAACGTGATTTCAGGACTTCAAAGACTTGTTCTCCACCTTGATGGTGTCGCTTCCCCTTACTCCTCACAGGGTCCGTTTCCGTATGATCGACTTCACCTTTACTTCAGACGAAGCTATTACCAATCTCGGCTCTCTGAAATTCTCACAATCAAACCGCATGCCCGACCCGAAGGACTCCTCTCGAGTTGTCACCACTACGACGACTACCACCTTCTCCATGGCGAAGGAAATGGCCCGCTCAGTCTGTCAGAAATTCTTCGAAGCAAAGTTCATCGAATCTGTTGAAAGTAAAATTGACTTCCAGAACAAAAACTCAGTATGGCAATTGACTCCCAAGGGTATTCACATCTTGGAAAGGTTCTGCAGCCGCAACGGTATTCAGTCCGCCCATGTTAAAGCTGTTATTGATTCAAGCCGCAACCCTCGCCAGCTCGTGATTCTTGAGCGAGATATCGACACGGATAAGCTTCATCACGATGAGCAGACTGTCGAGATTATCTTCCGAAGATTTGTGGGCGCAACTGTGAATGAATCACTGTCGGCAGACTCAGACTCCATCCACGAATTCTCAAGGAGTGACGTTGGCGTCCGTATGATAAAGCACAAGCCATCGAACGCCAGGCCGTATGAGCACGTCTTCACAGGCAAAGCTACCGTTGATTGGTTGATGGATTGCTGCACGATGGTCGACCGCCGTGAAGGCCTCGAGATCGGCCAATTGTTCCTTGACCTTCGCCTTATCACTCCAGTAGACGCCCGAGCTCCAGGGAACGATACTAAATTCGTTCCAACAAAGCAAGCTCAATACTACGTCACTGTCCACGGCCAGCAGATCGCTGGTTGGACTGAATTCGACGATTCCCCTATTCCAGCAGACCCCAACTCTGGGAAATCTCGTGAGGGAGCTGCCCGCGATTCCAACAGCAACCGTACCAATGTGATCATCCGTAACCCCTCTTGGCGCCTTCTCTATCGCGAGTTCCTGAAAGATACCATGTGCGAGGAGAATCTGTCCTTCTACCTGGAGGTGCAAGAGTTCAGGGCCCAGTACACCGCTGCTGTCAGTATCACTGGCGATCACAAAATTGAGACCATTCGGGAGACACTAGCTGCGGCCTATGGTGAATTTTCATTCTACCTTCCCATTCCTGACACAACTCGCTAATCAACGTCTAGGCTTATATAACGCCTTCCTCGCCCCCGGATCACCGAATGAACTTAACATTGACCATGCCCTGCGGACTCAGCTCGCGACCCGAATGACCCGTGCTGTCGGTGACGACACTGCGATGATGCAAAGCTTGGTAGAGGTTGCTCTGCTTTTCGAGAAGGCCCAGAATTCCATCTTCAAGCTCATGTCGAGTGTACGTACACCGTAAATTGGGTTCAAATCAAACTGATGCTAAAATGTTTCAGGATTCTGTGCCAAAGTTCATCAAACACCCAAAGTATGGCCCTCAGCTGCGGGGCCTGGACGCTGCTGCTGCTGCTGCCTATGTAGCAAACTCGAACATGTCGTCATCTCGGTCCTCATAGGAGGGGATCGAATTTGATCGACGGTTCTCATTTGCGTTGTTTTAGGCGGGCTTTATAATTGCATTATTCCCCTTATCCACCAGGCATTGCAAATTAGACTTAAGGCGTTAGGATAGGAAAATACATTTAGCATTATTGGAGGCTGTCTGTGGGTATTTTCACATAGTCGTTTAATTCTGCTTCCCCTAGTGGGGAGCTATAAAGAGAGTGAATGACATCATTTGAATAAGTTGTGCTTTACAGTAGTCGTATCTCAACTTTGTGCAAGTGTTTTGATTGCTATGACAACCACAGTCGCGCCTTCTAATCTGACCGTTTTACGGAGAAGCTTTGAGCTAAGGGCATTGATTGCCTATTTGGGCAGGTAACAGAATAATGAGTATCCTCCGAGGCTCTTGCTGGTGTAATCGCTAGTCAAATCTCTCTTAACATCTGCCACTCTAGCTCTCCGCTTTGAGGATACAAGTATGGTCGATCTAACTTAAACGAGAATCTTATTTCTTTGTTTACTTGCTGCAAAATCTCCTACGGAAGACACAGCCTCTGCTCAGCCATGCTTCTATCTTCGCCGTGTCTGTTTAGACAGCCTGCTTTGGGATTCTCCTAAAGCTACTGAAAAAAAATAATTTGTATCGCACATTTCTTTTCAACTTGGCCTATGCTTGCCTCTACACCATCGGGCAGAGCAGAACTTCTTCGGGTTGCTCCTTGCTGCATTGAACAGCTCTACTCTTAGAAAAGTTCTGTGAGCATGAATCTACAACTCAGAACTTCGGCCCGACCTCGCAAACACCTCCTCACTCCAGTTCCGGAGAGTCCGTTCTTGACATCATCCCTTGTCGCAGCTCCCACGTCTGCATTTAGAAAGGCCCGACATGCACAGTTTTACACATAGCTACTCCCGCAGCTGCAACCACTCTTTCGGAATTCACTGCCACGTGTGTTGTGCACGGTAAATTTCGGTAAAACCGTCTGTACATGCGTAGGGATCCCAAAAGCCACAAACTCATGGATGGCGACAGCAAAGCAATATCTGTGTCATGGTAGTCGCACGGTTAGTCCCGTGCTAGGTACTAGTGGGCCGCAGGGCCAGCCGTGAATGTCGGCACACATGCACATTATTCACGTCGATGCGGAACCTTAACGGGGGGGATGCTGGCGCGTGTGTAGCGTGTATTAGGGTAGATCCTGGGGATGTTTAGTAAACGTGGGTGGCGAGTTGAAGGGAAGTCCTAATTTGGGGGTTTGGAGGGCGGTATTAGGGCTGGCTGGCAAAAATGGAGAATGGAGCCATTGGGGGGGGAAGCGGCAGCTGAGCCAAGATGATACAGGGCAAGGCTGGATGAGTCAAGTCGGGTCGCAATGCCTCAAACAAAGAGCTTACTGTGAAGAACAACGTGCTGATAGGCGCTGCATGCATCTCATTTGGCCAGAACGTCGTGGGGGAATGGATATACTATTCATGTCCGAGATGCATGCAGATGGGCGACTGAGGACCAAGATTGTTGCGTGTCAGGGAGATAGAGTTGAGATGGTGTGCATTCGGGGGGGGGGGGGGGGGGGGGCTTTGGTGTGCCCAGATGAGGTTCAGAGGTTGGGAGGGAGCTCGTGGCAGCACGCTTTTCCCACGAGGGCCGCCACGGCGTGCATTTTGGGTTGGTGGCGGGTGCGGATTCCGGGCCTGTGGATCGAAGGCGTGTTTGAGTTTGACGACTTCGCCTTGAGCACAGTAGCCGAACCACATCTGAATCTCTCCCTCACTCAGTCCAGCCTCCACACAGTCGCCGTTTGGAATCTAGAGTGTCATGCTCACGGATGGCATATTTGTGGTGGGTTCCCACTATCATCGGAAGCCGTACTGTGCTCTCACTCAGGTTTCCGGGTTCCTAGTCCCGACAATTTGTGATTGTGGTTTGATGTCAAGTTGCTGAGTGGGTTTGGCGGTTTGACCACGATCGTAATTCCAGCGTCCTGGATTCTCCGACCGGCATTTGCACATGGCAGGTGGCTGCGAGAGCTGGATCTCATTCGATTAATGTGAAACTCGTACCTTCAGGCTGCACAGTTGCGCGCTCCTCGTACGATACTCACGTATGTGGTGGGGAATCTCGGGAAAAGTCGCGAAACCTGCACAATTCCCCACCACAGCTACAATTGGGCTTGGAGAAGGTGGACCGAGTTTCCCAAGAGAAAGGACTCCTGAGAGAGACAGAGACTGAAAGTGGTTGCGTCATTGTCATGTGACTTGGTAATTTATCGATAAGGGATTTCGCGTTGCCGAGCCGAAAAAGCGTGTTGTGGTTTGTGTTGTGGGTAACACGGAGGAGAGGGTTATTCCGAAGACGCGCCAACAGGCAACAGTTCAGCATATCAGCTGGAGCCTCGTTAGGCTTCACACTGGGTTACGCGGCTTTTTGTTCGTCTGTTATTCGCGTTACAGGAGAAGAGGGGAATGGCGCCTGCACCGCCTGGGGTACGTTGTTGCATCAATGATTTTGTCACGGTTGTTGCAAACAGGAATACTGACGGCAGGAATAGAGCCAAATTGCTCCATTGCCATCGAATCTCCCGTTTCGAATCATCAGCAAGACGATTGGACAGGGTGCCTATGCATCGTATGTATTCCCGCTTTCTACTTTTGAGTCTAATCCTAGAACTTTCCATACCCTTTTCAACACCATCCCGCTAACCTCCACACTGCTTAGAATTCGCAAAGCATGTCCCCTGCATGCCCCAAAGCCCGTCATCGCCGTCAAATTCATCAACAAAGAACATGCCTTCCGACAAGGTCGTCTGTCCCCAAAGCAGCTGAAGATGGAGATAACCCTGCACACCCATCTCGGAAAACACCAAAACATCATCCACTGCGTGGGTTCCGGCGAAGACACCATTTGGACTTGGATTGCTATGGAGCTTGCCGAGGGCGGCGACCTCTTTGATAAAATCGAAGCCGATGAAGGTGTTGGAGAACACATTGCGCATTTTTACTTTACCCAGCTAGTGTCGGCGGTGAGCTTCATGCACAGCAAGGGTATTGCACATAGAGATATTAAGCCCGAGAATGTGCTTTTGAGTGGGGAGGGGGATTTGAAGTTAGCGGATTTTGGACTCGCGGCGCTATTCAAGAAGGATGGGGCTTTTAGACTGTGTAATACGGTTTGTGGGAGCCCGCCATATATCGCTCCGGAGATTGTGGGTGGCAGGAGAAGTAAGAGAGCGGATCTACTGGATGCTGGGTACGCGGCAAATCTGTGCGATATTTGGAGTTGTGGGGTTGTGTTGTTTGTGTTGCTCGTGGGGAACACTCCCTGGGACGAACCAACAATGCGCAGTGAGGAGTTCAAGGAATACGTCGAGACAAATGGTCGGACTACCGACGAGCTCTGGCAAAAGATTCCTCCCGAGATTGTGTCGCTGCTCCGCGGCATGCTCAAACTAGATCCAGCATCCCGCTTTACACTCGACGAAATCCGGACACATCCCTGGTTCACAAAAGAGAACCCTTACCTCTCACCTAATGGGACTAACGCAAATCCAATCGGCCTGGCTACACAGATGCTTTCCCAGCTTCGAATAGATTTCTCGCAAGACCCAACGGCTTCCCAACAGCGCGGCGGGACTCCCCAGGACTCAGATGCAATGGACATTGACTCCTTCCCTCGACGCTCACATGCCCACCCCGCAAACATCAACATGATGATATCTTCCACGCAGCCCGAAACCCCTGTCGCTGAAACTCCATTCGATTGGGAACGACCACCTCGACTAGGCACGCACGATGGGATTTCTGCATCACAGCCGGCTATCGGGAATGGCCATCGTCCGACATACCAATCGCAGCCGCTTACCCAGACGCCATTCCTAAGCCAGTTTCCGTCCAGTACTCAGGATTTGCTGTCCCAGGATCCGAGTTTGACGCAATTCACACCCACACCCTCGGTCCCACTAACTCTGACGCAAGCGGCTCGTAAATTCAAAGACGTCCTGCCTAACTACTCGCTCGCGCGCTTCCTGTCGCCACTCTCACTCTCGCTCCTCATCCCCCTTCTCACCGAAGCCCTACACCGTCTAGGTGTCCCAGTTCCATCATTCGGCGACGAGCAAGTCGAGCAGTGGGAGAGAGATGGTGAAGCGAGTGTGAGAGTTAAGATGGCGGATGGTAGACGTCAGGGGTTGAATGGACATTTGGTTGTGGAGAAGGTTGTCTTTGGGGGCGAGAGGATGTGTGAAGTCAGGTTTGTGAAAGCAAGTGGAGATCCACTGGAGTGGAGGAGGTTTTTTAAGAGAGTAGTTGTTTGTGTCGGAGATGTAGTTTTGAGGCCTGGGTAATTTTGGGGGGGTTAGGGAGATGGGAAGGGTACGAGTCTACGCAAGTGGCATGTGGTATGATTAAGTGGATGTAATTCGAATTTGCATTGGATGAATGTCTTAGATGTGTATTGTGGCCGGCTGGATTTCACATATTACGCAGCATGGATTGCTGCGCGTTAAGGACTTCACTCAGGGATCAAATAGAGTACGACAATAAATTAGTTTAACTGAATGTGTCGTCTAAACGTAACAACAGAGATAATGTAACAGCTCAGAACTCGGCGACAATCCCAAGATTTCTAGTCGGAATCCTGCCAGAGGAGTGAAGGGAATTATGGGGTTGAACTTTGTGGCGATGTATCAACAGGAACGATTGGGACATGAAATACACGGCAGAAACTGTATCGTTTAGTGACATCAATTGCCTACTTTAGTCTAGGTACAGGCTACAGAACCATGCTTAGACTTGTAGAAGGACCGATCCGTAGAAACCGTTGATATACACTTGTGTGGGATATCCGTAGAGTGAGTAGTAGTTCGATACCGCATCATACCACTGATATCACAGCTATGATGCCCCGCCAGCCAAATCCTCCCCCAATTATTCTGAACTTAAGAGGTGTAGAGGTCCCATGAGTATACCTCTCTACGAAACGGAAAAAAAGTTTTGTGGTAGTTGATCATAGCTGTTTAGTTTATCTTTTGTGCTCATATTCGGGTTCCATTGAGAACAGGGAGGCCCTTTAGCTTCGCCGATAGCAATGGTTTCAACGACCACAACTGTGCCCACTAGGCCCTCGTGACAGGCGGCACAGTTTGAACGTTGGTGAAAGTTTGGGTCATAAAGCAGGGGGTGATATAGCACGCCTTGGAGACGGAGGCATAGCTTTTGTTATAACCTTTGCTGTTCGGGTCGTGCTCAAGTGGGTGCGAGGTGGGGATTTTGAGGCTGTCTAGCGGGTGGTGAAGGCATTGGAAAGTGTGAGCAGAGGCACACGTGTCCTTTGGTTCCTCGGGGTGTCCAAAGTGAGAGTATTCAACCCAACGCAAAGTGAAAGAGCCCGATCGGCCGTAGATTGCAGGCTGACGTAAATACTTCTATCAGGCAAAACCCATCTCACCTCAAGCCTAACCTACTTTCAACTACCTTGACAATATCTCTCCAATCTCTCATAGCACCGCCACCAATATCACCACAAGCTAACTCCTTTTCCATGGGTTGCAGTACCTCAAACCAACCCCCGTTCTTCACGCCCCAGTCCTCATCCAACACTTTAACCTGCTGCATTGTAATCGGCTGCTTCCACATCGCAGTATTCATAGACGGTGCTACAAGTATCTTTTTCTTCATCCCAACCCCCTCTCTACCTTCCCCCCTTTGTCGACCAAGACCAGGAAGATCTCGGATCGGATCTAGCTCGCCGGTCGTATCCCATGCCCTGATGACAGAAAGTAACAGGTTGTCTGACCAGCCTTGAGTGATTTTTTGCCAATGAGTCTGCGCTTAATGGTGCCACGACCATCAAGTCCCCAGCGCCGAAGCTCGATGTGTAATATCTTGTTGCCTCGAACCCAGGGATCTCGCCACTCATCCTCATCGAAGTATATCCCGCCTACATTCGGGAGCGCCTCTATATCGTGTATTGAAGGCTGTTCGGAGCTCTGACCGCGCAAGAAGTTGGTTGCAGGGGATGTGAAGATGAGGCGAATGGAAAGATTCTGGTATTTTGAGAGAGCGTTTATCATGTTGGGGATTTTGATAGTGGCAACAGAGCCTGTGGCGCATAAGAGGAGGTGGATCTTGTCATCATCAAGAGGGAGGTCGAGGGTGTCTTTTTGCACTGGCTTTAGGTTCAGTGGTTTGAGGTTTGTTAATGTAGCGGACATCCTGCTGCCAAAATAGTGCTGCTGTTGGGTGTCAATTGATACTCCGAGGAGCGGTTAGTTGAGACAATTGATAGAGATCTGACGTTCTTTGTTGCTAGAAGGGTGGACTTATCGATTGATTCGTTGATATTAATAATGAGGATGGAACTAGCAAAATTTGAGCATGAGATATCCTTGGCGATCGGAGATTTTCAATCTTCACAGGTGGCAGGGCTGGATCACGTGACATGGTCGCTGTCAGCATGTGCAACTCTAGCCTTAATCCCATCATAGAACCCTGCTTAAGGCGCGTATTCACATTCTTGAAGTGAAAAGGCCCAATATCCTCTTAAAGATACATTAGATACCAAGATGGACTTACGCTCTTTCCAGAAAGGTTTACGATCCACAGGCTAAATCCTTCTTAACTCCGAAAGGATTACATGTACCTAACGTCATGTCCTAGACCAAGCTCTCGGAGCTATGCAGACTAAACATACCTCTCATCTGACGCGGGATCTGTGGCCTGAGAGCATGTCGAGAGGTCTGCGAAGGGAAGATGTTATTTAAGTAGATATGGTTTCTTTCCAACTGGCATCACGCAGCAGTTACTCTAAAACCTCCCCGCAAGCCAGGACATCATTTTCCAGTCCTCCAAATTGTATTGGATTTTCATTCATGGATCCGCCTAACACACTATTGGGGACACAATGTATGTTGGCCCGTTCGATCGAGATCTGACGGTCCGAGGGGTCTAATCTCAAACGATGGATATCGTGACGACGGCGTGCCAGGCGCATCCAATCTTTCCCAGCCGTCTACTCGTGATTCCATCTCTTTCGAGAAGAATATTTGTTGAGACACTGAAACTTCGGAGAATAGGGATATAATATCTGTAGCCGGGCCAAGACACTATCTACTAGTGCCTGTATCTCTACATTATACGGCTGCCTCTGGAGGCTCCACATCAATACAACACTCTTCCGTTGCACCACTACCAGGCTTACAATATCCTAGCTCTTTCCAGCACTTTTTCGGTTTCAAGAAGGCATCAAGGACTGAATCTCGTCCGCCATGATTGAAGGTACACTTTCGGTACAACTCCCAGAGCGTATTGCGGGGGATTTTTATTCTGCAGAGGTCGACTGCAACTGCTTATATATTTAGTGAGTAAAATGGCATTTAGGCGGGTGATGGAGGGAGCCGTGTCCATGATTGCTATGACGATGGGCGATCGAGATCTGTGCATAGTTGATCCATAGGATCGCGACTCCGCCTTGGGGATTCCGCCGCTGATAGGACAGTCGAAGCCTTTAGTCCCAAATCGATGGTTTGTCGACTCTCCACTCGCAGCGAAAAAATTAGTCTAGTAATAACACGACCCACCTCCTGAGATTTTCTAGGACCACCTACGTGACCGAGGGCTTGAAATCAAGCTCAGACACATCTCTTCCGGAGGGTCTAGTCGCCCGTGTAATTTTTGGTGGGCAGATGACTGCAAAATTCCTACAACGCGAGTTTACGTGTTTTCTGCTTATTTACTATTTTGGCACGCCCCTTAAGAACATTAATAGTTTATGGCTATTTTCCTCTAACGTAGAGGACCTCCTAAATAGTTGTTATTTCTCTGCTGTCATCAGCTTAACAGCAGCAGATAAACCCTAACAACTAAACTTGCGCCCGCCCTTTAATAAAGCCGTCGCTCTGTTGAAAAAACAGTACTAGATACAGCTTAAACAGAGGCAACACGCGCAGCTGTATCGTCGTCCTCATGTGGTTGAGTTGCTGGGAGTGTGAGAGGATCCATCGCACAAAAGCTGGGCCCCTAAGGTAATTAATTGAACACGGTGTTATCTCTGCAACCTATAGTGCGATTTTGCTAAAAAATATACTAATTAACGCAGAATTAGATAAATTAATTAATTCTTGCGCTAAGCCTAGCAATAGGAGCAACAGAGAGATTGTAGGTCGCGTTAAAGTTAGAAGAAGGTGGATTTTCCCATACAAATCTGGGCCCCCAAGCTACCAAAAATTACACGGGCGACTGGAGTCACTGGACCCTCTTCCGGAGGACCCCTCACGGCACGTGACTCGGGCCAAGACAGGGGGGTTGGTTATTACTAGACTACGAAAAAATGAGCATGAAACGCACATAGTCTTTTCAGGTGGGTTGTGGGAGCGGTGTTGTTGGGATTCCCACAATCTTCTTAAGCTAGTTGTGAGGTAGGCTTTTAGTACACGCAAGAAAAACTGTGCTTAAAATTGTGCTTGCTTACACTTCCTGTGCTTCCTTGAGGTTTTCCTGTCGCGACTTAGCCTCGATCTCGTTCCACGTCTCTATTTTGTTGAGCGTTCCAAAGATGGCGATGATCGGCGTGTAACAACCCTCAAGCCGGCCAAACAGTGAACCGGGGTGTTTGTGATGCGTGCACTTAATAGAAAATATAAGAGCCGTTATGACCTCAAATGGATTTCGATCTCGAAAATTGACAGCGCAGAATATAAACTCGAAGCACAATCGGAGAAAGAGGGCATTGTCCACCTGCATTGTTTGACTCAGATACGTATCAACAACGTGAAGGGTAACATTAGCCCAAGTACCAGTAACTCCCCGTAATGGGACATTCAGGGTAGTTCCCCGAGGCTGTAAATCGAGTCCTCAAACAAGGCTAGTGGTAGTCATGCACTTGTTGGGTGGAATGGAAAGTGTTCTCCTTCTCTTTCCCCCGTCATCGCCAGCCGAATAATTTTGCTCTATGGATTTAATACCGTATATGATGCGGTTTATTTTACGGCTCTCCTCAGGAATGTGGCTACGAAAATACTATATTTTTCCGCAATGAGTGGTCTTCGAGTCAGAGATGGTGAGCCATTGTCCCTTCCTTTTTGCTCTTGTCGGGGGTTCGAGCCCGCGATGGGTGGTGATCGAGCAATTGCAGACCAAACAGCTTCTTTTATGTCAGCCAATGGAAGTTTCGAGAGCCATTCTGAGAGTTGGTGCGTTCTCTTCCTATTTTTAATTATAACGTTGTTTGGGTTCCCGAGGTCGCTCTCAGCTTGTGCCCAAAATGTCACCGAGCAGGAACTAGGAACCACACGTAGGAGGAAACATTTCATTCATGTCAATATTCCTTAGTTAGAAGGCGGGGTAGCACAGTGAACCGTATCTCCACTCATGTTCCAGGTTAAATTAGGATCCTAACAGCTTTAGAGGTCTACCTGTAGAGTTTGGCCGAATTCCCACACCTGTCTCCAAAGACTAGCTCTCTATGCTCAGGTACGATGTCAAATATCCAAAATACACCATTTTCTAGAGTTCCAACACGACTTGCATGCACCCGTTTCGCTTTTGCCCGTGTCACCCCGCCCACCACACCTTAATCAAGCAAATATTTCTCTTACTCACACTACACCACGAATCTACGTAATATACAAATGATATCACAATGCCAAATACGAATGGGCGGTCCTATTATATTGAATCACAGCCAAGCAGCGATGGCTCGACGCAAAGCAAGCCCCGCTCTGGCTGCTTCAGGCTCACAGTTGGTTGAAGCAAATAAAGGCAGCGCTGAAGGATACCTTGTAAACTCTTTTTACATACTTCATATTCTACACATTGCCACAATTCCGACGTCAAGCAGGAATCGCCGACATTCCAATAAAGCCCTAGATTTGCGATGGTGAGGGAGGGCATTCAGTCTGTGTTCACCCACCGTTTGCGTCTCACAAAGCACTTCGCTATCTTCCGCAAGGCTGTCGCACATATCGATACTATCGCATATGAAGATATCATCTACAGTTCTGGAAACCTCCTCGACCTGGGTATATCAGGGGAAGGTCATCGTTGAAGAATTCGAGGCAGAGACTGTGCAGGCAAAACTTGAGCAAGAGGAACGTAGCAACGACAGTATCGCTGAAAGTAAGAATAAAAAGACGGAGATCAACACCAACTAGGACAATGCTATCGAGCTGGGTGGGGAAGAAGGAGACAATAATTCTGCTTCTGGATGTTCTGACCGCTCAGGAAGTATTTTGCGCATCACAGCCGGTGATGCTTCCTTGGTATATGACCTCGACGCTCCCGCCAAGGTTCAAATCTATGGATGCCTGCTTAACCTCTATTGTTTCGCCATCTCGTATGAACTGCTCGGTTTCAGCTTAGTGACCACATTAGTCTGCCAACTTTTCTTGCTTAAAGCAATTGTCTACCATGCCCAATCATTGCCAGAAGTATGTGCGAGAAATAAGATTTCTCCGCTCATAAAATATGCAATAAATGTTATACGTATTATGCTAAGCTGGAGGATATCAACAGAAAACTGTATGCGACGCCGTCATTAACGGTTTTCAACAGAGGTGCTAGTGTTAGAGTTGAAGAGAGGCCTACGTAGACAGCAGGGAAGCGGGTGAAGACCTGGAGTATCGTTGGCGCGTATTTAACGCGTACAGAGCCGACTATGATAGAAAGAAGTGCGACAAAAAAGCCCCAGATCTAACGAACAAGGCAAAATTTAGACGGGCCATGTTTCACAAGTTGACTAGTCCAGGTCTCCAGGACTCTTTACTTAGCATATATTGTGAGCTGCTGGTGCAGTCCACATTTCATTTTATACTAGACTTTTTGGTAAGGTATTTGCTGAGCTGTACTCAAAAGACTGTCCGCGGACTACAAGGTACCTTACTGATCTTCTATCAACAATTATAAATCTGCCTAGACCTTCTTGTCTATGCAAGCGATTCGGACCTCGGTCGTTTCCGTGCCAGTCCCCTTGATTCTCTCCCTGGATCTCCAGTCTTCGGTTTTTCGGCATTTGTCTTTTCAACCGCTGCCTCTTCAGCCATCGCCTTCTGAATCATTGATATCTCGGCCTCGGCCTTCTGCACAGCTTTGAGGTCCTCTTGAAGCTTCCAGCACTCCTCCTGCTCCTCCCTTGAAGCATGCTGATGGTGCGAACAGATATCCAACTCCCCCATCGTTAGACCCTTCCGCAGATGAAGCCATTCTGCGTACTTCGTCATCGACCTCACAAGGAATAGCCTGGGCATCTTCTCGTACATTCCATCTTCCAAGTTCTTGTCTTCCTCGGCCTGAAACCTTGGCTCCCAGAAGATAATATTCGTATCTGTGAAGAAATCCAGAGTCGGATCATTGGAATCCAAATTCGTGAACGCGTATTCTCCGACTTCCAAGCACGGCGCATAGTGCACATCTCCAAATCCCGTGATCTCCATACACACCACGGATTTCAGTTTCGGGACGTCGAAGCGGTTAGCAAAGGCGTATGTCTTGGTCATAAGCATGTCTTCCATCCCAAGTTCGTATTGTCCACCGTGAAGTGACATATCGACTGCGTCTCACCATTTCACTGGAAGCTCCCCGGTATAGGGCCAGTTGCTGAAGACTTTGAAGACGATGCAGTCGACAGAGTAGAGAGGGCTGGTTCTGTCGCTTCCGAAATGCCGGATGCCATCCCAGAGCGAGTTGCGGAAATCCGGAGTAGTACATGAGGATGATTTGGTGGAGAGGGTGGTCGATCTTCTGTAGCCCGACCACCAAGCTTATGCCTATTCGTGAAGTCGTGAGCAAGTTTATCTGCCACAAAAGCCCCTGTCACCTTTTCTGTTATTACCGGTCGCAAAATTTGTGTTTTTACGAGGCCTACTCGTTGTTTACCTAGTCCTCGCACTTTGTTCTCTTGGCTTTAATTATGGCGGCGTAAACGGTTATCATGCAATATCGCTTTTAACCACAACAACTTACCTTGTCCACAAAAAATTTCGACCATTGCAGGTGAAGCGGCCTAGCCGACGGTTGTGTGCACTCCCACGCCTTTCTTAGACCCCTCGAATCCTTTCATACTGACAAGGGGGACGGTATAGCTGGCCGCACGCCGCCCGCGGACGTGGTCATCAAGGTTCTTGTTTTGACCGCTAATTGCTGACGCGTACCGAAGTAATTCAATATGAAAATTAGGATACTTTTAACATCAGTGTTTCGCTTCCTGAAAGCGTCTCGTAAGGATCTGAAAGCTTACTTGGCCGACGACGCTTTCGCGGTCTTAGTTGACCCTTTCATATTCTCCATTGTGGCCCTGCTGCCTAATTGTTTTAGAAGACCGCAAAAGGGCAAGAAGGTGTTTGTGGAAGGAGTGGATGGAGTTTTGTGGCAGGTGTAGGTTTTTATGGGTTAAGGTAACTATCCGGATTGGAAAAAGCGATGCGCTTGGAAGTGAAGGACAGTCTTAGTATGTGGAACAAAGTCGGTATGGCAAGGGCTTTCTCACCTGACCCCAGATGTGCCCAGGACATCCAATAATCCTAAGTCTAGCCTGTGATCAAAGCTCAAGTTCCATTCTACAGCACATCGAAAGGCACCACCTGGGGCTTATTTGCCAACCGGGTACGCCTTAAGCGGATTCAGGTTAGGCTAATGGAGAAGGGGTCATTTGCATCTCTCCAAGTGGCCACTTACAAGATGGCAAAGGCGACAAGGACATTGTTCTTACGGAGTGGCACGACACCCTCCATCGCCTGCCCCTACGCCTTACGTCAGGTAGGCGCAACCATACTTATAGATGGAACTTTACTTCCTCCCTAGATAGCCACGGCAGCTATTACTGCAATTTATCATCTAATATGAAGCATGACAAGGTATTTGAGGACAGAATTTGGCATCAACTTGAAGCTCTCCTTTATTCCAGCAAAAGGGTTAACAGATCGACTCCACCCTAGTCATTTTCCACGTCATGTGGTAACATCCTGTAAACCGTGATAGAAAGTCCATGTTCTGCTGTTCACATTAATATTAGGTTATGTGGCGTTTACACCTTTAGCAGAGAATGGAACGGAAGTCGCGTTGATAGAGTCCACACATTTCTGGCTGAAGCGATTGTTAAACTTTGAACTCTTCCGTAGTGTACGTGCCATGCCCTCGCACCCGGTAATAACCAAAAAAAAAAAACCTCCTTTCACTTGTTGTCAGAGGAATTATTCTTTGATTGGCACCCCTGCCTATCCTCCTCAGATTCATAGCGTGGTAGTCGCAGCATTAAGCTCCGCCTCCTTGTCCGGCCACTAGTTCTTTCTGTAATTCACCATGACCTGGAGTAGGAATTCATAGGGTAGCTTCTCCTGCCGCTCTTTGTCTCCACCTTCTATATCCGCAGGTTTCCAATTCAGGCAGAAGGAGTAGACAAGAAGCTGAAGGAGCAGGTCTTTTCGCTACTGCTCTCAGATCCAGGGGTGAGTGACAGTGTCAGGCAGAAGTCAAGTCTGGAAGCCGCTCAAGAAGCCATGATAAAATTAATTTCTCTACCATGCGACAGATTTTGGCGCTAGCTTTTGCTAGGTTGCTTTCTTCTCCCAGACATACACAAACTACTAACGTGCATCCCTGCCCAGAGAGACATCCTGTGTGGCGAGACAAACGAGAGGTACTTTGGCTTTCAGCAAGTGGAAAGCTCATGCGCACAACAAATTTTGTTATAATTCTATGAAAATAATCTGCTGTGACTAATCTTAAATGTTTATAGTAAACCTTTCCCTAAAATTATGTTTGCATTGTTGTCTTAAGCTAGATTTATACAGCACCTTTTTTTTTTTATAGCGTAGCAGACTTGCTTTCTACAACACTAATGTTAAGTCTTTTTTGCTCTAAACTTATGTAAAACAGCCTTATCCTAGCCTTCAAACCTCCTTCTAATGCTTAGAAGTTATCATTAGCCCTGTGCGCGCTATTGTGGGCAAATTTATGTAGGGTTGCTATGTTAATTAGTACTTCTAGCAGAAGTGAGACTCTAATCTAGGCTAATACAAGACAACCCCGTACGTCCTATCTCACTATCTGCAGGTAATTTACTGTAAGATTTGTGGCTGTGCAGATCGCACAAGGGCTTAGAGTATGATTAAATCTGATTTAGGATTGGGAGCAGTACAAGGACTCGGCTGACCCCAGCGCTTGTTTAGTTAGTCAAAACGTGTCAGCGTTGAAACCGGCGTCGACACTGCCATCCCATAACTTCTAGATACGGTCCAACGCACATCGAAATACCTACTTTAGTAACGTGGAAACATGCCATCGCATCACTCTCGAGCGCTGAAACCCGTTGGTATCCCTCCACTGACTGAAGGAAAGACCTGCTTAAGCCCACCATGTCCTCATGCTTCTCACACCCAAGCATACCTAATTCCTAGACCAGGCAGCAGCCAATACGTAGTCCCAGCTCGTTGAAGGGAAATACAATTATAAGATAAGATAGAGTAGAGCGGCCTTAGAAATCAAAGCCTGCGCCTCGGCAAGTGGGTTTAGTGTCAGAGGCAGAACGCCATGGTTGCAAACACATAAAGGTGGAGAGGTTTGACACGTTTTGGTAATACAGCTATCGTATGGTCAAACAAGAATGACCCCTTATGTGGGTACTGGAATCTTTAGGGCTGTAGAGATGTACTTTAGTTTGACATATGAGGACATGAGAAGTTTGGATCGTTCATGCTCGTAGCTATGCTTAACACTATGCTATCAAGGGCTGCATGCCGTCCACTGTCACCAGAAACGATCCTTATATCTCTTCCCAACGCCATCCATTCCAGACGTTCGTGGTAAGGTTGTGGCTGGTTCGTGTCGGTCATCGTACCTGCTAGCAGTGGCGACATGACGCATATAGGGATAACAGCCGCGTTAGTTGATTTGTAAGTGTGCTTCTTTAACTCGACTACTCAATCGTAGATCACACTAAACATGCTGCTTTAACGAAAGAAACATATTACTTGCGGTTCTCGCCATCCCTACTACTGAATATGATTGACGGCTATCTGTGTATCCGAAGTCAGATGCCTAGTTTGTGCACTAAATTAATCCTCCAAAATATTGCCATGAACTAACCATAAGACCACATACCAAAGCTAGCTGCCTTACCCACTGTTGACACCTACACCTATCGGTTGCTGTTACCTGACCTGCTTTATAACAGCTCGACGGTAAATCTGTTATCCACTATGTAGCACGCTTCCAACGAGTTCATGAATTTTTGAGCGCAAACTAGGCAGTCATAAGGGTTAGGTTAGGCGCACTATATGATACGGGTTATTTACCTTTCATACCCCTGCTTCTCTCGCTCTAACTTCTCAATCCGTTCTTTATGTACGTTGAGTTCTCTCTCAGACCAACGATCACAGCAGGAGCCATGAAGCCGCTTTGGAAGTTCTCTACCATTGTACTGATCGATGCCGGATATGCGTAAGGCAAGTGATTTTGCTGAAGGGCGCCTTGTACGATCAGGATTAAGCATCTGCTTTATTTCATAGAGCAAATGCTGCGTCTTTGCCTCAGAGGACTCGGCTAAAGCTAGCCACTGGTCAATTCGGTCAAGGTTTGCTTCGTAGGATTTATTTTTGGAAGGACGGAGCTCTGCCAGCTCTGCTAGAGTGTGGTTTTGGGTGAGAACAACCACTGTTTCCAGGAAAACGCATCCTAAGGAGAAGATATCCGCTGAGCGACCGCTTTCCTTGTAATTAGATACCTCTGGCGCGCAGTATCTTAACGTACCACGTTCTCGGCTTTCACTGGTACTTGTAAGATCGGATGTAAAATTCTTTGCTGCACCAAAGTCTGTAAGCCATAGCCCATCTGGCGAGAGGAGAATGTTGGATGGCTTGATGTCTTTGTGGCGAATATTGTTCCGGTGGAGATATGCCATGGTTGCAGTCAAACAGCCAAAAATAGACCACATTCGCTCCTCTTTCTGCCCTACAATGTCCCGAAATTCGTTGGCATTGAGACAATGATCAGCTAGCTTTTCAGATAATCTGCGATCTTGGTCGAAGTCCTGATTGTATGAACGTCTCATATCCATAACCTCAAATACCACAGACAAATCGCAGCGTGCTACTGGCCATATTAGTAGACCAAGGTATGGTCTCTGAGTAAAGGTTCCGACAAGCCTGACAATATGTCGGTGTTTCGTATCCTTCAAGATGTCAATCTCTTTCATCTGGTTATTTTGGATTCCGTATCGATGATATATCTTCTTCAAAGCCAATTTGACACCCTTGCAAGTAACTTCCACTACTTCTCCATTCGCGCCATAGCCGAGTGCTCGCCCTCTTTCTAGTGGGATAGTTTCCTCATGAGTGAACGTTGCGTGTGAGCCTCTTCCGGACCAATCATCTCGCACAGACAGGGGCAGCTGATCGGTCTCATATGCGTCTTCAATTCCTGAGGGGCTGAGGGGCGGAAAGGTTCTATGGTCTTCAGCGACTTGACTCGATTTGACAAAGTCAGCAACGTTATGCAGAAGCCTACGCAGTCGGCGCGACTCTTTGCTAAGATTATGATAGAGTATCTCTAGTTTCTCGTCCTTAAGTTCCAAGGAACTGATACGGTTGTCTCGTTCCTGGATCTGGAGCCGGGCGTTACGCAATGCTTCCTCAAGATGTTCAGACTCTTGGATCGGTGTTCCCGAAACAGGAGCCGCTCGAGAAGGTGCTCCAGAAAGTGTAATGGGTGTGCTAGCCATGGGTCTCGAATTATATTCAGCATCGCTGGTAGGTGTATCAAATTCCGGGTGGAAATTGTGATTGCCGGCCGATGTCTGCCGCTTCTAAACAGTTTGAGTAAGCTACCTATGCACAGCAGCACACATAGACACAGAGGGAATAACTTACAAGCTATAACCACCAGAAAGGCTAGCATTAGCTCTCCATGCACAGCAGCATACCTAGACACAGAGGGAATAACTTACTTCCTATAACCAACAGAAAGGCTAGCATTAGCTATCCATGCACAGCAGCATACCTAGACAC